TCGTCTTGCTTAACCTCTCTATTATTATAATGATACGCGTTAAATTGGAAATAATAGTACAATGACGTCATTTCAAAGGGCAATATAGTGAAATATTGGACCTTGGGCCCGCAGAAATGACGTTATTACTATTATTACCACCGTTAATGACCAGGGGTGAAATAGGAAATTTGAAATAGAAAATCTTACGCACTGAACGATATAACTTTCCCGGGAAACATAGCCGGGCGGATAATGTCATTATTGCCCGACTAAAGTCATTAACGCCCGACACAATATTGCTCACGTCAATATAGCAATTTAAATGCCTTCTCAACTAGTACTAAAACCCCTAGAACAGGCCCTGCAAGGTGGTAATAATATATTTTGAGCTCAGTATGTGGGTATGATTATGATTTAGGCAAAATGCCATGATCAAATTGAAAATATAACAAATCATATCATATTTGATAAACTTGATATAACATCACACATTCCCCATAAATATTATAACATGTACTTATGTTAACTATACAAAACTAGTATATGGGAATTGTAAAATATCACAGTCAAATATTGTACCCCAGGCCCGTAGCCAGAGGGGGAGCTTGGGGAGCGGAAGCTCCCCCCCCCCTGGACAGAAGTTCTTTCAAAATCATGCAGTTTTTCACCATTCTGAGAATTTTTCGCATGTTTTTTAGCCAAAATTGTGAAAAAGCTCCTCCCCTGGAAAAAAGCTCCCCCTCCTGGTAAAAGCTGGCTACGGGCAAGTACCCCATCGTGAGATATCACAGCCTTCTCTCAGTTTCCTTTCTAGAACGTTGTACCCTTTCCATTCGTTCGACTTTGATTCTTACAAGAGAGCTTCATCATGATAAAACATTACATCTCATTTCTTCTCAGCCGTGAAACAGAACGATGCTATGATTATCAGAATGAGAGAGCTTTGTCTTTTGTAATTTATAACTAGATCGCGCTCAGCTCAAGAAGAGTTGTTCTCTTATTGTACTGGTTCCATTGGGACGGTCTTGCACCAACTATCTCCCCCGCCCACATTATCTATTTTTTCGTCCATGGAATGGGAAGGGGCATCCTTTAAGATTGGGCATCGCTGACCCAGCTCATGGAAAGAATTGAAATACCTTAGTCCAAGGATGGGGTAGGGTGGGCAAATGGCATTTAAATGGATTTACAAGATCTGAAGCTTTCATATTGATTTAAAATCAAACTGAACAGAGAATGACAAACATCGGCAAATGACCTTGAAACACGACAAGCAAACAAAATGCAATCCACAATCAATGCAGACTGCTAATTTGAAAAAAGTCGATCTAAAATTGTCATCTGACCAACTTTGCAACTTTGCTTGGTCTAGAGTGAATTCTTCGAAAATCACCCGCTCCCTTTAGCAATGATTGAAACACGGTTCCTAGGCGGTTCCTAGGATAGAGAAAAGATAGTACCTTGAAAAAAAGTTGGAACTTGGTGAGAAATACATTCCGAAATGACAGATTATCGCAAAAAATACAAAAATACACATTTATGAAATGGTAACAATTTGAAAATCTAATCATAGGTTCAGTTCTTTCAATATTGTGATAGCCGTACAAGGAAAGTTTGGTTGATTTAAAAGAAGTATCTAAAAATAAATAAATGCCTCCCAAAAATAGATAAAATCAAAATATAACCTTTATTTCATTTTTAAGATACTTTTTTAAATCAACCAAACTTTCCTTGTATAACTACGACAATGCGATAATGAAGTAATTTGTATATTGTTATTTTATTCCAACGAGTAGATGTTTCATTTAATTCAAAACAATATAGTAAAGAACAAAAGAAGGCATCGGATGGGGTTTCTAAACAAATTATAAAACATATATTAATATTTTTCAAATTGAATTGTTACCATTCAAAGGATGACCATTGCATTTACAATGTGTTATATTTCAGATTATCTTCATCACTGGTTTAAAAAAAACCGTTGAATTTAGATCACCAAATCTTAGCAGTCTCAAGAGCTTTAGAAATAGAGAGACTGACAAATCAGTCCTTTGTTTGGTAAAATCGCTTTGTTGAATCAATCATCAATTATTTCGGAACTGGAATTTTACTATAATATATACACAACCGAGCGATTTATCCTAAAATGAACTCGGTGACTATTCCACTTCATTAATTGACTCATAGCTAAAAACCATTCAAGACATTTAAGGTGACTAAAATCGTTTACTCAATGTAGATATTTTAAGGTCAACCACCTAATCAAAATCCGATCTAATATTATATTTAAGCAATATTATGTCATATTGGATAGATTATAGTAATGATTGATATGACCTTAATCAGCATGCAATGTCCTCGTGGGACGGTTCATATCAACTAATATTAACCCAATATTACAAAATCGTTCAGGAAATATTTCTTTCCTAAAATATTACAGAATTTGGACGATGGGAAAATTTAGATCAATTCTGAATGTACGAGGGTATATCATAAAGTTCTCATAATATCTCTCTAACTTTTTTATTTTTCAATATATTCTAATGAAATGTTCATGAAATCTGCAGTATAGAACACTCTATTAATCTATCAAAAAATATTTGGTATAACAGAAATATTAGATAAGAAATGGTTGCCATAGTAACCGGAAATCAAGGCACCCGGGGCAAATAAAAAATAGTTGAGAAAATGAGCTTAATTAACCATGTTTATATACATAATAAACTCTCATAAATTATCAAACACATTAAAATGTTATCTTGAATATGTTGTTAAAATGATTTTACTATAAAATAAATTGATCATGTGAATTGTGTGATGTCATAGGGGATGCTTACATGCTTCATTAGATGTGATACCAGACTCTGAGAATCAAAGCTTAATGATCAGAAATGACTGAATAAGATCATGCATAGATGCAGAGATCATCAGAAAAATGAAATTCATACCTACAAAAAGTCTTGATAAGTTCGAAAAATCCTTTTGCTTATATTAAAGATGATCGAAAACAAATATGTTGCAAAGATATCAACAAAATTACCCCCTATTTGTAGTCTAAACATATTTAAGATGAACTAAAGGGGGAAAATCGGCTTTCCTTACAATATTTGACAAAACAGTTGCAGTGTCTAACATCACTTCTAATGAAGCATTACAATCATCCATTATGAGATCACACAATTCACATGACCATTATAATTGTTCAAAACAGTCGAGAACACATGGTATTTAACAATTTAATTTGTTTCATAGCTTCTTTGATAACTTATTATGCATTTAAACATGGTTAGTTGGGGCTATTCTTGCACGATTTTTTATTTGCCCCGGGTGCCTTGATTTCTGGTAACTATGGCAACCATTTCTTAAATAATATTTCTGTTATACCAAATATTTATTGACAGATTAATACAGCATTCTATACTACACATTCTGTGAAAAATTCATCAGAATATATTGAAAAATAAAAAAATTAGAGAGATATTATGAGAACTTTATGATATACCCTCGTATACCAAATATTGCCCTTTGTCCTTTATCATCTTCGACATTCATTGATTCTAAAGAGAAATATTCACAAAATGAATGAAACAAACGATTGGTCAAACAATTTAAAAAATCTTAGTTGTGACATTATGATAAAATGCAACTTAACTGTATATCTAATCGTTTTTAAATATATCTTTTTAAATATCTGATAATTTTTAAAGAAATGAAATAGCATTGAAAAACAGATTGTTAAACGTTAACCTAGATTATATAACCTAATTCGTTGTCATGTATAATCTGGGATGAAGAAAAATTAATTTGTTTAATTTGTGCGATTTGTGTGTACTTTGCATGATTTCTTCTGTAGAATGTCTGTTGGATATCACGTGTCTCCATTAGGAGATACGAGGAGCAGTCAAGGCATTCAGGCAAGTGCAACATACATAATTAAACGTAAAAGCAAGTTTAAGTTGTTTGCAGATTTTGAACGCGTTCACGTTAGAACTTGGCGTAATTTGTCTAATAAATTGTAACCATAAACATTTTCATTATCACTTTCATATCCCATAATATTAATTTAAGACATTAATATCTTGAAATGGTTGTTTCTATGAACTCCGTGCAAGAGGAAATTAGTACTTTGGGAGATCCATGATTTACTTGGTAAATGCCACTGACTTGTAGTTATCTCCTGATCCATGGAAATATGTCAATGTTTTTAGATAACAGTATTGGTTTTTAATTTTGGACTAATTTTTAAGAAATTGGGCCCAAAATTTCAAAATTGAGGCCCAGTGCAGACATCCTCCTTCTTGAGTTCCAGTGGGAGGCCAGTGGGAGTTACCGGGATCACCCCTGCTTGTCCTGTTTGTTTGTAAAATAGTTGCTCTGATTAATTAAGCGTGGTCTTTGCATGTGGTGGCCAACCCAAGACAAAATCTACCAAAAAAGATATATAAAGTAAGTAAACTGCCATTAAACTGTTTACAATTTTAGCAGGTCAAGAGATTGACGCATTATTTCAATATCTCACTGGATTTGCAATCCAGTAATTACGTGCGACATCTATCAATACCAAATGAAACTAAACCCATATTTGGAAGCCCAAGAGTAATTTGAGAGGTGGGCAATATTGGGGAACAAACGGGGGATCAAAAAGTACAAGGCTTGGATACCTACCATTGTTTTCTTCATTCCAGTTTCTTCCCTTTCTCATTGAGCTTACTTTGGACTATGAGATGGGAGTCCCTGAGCACAACTAGCATGTGAAGGGTAAGCTTAGGGCGCCTTAGATGGCATAGCAATCCCAAAGTAATGTTGATTGTCATTGAATGATGTGACCATATTCTACACTGAGTGTGATGAATATTGGCTTAGAGACTAAAAATATTTGAAACCAAGATGATATCAGAACGATGACCATGATAAGCCAGGAAACTAGGAACAAGAAAAGTGGTGTCTTATAGGAATCAAAGGGCTATGTTTATGTGATGGACCACGTGCATGATCACGTGGTGTAAATAGAGCAGCCTGCGCCATCTGTCAATATGCTTTCACCATTTCCGATCAAAAAATATTGAGATCATTTTTGAAGAATTACTCATTGAAATGGACTTTGTAGTCTTCGAAATAATCAGAAATTGACAAATGGAATTACTAAGATTCGTCAGCTGCTAAATATAAAACCAAAAACGTGGACAATGAAGTTGAAATCGATATAAATTCAGAAATACGTCATTCAATTTTGAACAGCTGATCAGCTGAGCTGAGTTAATTTTTTGACAGACAACAAAGGAAGGAAATACACAAAAAGAAATTAACACACGTGCAATGATGAAGGAATTAGAATGGGGGAGCTCCAAAGTGGACTGGTGTGAGTCAAATTACCACATTACATCTGCAATTGCTGAGTTTTATAATACGGTAAGTCCACTCGGATAGAGTATACAGTTTATTTTGACATTGCGTGTAAATAAGAGAAATATCCCGAGAAATATATATTGTTATGGCTTACTGAACTTACTGTCACCCAACTGAGGAACATCCTCCATAACATTTTCAGTGTAGTTGACCATATTCAGGCCCGTAGCCAGCGGGGGGGGGGGGGGGGGGTTCGATGGGTTTGAGCGAACCCCCCTGGCCAAAAAATCTTTCAAAATCATACAGTTTTTCACCATTCTGTTCAGAGCACTTTTTCAGTGATTTTGGCCATTTTTCGCCCAAAATTGTCATAAGTGGACCCCCCTGGAATTTTTCAAAAAGTGAACCCCCCTTGGTAAATACTGACTACGGGCCTGATATTGTAGGGGGTGCTTTGAAAACAAGACACCCGGAAAAGACATGTATATTGTAATTTCGCCTATATTATACCTCCTAATGAATGACATAACAGCACGGATAGTGGGAAGTTCTACTAATACAGTAAGCTGATTATATACACCAAGTTATGGAAGTAAAATCTCCATTTCTTCAAAGTTATTGCGAATGCATCTTACGATCTGGTCGGTCCATTCATACAGAATAATAAGGCATAGCGCATACCATTTTACAAATATAATTACGACAAATTGAGAGTCCTTTATAGGGCTAGTAGTAATTGAAAAAACAATTGAGAGTTCAAATTTGACAATTTTGGCCCAAAATCACTTGGAAACTGCTCAAAATGGTAAAAACTGCCTGAATCTGAAAAAATTTCAAGCCAAGTGTATGGGCATCTGAAAAACAAATATCGTATTTTTGGAGTGGATTAAAGTTGATAACAATCAGATAACATTTTGCTGATATACACAAAACTCTTACATTTGTATAGCTTTCTTGATTTTTGAAGTGACAGATTTTTAAGAATATATCATAAGACATATTTATTTGGCCCAAAATCACATGAAAAATGCTCAGAATCAGAGGGGGAGCTCTGAACCCCCCCCCTGGCTATGGGCTTGAGTTACGAAGGTTATTTCCCTAACACTGTTATATCAGTGATCAATAAGACATATAGACATACAGTAAAACCATATGATGTGAACATCTGTATTGAAGTTAAACACATACACCTCATATTTCCTTAATAAATAGATTGCCTTTAAATTAGACTAAATCAAAATAAAACATCTGCCAATAGTGTCTGATGTCACAGGTTGAAACAGATATTGCACAATCATAACTGTAATCATGTTAATTACATAAAACATTTTGTTGTTATTACATGAAAATTAATAATGTGAAGGTTATAAGGGTATCACCACACTAGTATATAATATACAGTTTAAACAAAGAATAATTGTACTTGTTTTTATGTTCCGCATAACAATTGTGATGAAAGAGATCAACCACTGGAAATTGATCTGGATCTACTGAATGTATATCAGGAACTTAGTCAATTGAGCCAATGAATAAATTTATCCTTTCAGCTATTAACATCTCTGTCGATGATATGTTTCTGAGGGAATATCAACCATTTTTTATTGTATGTTCCTCATACTAATTTATCCATTGATTGGGTTATCATTGACTTACAATTCCAGTTTTTGAACTTCACCATTTTATCCCATCGAACGAAGTTCGGAGGGATATAAGGAACGCCTCCGTCCGCAGTCTCAAGTCTGTGGACCCTGAAGAAAGATAACTAACATCGCAATCAAATCAAGACAAAGAAAGAAGAAAATAAATGAAGAAACCAATGCAGCAAAAACAAATGACGTCCGTCCGTCCGTACATACGTACGTCCGTCCGGGCAATAACTCAAATACCGTTGGCCTGATTTTGTTCATATTTTGTACACATATACACAATGGGGGTAGAAGTTCTGCTCAAAAACCGATTTTCAAAATGGCCGCTCATTTAAAAATGGCGGCCATTTTAGTGCCGATTTTACAGTAATTTAGGTACTGCACATAAAACTGTAATAGCAATATGTTTTAATTGTAAAAAAGTTATATAGGACATTGATTAAGCTAGAAATGTAAATATAGAAGAAATACACAGCAGCCATCTTGAAAAATGGCTGCCTTTGCACGTCATTTTACGATTTTTGCTGTAACTTGAAAAGTAGTGGAGCGATTTTGTTCATATTTGGTATGTGAATCCTTTAAGCATGGCACAATGTCTAATGCCATTTTGAGTAGTAGGCAGCCATTTTGAAAAATGGCCGCCATTTTTACGTGTGTTATTTAACATTTTTTACTGTAAGTCAAAAAGTAGTGAATCGATTTTGTTTATATTTGGTATGTGAATACTTAAAGCATGGCACAATGTCTAATGATATTTTGGGTAGTAGGCGGCCATTTTGAAAAACAGCCGCCATTTTAACGTGTGTTATTTTACATTTTTTACTATAACTCAAAAAGTAATAGAGCGATTTTGTTCATATTTCATATGTGAATATTAGTGAGGATCGCATATTGTCTAATGACATTTTGGCTAGTAAGCGGCCATTTTAAAAAATGGCCAGAATTGGCGATTTTTTAAGAATGTTATATGTGGCTACTTAAGCATATTACTTCTTCTGATGACAACTTGGCTAGTGATCAACCATTTTGAAAATGGTGGCCTTTCTTCATGGGTGTTATTTTATGATATTTGCTATATTTCGTATGTAAAAATGCCAGCCATTTCTGTTTGATGGGATTCGCTACGCTTTGGCGTTGCCGTTGTTCTGGTTTATAAATGTATAATGGCTGATTTTGCAAAATAGAGATAAAAGTTCTATCGACCTGATAGGAAGAATAAATCCTTTCAAAATTAGATACATCGAGTTTCTGGACCCTCTACTTCATATCTGGGAGTGAGGTATATGGGGGGGGGGGGAGAGGGGTGATTCTCGGGTGAAGACTAAGTATTCAGAATGATAGACTAAGTGGTACAACATGTGCCTGTAATTCTAATTTACAAATGCTTATTTTTAACTTGTACTTATTTACCTATACATATCAGGATTGACTGGGGATTGTTGTATTAAACTGATTGTTTTTGTTGCTTTAATTAATAAGGTGTATGGTCTTGTATTTCATTATCAGTTTATTTAAGATCTTCTGTTTTATATTGAACATGAATATAATCAGAGTATACTGGTATATTTGGAAATTCGTGCAGTTCTTATTTTCCTTTGTCAAGAGTTGAAACAAAAATCAATTCTCACAATTTCCAATGTGAAATAATAACACATAATACCAGGGTCTGTGTGCATCTCAAACTGTACTGCTTTCATATAATAATTTAGATCTGATTTTAAGCTTCATTTTCAGAGAACAACAGTGTAACTTGAATGTGAGGGCATGTGTGGCAGATGATTTAAAATAACATTTCATATTTAGAGCCATTGTTAGGGGTTTTTGCATCCTTAAATATGTTTTAAATTAGGCTTGCTCTTTAATCCAACAGAGACTGCCAAGTTTCATTAAATAGGCAATCTGTTTGTCCAGTTGCACATTCAGTTGTATATTCGACCGTATTGTTGAAAATAATGTTAAATTGGTAAAAATGCAAGTGAAATTTTAAAAAAAATTTCTAGATGTTCATGCCATCTAAATCTGGAGAATTATAAGAAAGTTGTTTCGGAATGTTTTCTTTTTTAATTTTAAATAAAATCTTTAGGCAAAAAGGTTACTGTCTCTAAGTTATTATTGTAAGGGTTTCTGGAATTGATATTGTGCTAGAAGTGTATTGATTCGTCACTCACAAGGTTATGGTGATCAATTAGTGTGTGTAGTGTGTGTGTATGGGGGGAGTATGTTATTAAATTAGAAAATTAGAATTCAGCTTTTTTTGATCAAGCATTAGTCACTCGCAGACTGGATTATTCACAGGATTTGTCATCATGTCCTTTTTGATGAGTGTATTCATTTGTAGTACTGTAACAAGAGGTGTCTCTAATCGTACTTGAACCGTTGCAAAATATGCTCCCTTTCATCTTGAACCCTCATTGTGATAGCATGAAGTGAGTGAATGTTCTATGTGTTGCAGCTTAACATTTTGATCTTCTGTTGTTTCCACATTATTAAGAGATTGAAATCCAGGCATTTATATATTATTCCTTGCTTCACTCACTCACTGTTTTCACTGTTTCGTCCCATTTAACATTGTCACATACCATTGCAGGCCCTCAGCAAGCTTTTGCATGGGGATGGGGTCAATTTTGAAAAATTCTAAAGGGGGTCCAAATTTGAAATTTTTGGCTCAAAATCACTTGATTGGTTCGCTCACTCGGTTTGCTTAAACCCCGCAAATTCCCTCCTGGCTAGAGGCCTGCCATTGGAAGATTTTATCCAGGGTATTGTACATGTACCAAAATCAATGAATTCGTTGCCATTGAAGAATGGTTTTCCTTTTGAGATAAACTATCTTCATTATTGGTTCTTGGTTCATTTCATGTATAATACTGCGGTGAGGTTAATTGGATTGAATATTAATTAAGATCTCAGTTTGAGACTCACCACGTCTCATTTCTAATTATGTCGTCAGAGTTGAATGTGTAAATCCGAATGAAGACATTGCCATGGTGATCTACAATGATGAGATCTCTTTTCGTGCAGTAACACATTGTATGTTAGTCAAAGGGTTGGGTTTTAGTCAAATGGGTAAGGAATATAAAAAAGAAAAGATCATTTCCCAGCTAGATTTATCTCCTTCAGAACATATGTTTCTACATTGCTGTTGAAAATATATGGCAATCTTCAGAATTTTTGCATGAGTTAGATTTTCAGAAAACACCATGATCCATTCTGAAGATGAGATGTACACGCTGCTAAGCAGTGTGATCATAATATGAAAACCTCTTGTGAAAAACCTGTTACCATGACTTCCATGAGATGATGTTTCTTGTGAAACAGAATGAGATCTGATGAGGAATCTCATACCTTAAGAATCCAGATGAAGATGTGCAATGGTTTTCATTAATAACTAGTTACAAGATTATGGTATTTTAGTTAGAATTATATCATTGATCCCGAACTGAACTAAGATATACCAAGCATATTAGCATGGAGAATACATCTTACATAATCAATATTTTGTGTTTGGTCGAGTATATAGTAAAATATTATATTTGTTTTTTAACTTTGATATTTTGGAATAGATGATAAACATGTTGATATTGGCTTAATTGGAGATAAATCATCTCCAATAAATTATCTCAGATAATTGCTTATGATGTGCATTGTGCTACGCAAAAATAAAAGTGCTTGTTTTATAAATTCTTACTTTACAGTTATACTGTATTGATTGGTTTGCCCAGCTTCCATTTCAAGATTTTGTGATATTGGGAAGAAGAATGCTAGATGGTCTCTATAATGCAATAACTGTCTTCCAATTCATCACACAATTCATTTTTCTGCACAATATAGGCATAGTACCCTATTCAGAGATAATTTGGCAATTTCTGTTCATAAAATCCTGTGTTTAGTGGTCCACTGTGGCTGATATACCATTCTGGTATGCCAGAGCCCGTCTTATCTGCCGTTCACTTTGGAAGGATAAAGACAAAGGGGGCGCGGCTATCGCGATGCTGATATACTATATGGTCTGTTTTACTCATCAACCCATATGCCAGGTCTAGAATGTTCAATGAAGTAACATAAGGATTCCAAACAGAAACACCAATTAGAATGATTCTCAAAGTTTCATGAAATAAAATGGTTGTTTACAGTGATCTCCACAGGATTTTTTCTCAAGTGGGTGCAAAATTCTCATTTTCACAATTCAGACAAAAATTGGTCAAAATATGCCCATTTTTCATGATTATTCTCATTTCCAATTGGGTGCAAATAGATTCTAAGGTGGGTGCAAGCCTATTATTAAAATCTCAAATGAGTGCTGCATCTACTTGCTTTAATGCTGGGGACATCACTCATTTATCATCAAAAATTACATCACATTGTACACGAAAATTTTCCATGAAATCATCGCAAGTCTTAGCACTTGCTTGTGGCAATATGGCCATTTATCAATAAAACCTCTGTAAGTAGAACACCTTTGCCATGTTTAGTGTTCCACTTGTAAGGTGTTCCACATGATAACTGGATGACTGAAAATGTTCACATATTATGGAGGGGTTCTATTTACAGAGGTGTTCTACCTTACAGGTTTTACTGTGATTTAATTAGCATTAACCCATATTACTGATTGTATTTGTTCTATTTTTAGATCAGCAATGTGTTGTTCTTCCTCATCCCCCCTATCCTGATCTACCTCTTTCGACAGTACACTCGTCAAGTTGACTGGGGGGTCAACGTTGTCTGGGTTTTACTGATCATCGTGGGAGCTGGCTCCGTATATTTCCACACAACGCTGAGCATTGTGGGACAGTTAATTGATGAGATCTCTATCTTATGGGTCGTGATGTCAGCCCTAGCGCTATGGTACCCTCGACGTTACCTGCCCGAACTATTCCAAAATAGGTTTGTAATTATATGTCATTATACAGGAGGAGGATGTCATTATATGGGGGGGGGGGTCTATTAAGAGGTACAATTAAATAGTGATTCCTCATTACTTTGGAATCTCGGTTTAACAGTTCCATGTTCTTCTGAACATGCCAGTCCCATAAGTTTTTGATATTCAATCTCAAAGAGCTGTCTGCATTAGTGCATTATATTAGGAAATTCCTGTTCTGTTAACTACAATGAAACCTGTTTTTCTGAACACCTCTCTAATCTGAACACCTCTCAATGTAAACACTTTTCTAGGTCCCAATTTTGTTATCTCCCATTGACTCACATATTGAAAAAATTGAAATGTGAACACCTGCTAATCTGAACACTTATGGCCTGTTCCAGCGGCTTTCGAATTAGACAGGTTTCACTGTACTGTATTCCATTATGTCAGCTGTTCACATTCTGTTTCTCTTTTGTTTAAAACAAAGACACTGTGACTCTAATCAATGGCATGTGCCAACTAAGTGTCCTATAACAATAGAAACATGACATCTGATTTGATTACATTTCATTATTGCACCATAAAACCCCTATAATCAATTCTTAATTGAGTTTGAAGTTTCTTATCAGGAGTTCAGTTCAAAACACTTTTATAGCACCATTCAATGTAGCATTGTATTTTCGGAAGTATATGCTAAAATGAAAAATTGGCTCAACTTTTCTAAGTGTCCCTTGAAGAATTTAGGTTTATATTTTTTATTTAAGTTGTTAGCACCTCCTAAATGAAGCATTCATGATTTACCAAATAACTCACTCTATCCATCAAACAAATTATCTTACAAATTAAAATATTTACATTGAAAGTGAAGTACCTTTATATGCCTATAAGACATCTCAGTAGTATGAGCTTGGAATCAGTGATCTCTCCAGCATTAAAGCAAGTGGGTGCAGCACCCACCTGAGATTTTGAAAATAGGCTTGCACCCACCTGAAAATCAATTTACACCAACTTGAGAAAAATCATGAAAAATGGTCATATTTTGACCAATTTTGGTCTGAATTGTGAAAATGATAATTTTGCACCCACTTTGGAAAAATCCTGTGGAGATCACTGATTATATTATATTATATTTATTATATTATATTATATTATATTATATTATGTTATATTTTTCTATATTGTTTAAAGCAGTTTGTGAGAAATGATATAATTATTATGAGCACAGCTTATGAGCATAGAATAGGAACTAATAATTCTGTGCCAAAATTATCTATTGATTTCATATATTTAATTTTAGGGGTCATTTCAAGATGACAATGTTGTTCTTCACTGTGATAACATCTGGTTTGGCATGTGCAGTTCCTGAAGTAAATGCCTTTGTGCTGATGCTCTTTGGAATACCAGGAATAACATTATTGATCCTTGAATTAAAAAGGTATGCTTTTTACCTATGATTATCAAAGTTAAATCCAAAGCATTGATTTACCCAACATAAAGCAACAATCAAGAATTTGAAAATTACCTAAAGTCAACTATTGAATGCCTTGCAACTTTGCATCTATTTGTATACATGAAATTTGTATATGTACTATACAGTGTGTAATATGATCTAGCCTTGTCGCAATAAATTGCCTTTGATTATTGCTTCAGAACAAAATTATTTATCAGTTTTAATAAGCGATATCTTTACAGATTAAAAGGAAAAGGAAAAAATTAGATTGTATGATAGTATTTGTGAAACAATGCATGTTGTTTTTTGTTTTTTTAACTGTATAATTATATGTAAATGTCTTGTAATTGATTTTGTGAGGAAACCAATAAAATCTTGAATCTTTACAGATTATTACTATTTCTTAATATTTTTCTTTTCCAGGTGTGAGAACACAAGAGTTTACAACCTTGGCTTCCGATGCTGCGTGCTTTTCATCCTTGCCGTGACTTGCTGGATCAACGATCGGCTATTTTGCGAAGTATGGGCATCAGTTAACTTTCCATACCTACACTGCGGGTGGCATCTATTGATATTTATTGCATCCTACACGGCATGTGTTTTCTTCGCCTATTTCGATGCTTTAACTGAAGTGCCAGAACAGATGCCAGTTTTGAAATACTGGCCAAATGATAAATGGGACATTTGGGGCATTCCATATATATCCTTGAAACGTATGGGTCAGAAACCATTGCGTAAGTTCTAGAAATGGGACCTATATGGGGTTTCATATATATCACTGAAACGTATGGGTCAGAAACCATTGCGTAAGTTCTAGAAATGGGACTGATATGGGGTTTCATGTATATCACTGAAACTTATGGGTCAGAAACATTTGCGTAAGACCTAAAATTGGTACAGGGACACTATGATATTTGGGGATTACCATTTATATCTCTGAAATGAACCAAAAGATTTACAAAAGTTACATAATACAGGTGGTAGGACCGTGTACAGTATTATCTGTAGTTCAAAATATTGTTCCACGAACATAAACAAATCATCTATATAATACTTAACCAAAGGGAAATGCCTTAACTTGAGGCCAATCCTCCATTTCTTATTTTTGGAATGGTGCCTTTGGTTTGTGTGCTAAATTGTTTTATTACATAAATAAATAAGTTAAATGAAATTGTTTTGACAAGAAAATCTGACAATAAAGATTTTTCATATTTATAGTTGAGAGAATGTGCAGATAAGTACATGTTGTTATTTGTATATGTGTATATTTTTGTAAATTGCACAATTGTAAGTGTTACTTTGGTTCAGATTTCACAAACCAAAAATACTGGTACATGAAGATTGCAGGTATTTGGTCAACATTCTGTTAATTTAATTATACAATAAATTGCTATATCTGTAGCAATACTGTAATTGTGCAATATTGATTGTGTACATTGTGTGATCAGTTTAATTTTACTTACACGCACAAGCAATAATGTTTATATTTAAACCACAGGAATGTTTTAAAGGTGTGTTATCACTTAATGTACCTATTTGGGTAGACAAAAATATATGCTTGTGTAACTTGGAAAAACTTCAGTTGCAACCTTTGATTTTCAACACTGAGATTGGATAACTTTTTGTGAAAATCGAAGAATAAAATTAATTATCTAATAGAAATCTTCCAACAGAAGTTTAATCCATGTTTTTACACAATATATAGGTGCCTAGTGCTTATAAGTGGATGTATGGTGTGAAGGATATTGTTCATTCCATTTTCAGTCCGAATAAGACAAATTGAAAATCATATTATCATTTTGTGCTTTTGATGCAGTATCTAATTGCATAATATTGTAAAAAGTAAGTACATGTACATGGACAGAAGTATATATAACTTGACCTATATATTAATGTAATAGTGTTACATAATACTTTCTCTCTGTCATATATTGTTAAGATATATTTTCCTAGTTCCGTATATTAGCATATAGTATACAGATCTGGTAGTTATTCATAGGCTTATAAAGTTAAGATATCTATTGTTGATATTGCCACAGTGAGTTCAGGAATTGCTTATTTTGTAAAACCATTGAAACCAAACTGGAAGTAACCTTTACTTCAGTGTCACTTAACCCATATTCTTTGGAAGATATTATAAATATACATATTGCTACAGAGACACATGATATGGAAAAATATGTGGGCGTTGGAAGTAAGATCTGTTGTTTTGTAAAACATCAAATCAGCCTTACATTCGAGATTCAATTTTATGTAAGAGTTGGGGTGGGGGGGGCTATCAGAGGCCTCATATAATATATGAATATTGAAGTTCTTAGGGGTCATTTTCACTTATTCAATTTTGTGTGTAAGGCTGTATTAAAAAGGCTCAATACAGAAGCTGTTGACATTGTTCGTGCCAAAGTGTGTTAATTGTGACGACGAATGGCCATGGAAAAGTAGAATGGGCTAAGATTAAAGAAGATGGTTTCAAGTTGCCAAACTTTATGAGGGGAGTGTAGTGTACATGTCCTGAATGATGTATCAATAATGGAAATGCTCATATTACTGTAATGAAGATATTTTGAGAGTTCAGACGTTGTACGACGAGTCTAGGATTTAGTAACTGTAGCCTAACTTTCAAATAAAAATATAATACATACCATTAGTTGCTTGATTAGTGCAGTAAACTTTGTAATTGCAAGTATATATAAATGTGCAGTAATTTTGAATAGTTTGTAAGTGTGTGTCATATATTATATATTACTTGTACTGCTTTATTTGATGTGGAACTATTTATTTACACATTTTCAGTCAAATATTAACTGTTGCTTAAGGTCAGGGTGCACTTTGATGAAATTTCATGACCATGTGTGATTTTCAGATAAACATAACTCATTCCACACATCATCCATATCTTTCACTCTTGCACAAAAGATGCATTAGTGTACGTAGACTATAATTGAGTGTTGATAATTCTTCAGAATGTTTGAATAACTAGAATATTCAGTGGTTTACTTTTCAAAATTGCCAAAATATTCCAACATGCACCCTGGCCTTAACTTTAAAATACAAGATATTAACAGCAGTTTAATGTAGTTGTGCAGTTTATTAGTTGTATTTATATTTATGAATGTACAGTTTGAAAAATTGGCTGTTGCATGTGCCATAATTTATTTCGCTCTATTGTTTTATTTTAACTGGGAAATTTTTTCACATGTTAAAAACATTTTTTTCAATCAAACTTATCAAAAAGCACAATCGTACATATTGTAATCTACTATGTTATTTACATGTATCCATACTATAGCGACTGTTATTGTACATACACTTATATACATGTATAAAGGTGATTGGGGAAGTCTTATTTATTAGGTAGTTTTAAACCTGGAGATGCTGTGACACAGACCCATATTTTGGCCAGTGTCTGATCTAAATAATCTTTGCTTTTAATGGAACTAATTGGCTTTATTATACCCAGGGATTTAGGCATTGCATGTAACATATAAAGTTTATATAGTACAGCTGTATTTGAATGGCTCATGGCAAACACGATCGATTTTGTTTCAAAAAACTGAATGTGGCAAAATGAATTACAACCAAGTCTTACAATTGCCCACACACTCTGAGGTGTATTGTGATTTTGAAATCTGATGTACACGTATATTCATTTTGTTGGTGGGAGTATTCAAGGCCAAAGACAGCTGGATTTTTATTTTATTTTAAAAGTCGTGAATATATTACATACTGTGTACGCACATGATATGTTATCTATTTATTGCTCTATAATCTTCACTTAAGTGATTATGTGTATTAAATTTCATTTTCATGCATTTCAGATCAGGTTAGTGAGGGGAGGCATCAAGTTTGATGTGATCGGAAACTAAATAAATATATTTATTGACTTTGACCTCCTCTCCCCCAAAACTAAATATTATGAAAGTTGATCGCTAAAATCCGGTTTGGTTATTTGAAGATTATTTCTAAAACTAGATTTATTTAGTTTTCGATCCGACATCAAACTTTTGATGCCTCCCCTAAGGGACATAAAATATAAGAATGTTTAGCTTAGCCTCCCATATATATATATTACCATATGATTCTGCAGGCCCGTAGCCAGGGGGGAGTTTGAGCGAAAAAAATTCTTTCAAAATCATGCAGTTTTTCACCATTCTGAGCAATTTTCAAGCGATTTTGGCAATTTTTGGCCAAAGTTGTCAAAACTGGATCCCCTCTAGAATTTCTTAAAAGTGAACCCCCTTGATAAATCCTTGCTACGGGCCCGAATCCTGAAAAGCATTTACTGAATAAATCATGATGGGTCATCTCTTGCCAAAAGTGTTTTATTAGTATATAAGTGTTGAAGATAAAAGTTTGGCATATGGAAAAACATGTAATCTTGAAACATGAAATTTTGACCAATTTTGTTTATACCATTTATAATCTAAGACTTCATAACCTTACCTTATTAAAGCTCAAGGACTTTATCTGTGCAATGATATTATATTGCTTATTTTTAAGCTGCTAACTTTTTTTTTTCATGATGCGAAAGAAAGGATATTGTTGAGTAGTTTTTAATGTTAAGTGATTTACTACATTCAAGTGTAATAAGTTAAAAGTGTTATAGAATTAGAATTGAGGGGCCATTGCAAAAGTTCAATGTAGAATAATTAACTATACAGCAAAACTTTTGTATATTGAATATTTTTTTCCGAGATAAAATGTTCAGTGGTAGGTGTTCACTACAGAGAGGGCAATTTATACAGAAGTCAGTAGAGTATGTGTGGAGGAACGGTGTCCACTATAGACAGGTGTTCACTAGAGAGAGGTGTTCACTAGAGAGAGGTGTTCACTAGAGAGATGTTCACTAAGACAGGTGTTCACTAGAGAGGTGTTCACTAAGACAATTTTACTGTAGTAGTGAAGTCTTGCACATAGTTAGCTATACATGGGTGTGCCGTATTTTTGCGAAATATTGAATCTCCAGTCTGTAGGTGTATACCAAATGTCGATATTAACCATTCCCTACTAAAATCACATTCATTTTTGCAATGGTCCCTAGACCTGACATTAAATTTAATATTGGAAAGGTTGCTCATAGTGTATTTTGTATATGCCAGTGAAGTGTAAAGCAATTAATAAATAGAATATGAATGTCTATAATTTTGTTTTGTTTATTTGTATTAGAATGGACATGCTAGTCCTAGGAGCTTGAATAATTTCCATCATACTATCAGGATCGGGGAAATGAATGATAATCACAAGTGCTGAATTGGTACTCCATTTGAAAGTCAGGGATTCCCTTCATTTCAGGACAAGTGAATCCTTTGATTTTTAAGCTATCTAGCGATAATTTTGAAAAGTAGACGCCCTCTTTAATTTAATGAGAATGATATGCATCTTACTCCCATATCTCCAATTTTAATGAAAAATTGTAAAATCAACAGATAAATTATAGAAAAATTTAAACATAGATAAATAAACATTATATGCAATATAATGCCTCTATCAGAGAAAATAACTATCAACTATTTTAATTTGCTTTGTCTATTTTGGATTTTTTTTAAAATTCTGGCTATCTCTGCATTATGTAATAATAAATTACAGCTGTCTGTTCCCTGGACTTGCCATCTACAACAGCTACTATAATCAAACCAACAAAAAAACATGATATGTTTTTTAAATAAATATATTTTTATACGAGGGTTGTCCCAGAAGTAATGCACTATATACTCTAACTTTCTTTAATATTCTTCAATTCAGCTGAAATTTTGTGTATATAACTATTGAAGTCTTACCTATTATATCCTGAAGTTTCAGCATCAAAAGTTAATATGAAGTCTTAATATGGTTGCTATAACAACATGGGGGTAGGGGTGGGTGGGGCAGGTACCAATTTTTCTGATTATGAAAAGATCTAAAGTGTTATTTTATGAATATTTCTTTCCTTTAAATGATCAAAATGTTTGGGAAATTGTTTAATTTATTCAGCATGATGTTAACCAACTACAAATAATGACATTTAGCACTGTGATGTCATAATACCACATTTCAATAGTCATGAATTCAAATACAGTCACAGTCAAGAAATTGCAAAATGGCTGTAATTTTCACCTAATAATAGAAGGCCTTGCATTTGGTGGCCTAATTTCAAACTTCACTTGGACTCACAGCCACGCAAAACTTATGCTACCATGAAGAAAGTATATAAGGAGTATATACCAGATAGAACTACAATTATGAGGTGGCAGAAGAGATTTAAAAGAGATGATTTGACCCTGGATGACAACTCCAAACATGGGAGGCAAAAACTCCACAAGTCACAGTGGATGAAATTGCCAAGAGTGTTTGACCTGACAGGCATCAAGAGTACATAACATGCAAAGGGCAATTATTTTGAGAAAATGTGAAATGGGACACTGTGCAATGTTCATCCGTTAAATCTAGGATGTGCTGATAGTAATTTAGTATCTTTAAAATGTATTTTTGAGCATACTTCTTATAGCTACACAAAATGGTATTTGTTGATTAATTATTTCGTATTTTCAAATTTTTATTACTTTTGACGTGACTGTATAACCTGCCCCACCCTACCCAAACTCACCAACTTGATTTTATTATAACATCAATATAGTTTTATCAGTTAACATGAAAATCTTTAGAATAATCAAAATGTCTCCAAGGAACATTTACTGAAAATTTCATGGAAAAATATCAATTATAGATAAAGTTAGAGCATATAGTGCATTACTTCTGGGACAACCCTCGTACAATTCCTTAATTACAGCCCATGGCCATAATCATATACAGAACTAGCTTGTTTAGTCTCAGCCTACAACCTACCATTGTAAAACAGTATGTTGTTTTGTATTATAAACAAAAACAATGAAATTCAAACCTATAAGATGTTGAGGCATTACAGTAAAACCTCTGAATAGTGAACATTTTTTTGTATGATCATTGAGTACTACAATGTTTATGGTACCCTTTGGATTTGTTTGACTTTGCTTCTTAAAAGAGAGCTTCATCTCCAGTGATTATAATTAGACTCTGCACACAGGGTATGTATATGGTACTATTAAACAGTCAGTCATACCATTGAGTTCCAAAGACAAAATAAGTAAAATGAATTTGATCCCTATTTTGAAGGGAGTGTCCCCAATTTCTTTTAATTGCCTTTAAACATTACAAGAGAAACCTCTATACGACGCAATCATGTACTTTATCAAAATACCGTTTAACAATGTCTACCATAAAAAATGTAAGTCTATTACATTAGTAATCAATATGTACATTGTATTGAGCAGTTTCTGTTTTACAAATACAATATGCTGACATTTTACTTTAGTCCATATTTAATGTATCACTGAACATTGCTGTAAACTGATCAATAGATTCCTTTAAGTTGGCATTGACTTTAAATTATACCTATTAGGAAAATACAATAAAAGCCAATAAGTATGGATTTTCAAACAATGAACTTAACACTAAATACAAGTGTGAGCCAGTGCTAAACATTATGCTCTCAAGAAAAACCATGGCTATACTACAAATAACTCTATACGATAATATTACATAATTAAAGCATGTTGTTTTTGTTGCATGTGAAGTACAACTACAGTTCAACTCTCATACTTTATACATATCGCACATCTACAACATACATTCACACAATTAAAACAAACATTCATACATCTAAAATGTATATTCATACGAATCTTGCAATATTCATACTGTTCGATTGCAAACTCCTTTATTTTTGGATGTTGAACTGAACCAACTCTAAAGTTATTAACATCTCACATTTTTTGTCTCTTATTTGTTAACTAAGTAAGTTTAGACTTGTTGTAGTGTGCTTTAACAGAGTCATGTTAGATTTCTATTTGTCGCTGCAACAATATTATGCAAATTGTATCGTTACTCACTTGTTGGGTTGTCTGAACATGGTTAATGTAATAATAGTCTACTATACTGTGTAATATCACAGTCTGCTGTGTAATATCACAGTATGCTGTGTAATCTTACAATCTACTGTGTAATGTGCTGTACTTGATGAATATTTAATATTTTTGACAAGGATGCAGGTCTGGATATCATAATGTAGGATATTGTCTTCCTCGTGTCCAATGTATTCCAACATTGCCTTTAAACCATGTCAATGTGGATTATCCATCATTACTGTTGTTTACATTGCTCATCTTTACCAGCTTCAAAGTCATCATTTGTCTCAATGTGTGTGTTATTAAACTGATCCCAATAAGATGGACTGTTCTGGTTGCTTGTCCTAAGAGCAGGGAAGCCAAACTTACTAGGAGTTGCTGCTAAAGCTTTACTGGTTGGCTTGGCACGAGCAGGGGTGGTCTGTGTGCTACTGCAGTTCATTCCTGGAAAGGGAATTTTCGATTAATACACATGTAAATGAATACAAATATACATTCCTATTTCAATGTACTGATACATTCCTGAAAAGTGAGTTGATTCCTACACATTAATAATACACAGGAACATTAGTACATATGCGCATTTGTGCACATGTAAATCATACACATGTATATTTTTACATATGTACATTAATACACATGTTCATGTAAGAAATGGGGTACTTACAGTTTAGCTATGTCCGTACATTTGTTTACCTAGTGAAATATTGCCATATTTGGCCATTACTATAACCTAGCCATAAATTATTAACTTTACATGGGGCCTTTAAACAATATATTTGTCAGGTTTAGATTGTGTAATATTCACCTGTGGTATCTGCACTAGTTTTTATATATGACTTCAGTCTGGTGTTTTCTTTGTTCTTCTTGTCATAATCATCCCTGCAAAGACAATGTCAAATTCAATAAATATTTTAAAACCCTCTTTTAGTGGTCTTATACGCATCAAAATGCACAATAAAGACCTTCAGTTAGGAACTTCCTCAAATATATAAACTGTTTTTGGGAACTCACTTGTATTTTGAATATTCTTTCTGGAGTGTATCACATTTGATTTTCAATGCTTTATTGTCTCGTTCAAGGCGCATAATCTTTGCCTCCAGTGTGTAGATTACAGTGCTGCTCACGGCACCACTACCACTACCATAATGCCCATCACTTCCTGGCTCTTGTTTAATAGGCGCAACCTTAGGCTGGTTGGATTCACTCATGACTGGAAAGAGCAATGATGCAATAAAATAGAATAGGATTTATTGTGCACAGATATCTGATATCTTGAAAAGTGAAATAGAAATGTCAGGCATCATAGTCATTATAAATAATAATAAAAAGTTCCTACATGTTGCTTGCTTCGATATTTAATTATGTTTGATACCCCAATTCTTTATTCTGGTCTTTGCTGCCCCTTTAATACACTTACTGGAGTCATCCTGTCTTGTGAGCTGCTCCCTCAACTGTCTCACTTTCAGGTTGGCAGTCTTGACCTGCTCCCTTAAGTATCTGATGTCATCCTCTTTGGCAGCGAGCCTTAAGAAGAAAGAAATTTTATAAACTTGAAGTTCAATAACTATTAAGAATGGTTTTCATAATGATTGGACAATCATGCCAAAGAACTACCAGAACAGATTGTTCCAAAAGAAACAGAACTGGTGCTGGCAATTTGTCAATTCTGCACCGAGAGTCTTAAAATTTTCACTTTGAAGTATTGCAACTAATGTTGCAAAGTTTCAGAAAAAATGATACAATGCTGGTAGAGTTATGGTTACTTGTTTATTTTTAGTTGCTTTGTTGTAATAGTGTTGCTATACAATTCCTGGAATATCAATATGTATTATGTCACCATAGCAAACATAATTCTACCCGAGTTTCATAATTTTGTTGTTTTAGTTATAATACATGAAAGTACATTATGTAAAATTTTGAAGAAAACTGATGCATATTTTACAAAATACCAGCACCAGTCCATTTACTTTTGGAACACCCTGTACATCTATTTTACTTACTCCTCCTTCCAACTTTCTTTTATTAACTTTGTCTCCAGTCGATTAATTTTCAGATTCTTTTCTACAATTTCCTGCTCCATTGTATTGACTTTTGCCTTTAAGTTCTCATCTGTTGCTCCTGATGGGTTGCGGCCTTTTTGTTCCACTATAAGCAAAGCAAAATCAAAAATTTGATCATACACAACTTTTAGGCTGAAGATTTGTGATTTTTCTTTAGAAGACATTTCTATTTAAAATATGAGTATGAAGTGGAAATTTTCCCCATTCAAAACAAACACTGAACACAAAACTCTTTGCTTGCCTTTTTGTACACTTTACCACAAAGACTGGAAACTGCAATTCGAAGAGTAAAAAAGGGAGTTCTGTTCAAATTGGAAAGACCACCAAAGCTTGAGCAAAGGGCAGTATTAGCAGCCATAACATGGAAGCACAGCCATTCTAGAAATGTTACGACTAAGGCAAGTACCAATGAAAACAACACAACTGTAATATCACCTTGGATTCTCAGGAATTTAATCTCTAGTTGTTCAAGATCTTTTCTCAATGATGTTGTTTGAGCCTTTTCCTCATTCAGCTCCTTGTCTGATTCTTCACAACAATCCTCCATGTGCTTTAGCTACAAAACAACATTTTCCATACGCTTTAGCTACAAAACAACATTTTCCAAACGATTTAGCTACAAAACAACATTTTTTCATAAGCTTTAGCTGTCAAACAGTTTTCATGAGCTTTAGATTTAAAAATTATTTTGATGAGCTTTAGCTGTGAAACAACATCTTTCAAAAACTTTTACTGTAAAAAAACATTTTCATGAGTTTTAACTGTAAAACAATATTTTTCATGAGCTTTAGCTGTAAAACAACAACTTTCATGAGCTTAAAACTGTAAAACAACAATTCTCCATGAGCATTAGTTGTAAAACAGTAATTTTCTAGCATTAATTAAAGCAGTTTCAACTATTAGGTAGCGATCTGAGGCACTTCGATCAGGGTGTTGTCGGGACAATTTCTCTTGTGACTTAGGTTATGTATTTAGGTCTATCTCAACAGATTTTACTGGTCTTATGCGCCGCAAATGGTGCGAAAGATGTTAAAATTGCATTTTCGACCCTAAAATTCAGATTTCTTGGGGGTACATTATTATTTAGCTATAAAACAAAAACTAAACAACCAATGCTTCTTTCTTTTGGTGTTTCTGTTAAGAGTAATCATACTTGAAATGCATATGTAAAAAAATTGAAGAATTTTAACTTTATTTAAAAACAGCAACATTTTTTCACCCTAAAATCATAGAATTTAGGGGGGTTGAGAGACATTGATTGGAATTGATTTTTTAATTTCTCAATCAATCTCAGTTTAATATTAATGGAACTTTCCTAAAAGTAGCACCAACATGTCCCCAACACATTACCATAAAGAAAAAACTCAAACTCTAACATGTTTTTTGCCTATATGGGTCAATTTACCTCTCCCCTCTATCCCTTCTTAGAAGGGCGTGGCCATATTGGCATGTTCATCTAAAAATAAATACTTCATGTTCATATCCATCCTCCGATCACAGGGCTTCAAAATCCAGAACATATTCTTTCTTTTTACCCCCAGCAATAAGCAGTTACCATTTCCCCGATTAAGAACTCGCAATCTGATTGGCTGTCGCAACACTGCGACAGAAATCATGTATAAGTCATTGTGCATAATTAGATCACATGATTCAGTTAAATCAGGCACGTCGCAGGGGGAAGAAGGAGGTACGGATTCTGGACACCTGCTTAGGAGGATGGTTCACATCATGTTATCATTTTTATGTCACCAACAAAAAGTGGTGACATATTGTTATGGTCTCTGTTCTTTTTTGACAGTGGTCAGTGGTCGGCGGTTTGTGGTTGGAGCTTGGCAATTGGTGTCTGTAACAAATTCTTACAATTTCAAATAATTAACAAATACTGTATAGACTGACTTCAATTGTTTTCAAAATCATCTACATGTTTTCAGATGTTCAAATCTGACTTTATATTTAAGATTTGACCTTCAATGACCTTTTCAAGGTCAGAAAAAGTCTTTTTTCAATTTGCTTCAAATTAACCAATTTTTCAAAATCATCTATAAGTTATCAGAAGTTCAAATCGGACTTAAGATTTGACCTTCAATGACCTTCTTAAGATTTAAGAATATAGATTTGATCATTAAATGACATTCTAAAGGTCAAAATGGATCTGACCTTTAGTGACCTCCTCAAGGTCAAAAAGGTATTTTTTATCTTGTTTCAACTAGGTGGTGACATTTTGTCATGTTAATGCCTTGTTTTACTTGTAGCTAGTGAATGTCTTTGAAATAACATAAGCCTAATACAGTGGGACCTGGGTTAGTGAACACCTTTCTCTAGTGAACACCTGTGTAAAATGAACACCCTATTTTCAGCACATACCTTGATTCCAATACAAATTGTCTTTCTGTATTGAAATCTTTTTTGTAGCTCTATAGATGTTCACTGTACACAGGTTTTACTTTATACAAAACACCTTTATATTTAACTTTAATTAATAAACTGATTATCTAATTGCAATTATAAATTGCTATCTATTATTTGCAGGGAACATGTAGCAAAACAATAAGGGAGAATAGTAAGCTATTCAAGGCTTATTACTGTCTGATGTTCTATTATTAACTAATTTGATTGATTCAATTGATGGCTTTCTCAATCCATTCCAAATTGAGGACAATGATCATTTATACTGCATATCATCTGGAATGCCAACACTCTCTAATTTAGCAGATGATCTCTTAAATGCAGCATCCAAGGGCACACAAGCCTTTAAGCAATTTATTCAAGGCCAATTTGTGCAGAAGGGAAAAAGTTTTCATGACTCCATAAAAGAATGAAACTGAAAACATCTGAATTCAATGCTGGAGTCAAAAAGGTGAAAAGCTCTGGAAACAGACTGATTGAGATTAGAGCTGAGCGCAATACATTTGGCCAGTTAGTCATGTTATCAGAGCAGCATAGTATCAGTCTAAAGCGAATATTGGAATACCCCCTGAGTCTAATACCCTGGGCTCTTGGAACACCTGATGGACTCTTGGTTAAAACAGAAAAGTCAAAATTATTACATGAGCTGGAAACATATAATATTACATGGACCCAAACCAGAAAAAACAATTATAGTTTATGATGGCAATGCATTGTTCCATATACTTCCTGAGCGACCCAAAACATTTGGATTACTGGCAGAGAGGATCCTTCAGATGCTTCCTATAAGAAAGATTCAATTAAAGAACCAGAAAGAATACGCAGGCGTGTCTCCAAAAAGCTAATAATAAAAGGACCTAATACCAGAATTCCTAACAATTGGAAGGAATTCCTCTTAAATGATGAGAATGAAATGCAGCTGAGTCAGTTGATCCTTGAAGAATGGAAAAAGATAAAAATGCCCCTAAACTCAAAGAAAGACAGATTCATGTGGTGAGATCTGTACAGTGCACCAGTGATAGAACTACTGTTACACATAGAGTTGAATCAAGCCTGGAATCTTCCCACAAAGAGGCAGATACAAAAATTATACCCCATGCAATTAACATGAAATGAACCTGAAAATACAGAAAAAAAACTATAGTTGTGAGATCCCCAGATAGCGATGTTTTTGTACTTCTTGTGCACTTTCCAATCTTATTCAAACTCCATTAATTTTTGACACTGGTAGTGCAGACCACATATGACTTATTAAAGGTGCAACAATTAGTGCAGGGGGGTAATTCAACGATCATCGACCAGTGTCAAAATATATTTAAGTTTGGATATTTCATCAAGAGTACCCTTTGCATTCGTTTGACTTCGCTTCTTAAAAGAGAGCTTTGTCTTCACTCTTTCAAACTAAAATAAACCTGTGAACTCACCGCGCCAATCAGTGTTCGTCGGCCAAATTTGACTGACGTTCTATATATGGTCATTCCTTCTGACGTCATCGTTGAGCCCGGAATTGACCAATGACATGCGCATATTTAATTAGAACGCATTTGACGTATGTTTCTTCAAGCTCGCTGATTGGTGGAAGAAAGGGCAGCGCGTAGGTCAAAAGTGATTTATTACCCAAACTGTCACCGGTACCCGTCGTGGGGCGGGGCTACTAAACTGTAATATGGTCTCTACTAGGCAGAGTGTAGTTTAACTAGACTCTGCACACAGGGTACATCAAGAGTAACATATATTTTTATTATCTACAAAGAAACCCCCTTGATGAACATTATTTCAGCTGATATTCCTCTTGAAACGTGGTGAATCTTAAAAATCTATAAGTGGGACTCCCTTTATAGAAGCTTTGAACTGAATTTACACTTCTAAATTGAGAGTTTATCCATACATTTTAAGAAAATAGATATGTCAAAGAAGATGTTAAACCAAATATTGACCTGATAGCTCAGAAAAAAGAAAAAAAATTGAATTTTCTCTCTACAGTCCCTTGTTGCCCCTTTAATGTAAAGGAAGTAGGAAATGCGCTCAGTTCAGACATTTGTAAATTTGTAATGCTTTACCAACCTTCCATTCATTTACTGGATGTGATTCCTTCAGTGCCTTTGTGAGAAGGGAGAAAGTGTCCCCCCCCCTAAAATTACTTATGAGAATTTCAAAAAGGTTTCGGCACCATTGGAGGGGTCATTAGTGATCAAACTGCTAAATGTGCTGAGAAGTTTACTTGCCAGATGTATGGAAACAAAAAGTGTTCAAATATAAATGAGCTGAGATATACCTTATTCAAGAACAAATTTCAACCAAAATCTGCTCCAAGTATGATAACAAGCTATGAAGGCACTAACCATAAGCCTCCTACCCCCATGTAAAGATTCATTACAGCAGCATCTGGCAAGGGCCAGTTATCAAACACACATATGGAAACTTGCCAACATCCCCTCCCCATCAATTCCCTCCCCTGTGTCACATGGATGGAGGATGAAAGATGGCCATTTGGATTTCAATGGGTGTCAAATCCAGATAAAATTCTACCCCAGGACCTGGTAGATGTTATCGTATAAGATGATACTTTAGAAGATCAAAATGAAGAGGAAGTTTATGAAATACAAAGCTTTATGGATCAAATATATTCTGGTGAATAAAAACTACATTTGTGATGACAGAAATTCATACAATGAGTAAAATTAATATTATGACTGAGTCGTGAACTGTGTATTAGATAATATTCAACTTCAGATTTTTAATATTCTTATATCTCAAGCCTACATAGAAAAAATATTGTATTATAAATAATTCACAGGTATGTACTATATGTATACACCTGTGAAAATATTTTATGGTAATATATTTGATAAAATACATGATATGTACATGTATTCATTTAATGTGACATCATGCTACTGTTTAAATCCACATGTATTAATGGCCACACCCCTTTTATAAGGGAAAGAGGGGAGAGGTAAATTGACCCATATAGGCAAAGAACATGTTAGAGTTTGAGTTTTTTCTTTATGGTAATGTGTTGGGGACATGTTGGTGCTACTTTTAGGAAAGTTCCATTGATATTAACCTGAGATTGATTGAGAAATTAAAAAATCAATTCCAATCAATGTCTCTCAACCCCCCTAAATTCTATGATTTTAGGGTGAAAAAATGTTGCTGTTTTTAAATAAAGTTAAAATTCTTCAATTTTTTTACATATGCATTTCAAGTATGATTACTCTTAACAGAAACACCAAAAGAAAGAAGCATTGGTTGTTTAGTTTTTGTTTTATAGCTAAATAATAATGTACCCCCAAGAAATCTGAATTTTAGGGTCGAAAATGCAATTTTAACATCTTTCGCACCATTTGCGGCGCATAAGACCAGTAAAATCTGTTGAGATAGACCTAAATACATAACCTAAGTCACAAGAGAAATTGTCCCGACAACACCCTGATCGAAGTGCCTCAGATCGCTACCTATATACTGATCCATGTATTTTCACATAACAAGATTTAGAAATGATAACTAAACACCTATACAATGAACATGATGTCCTAAATAAATATTTACCCTTTCTCTAAATTTGGCCTGGGAATCTTCCATCTGCTTTGCTTTGGTCTTTAACTGGTTCTTTGTCTTCTCATGTTCAAGTCTCTCCTCTTCTAATTCCTTGTCGGACTCTTCACAACATGTTTCCATGTGCTTCAGCTTGAAAATAAAGTTCACCCTCAAAAATGATGTATGAAAGGATCCTTCAGAGAGAGCTCATGACTAAGGTTGAAAATGTGATTGCCAAAATTTACTAAGTTGGCATTAAAGTCCATTCATTGCATTGCCAAATTAAATGGGCAACCATTTTGTAAAGTTCAGCGCCAAGAGTGAAGAGTAAATGAAATTGGTAATGAGACATTTGTTATATTACAGACACCGAACGCTGTACTCTGAATCATGAGCTTTCAACTAGATCTAATTGAAAGCCCATGTCCGAATGCTCTCCACAAAAAACTGGAGACAATAACAAATGTCACCACTTCTGTTGGTGGTGACATAAAACAGAGGTACATCAAGCCACCTATCTTACCCTTTCACTATATTTGGCACTGGCTTCTTCTATCTGCTTGCACTTGGACTTCAGTTGGGTCATTGTCTTTTCATGTGCTGATTTTTCTGCTTCAAGCTGACTGTCCAACTCTTCACAGACTTCTTGTACTTTGGCAATCTGGGCATTCAGTCCCTTGATGTCAGTCTCGTAGTATTTTTTCTGATCTGGAAAGAGAATCATCTATACTATAGTCATATTCATAGTGTTGTAATGGTCAACCGTGTTGTAATGGTCCATAGTGTTGTAATGGTTCATAGTGTTGTAATTGTCCATAATGTTGTAATGGTCAACCATGTTGTAATGGTCCATAATGTTGTTATGTTCAATAGTGTTGTAATGGCATTAAGTGTTGTAATGGGCAATAGTGTTGTAATAACCCATAGTATTGGAATGCTCCATTGTGTTGTAAATGTCCATTGTGTTGGAATGGTCCATAGTGTTGTAACGGTCCATAGTGTTGGGATGGCATGGGAGTGACCACAAATGCAGTCAATTTTCTCAATTTTCATACTATAATTGGAATTAGTTGCACAATAACATTTGAAATTAGGTATGAAACTGAATGACAGATTCATGTTTGCAATAAGAGTTTTGGAAAATCCTGATGATACTACATTCAAAAATTAATTTTGAATTTGTCTTTTTTTATATCCATAAATAGGAACCTACTTTCCAATTGCAGCTGTAGTTTCTGTAACTTGATTTGCTCCTCCCCAAGTTTACGTTGCGTTTCACTATTTCCAAGCTGCTGAGACTCCAGTTGTTCCTGTAGAGTCTTGGTTGTGTCACTGAGTGATTTAGACTCTTGGAGTAGCTTAAGCTGTTGTAGGGCTTGAGCTGAGGTTTGTTTCTCATTTTTAAGCTCCATGGACATTTCTTCTAGTTTAATCTGAAATGAATTGGTGACTTCAGACTCGACACATACCTAAACACATGGTTTTCCGTTTCATGTTTCTTTCTTGAAAATCTGTTAGTTCCAAAATGATTCTCCCGATTAAATCCTCCATGTGAATACAAGTACACAACAATTATAAATTGCCCATAATGCAACCTGTTTTAGCAGACGCCTTACCTCTAACTCCTGAGCATGCTCTATAGCTTCAATTATATGTTTTTTCTCCTCAAAATGTTCAGCCTCAGCATCTTCTATAGTTTTCTTCAACTCCTTCAACTCGTTTTCTTTAGCCTCAAGTTGACGTTCCTAAAACAGTTATTGTAAGAGCATTCAAGTGACATTTCAAGTAAGACCCATCTACAATACTTTAGGAATGATAACATTGACATTTCATTTATAAATATGAGTCCAAAATGGGAATGTAAAACCCTTTGAAAATGGCTTGTTAGGGTATCTGATGTATTGAAAGGTATGTAGCTTATGACCTGTTGCTTATGTCACATGATCACTTCACCATGACAACACACATTGCTAGCTACAAATCACCAATTGCTAGTCCAGTGCCTGAATGCAGTGATGCGTTAGTGATTTACATTTTAATGAAATCTACTTGTAATTGAAGAAACCATATATCATTGGTCAGTAACGATTACATTATAATTCAATAATCAACATGAAATATTACATACCTGACGTGCTTGTAATTCTTGTAAGATGACTTCTTGCTCAAGTTTTAATTCCTGAATTTGGAGTTTATAATCTTCCTCAATGTCAATTGCATTAGCAGCATTATTTTCATTGGTCAATGCAGCAATTTTCTCTTCAAATTCAGATCGTATGCGAGTCAACTCAATCGAGTGTTCATTACGAAGTCCATTTTCTCGCTCTTCACTTTCTTCATATATCTTTACAGTTGCTTCGTTGAATTGATTCTGTTGATCCTCCAAGTTTTGATTCACTCTGGACAATTCTTCTTTAACAGTGTTAAGTTCAGCAGTCAATATTTCTAACTCTTCAGGTTTCAAAGTTTGTTCCTTAAGTTTGGAATTCTCTTCTTCAATCTTCAATTTTTCAACTTCCAGATCATGAAGTTCAGTTTCAAATTGTTTGAGTTTCTGTTCTAACTCTTGATTTCTTGTAATCAATTCTTCAAAATCTTCAAGTTTACTTGTCTTTTCTCTCAAAGACTGAAGTTCTATGATTTCAGACTTTTGATTTTCAAGTTTAGATTTTTGCTCTTCAAGCACAATTTCATACTCTTTAAAATGAGCTTGAAGCTCCTCAAATTCAGCCTGAAGCTTATCAAATTCTTCAGTTTTAGAGCCCAGTCTTTCTTCAAGTGACACAAAGGCATCATCATTATTCTCAGATTTGAGCGTCATCATTTCTTTCTTTAAATCTGCTATTTGTGACACAAGCTCAATGTTTTGCTGTTCAAGTTCATCCTTTAAGATCTCAATTTCTACTTTCTGGGTCTCAATTTCAAGTTTTTGAGTTTCAAGTTCTTCATATTTGACCTCCAAATTAGCAATCTCTTCAGGTTTATTCAGTGTTGTTATCTGCTCCTTTAGATCTGTTACTTGGGAAATGAGCTCAGTGTTCTGCTGTTCAAGTTCATCTTTTAAGATTTCAATTTCTATCTTTTGTGTTTCAACTTCAAGCTTTTGAGTTTCAAGTTCTTCAAATTTGGCTCCCAAATTAGCAATCTCTTCTGTCTTGTTTAGCACCATTTCATTTAAACTGGACTTCTCACTTAGTTCTAGTTCATATTTTTCAATTATTGTACTCAATTCATTTTCTTTTTCAGTGTTCAACATTTCTCTGACATTGTTTTCCTTTTGAGCAAATTCTTCAGAAAGTTGAGCTCGTTGACTTTCCAACTTTTCATCAAGTGATCTCAAAAAGTTCTCCTTTTCTTCGGAAAGTTTTTCTGAGAATTCATCCTGGAGTTTGATCTTCTGATCCTGAAGCTTGACTTCAAAGTTAAACATTTCATTGTTCGTTGAACTTTCTTGGATCCGCTGTATCTCATCCATCAACTTCTGCTCCCATTGTCTCTCAAGATTAGCTTGTTCAGTTTCCAATTTAGTTTCCCATTCTGTCTGTAGTTCATCTTTTTGAGATTGTAATTTCTTTTCCAAAATTGCTTCCCATTGTTGCTTTTCATCCAAATGGATTTTCTCAGTTAGCTCAACAATCTTTAATTCATATTCACTCACTAAATCTTCCTTCTGTGCATCAAGTTTTGTTTCTTGTTCATTTTCCATGATCTCACGCTCTTTTGCTAAACGATTTTCCATGATTTTCTCCCAGTTTTGCTTCTGTTCATTCTCCTGTGTTTCTATTTTTCTCATCATTTCATTCATTTTAGCTTCATAGTCCAACATGAGACAATCCTTTTCATTGTCTAATTTATTTTCCCACTCAATCTGAAGTGATTCTCGTTCTTTAACGACATGTTTTTCCAACACAGTTTCCCAGTGCTCTCTTTCCTCCTTTTCAATTTGAGATTTAAGTGCTGCCATCTTTTGCTGGAAATCTGCTTCGACAGATTCTCTTTCTGAGTTCAACTTCTGTAGGACTTCACGATCATGTTCCTCTTGTAGGGATTTCGTCCTCGTTTCCAGAAGTTTTTCATAAGTTGATTTTTCTTCCTCCCTCATCTAAAAATAGATTTTATCTAAATTGTACCTGTTTCACATGGACAAATCAAATGTTCATCAATATCATATCAATTAAAAAAATATTTCAACATCAATGTGTTAATTCAGTTTTTTGGTTTCAATAGAAGCACTATTCACTTCTTATCGAAAAATAGAGCAAAGTTTAAGTAATGTTACCAAAACCTTAATTCCTCTGGTAATAGCAGTGTATTTGAATTATTTAGTTAAACAATTCACACATTTCATTTTTGGAATTGAAAGACTTAAGGCATCAATGTATTTGTTCATTGCATTTGAAACTTATTCTGCTCTTATATTTCCAGAATAATTCTTGGATTTAGACAACTTTGGAGAGGCATCAAAAATTAAATGTCTGTTTAAAAACTTAACTAATTAAGTTTGACCTCTGAAACCCCCCATCCCACTTAAATTATTCTGAAAATGTTGAAAATCGTGGCAGAAAATTGAAATGAAAGAACATAAAAGTAAAACTTGCCCAATATATGATGGAAAAGGTTTCAGCAAACATTTCATGTTTTACATGAATGATGGTTTGCACCTAAATTTGTCATTCCAATAGTACAGTTTGTGTCAGTATTGAAACCCCCATTCCCAAATTTAATTAGTTAAATTTCTAAACAGACGTCAATCTTTTGGTGCCTCCCCTTACCTGTTTGATTTGGATTTCCAACTCCTGTTTCTTTTCAGTGTCTCTTTTCTCTAAATCATCATCGGTCACACTGTTTAGGAGTTTTGCCTTCTGTGATGCTATAGTTTCTTCCATCTGTAACATACATGATGTGCCATAACCAAACCAAACCGATGAATTTGGATTTAAAGTACATTTTAATAATTTTCTTCAAGTAGTAACAGTGTTTCTAAGCCTGTATAAGCTAAGAATTATATTTTGAGTATTATGAATAAAATATGTAAATCTTGATTTGTAATTGTTAATTAGGCCATAAGAAATATATTCTTTGTTTTGCGTCCTGGCAAAATCCAAATCATGCAAGGGTACAAGGAAAACAAACACAAACTCAAGAAAAACACAATCTTGTTTGCAGAGAAATGTATACATTTCAAAGGCATAAAAGGGGATGACATCCAATTTCTATGTAGCTATACATTTTATACAATATATTTAAACATATAGCTATTATTCAAGGGTAAAAATAAGAAAATATACAATGTATGCCAAAGTAATCAATAACACTGTCCATTTTGACGCACATCAAATTATCCGCCATTTTGTCTGATTCTGATTGAACGAAATGTGATGGTATGTATGTAATGTGATGTTTGTTTTTTCTGATTTACTCAAAATCATGCAAGCAAAGAATCTACTTCTTATGGCCTTAAATGAATTGACAAAAGTATGCATAAAAATACATGGTGTTCCAAAAGTACCAGGTCTGGTTCTGCTGTTATGAAAAGGCACCAATTTCTTCATATTGACACAAATGTAATGTCAAATATTTTTTATATCTGCTAAAGTTATGGTATAATAATGGAAACAATACTTGAATTTTACCTGTGCAAGTTTCTCCTTGCCAAGTGTGTTGGTCAACCTAAGTTCAGCAAGCTCTCCATTGACTGTCACATAATTCTGTCGCACAATCGCATGTTGTTCCTTCTCTTTTTCATAGTAGTGCTGAATGTCACGGAGCTGACGTTGGAGATCGTTGCGTTCAAATTGGGCATTTTCACACTTCTTCATTTTTTCTGCATCACAAAATAAAATAAAAAAGCTCATGAAAAGTCCAACCAATACAACGAAAGCAAATGAAAAGTTGAATGATTAGATCAAGTAAAATATAACAAAGGACATTAAATTGATAAATTGAATTTATGTAAGACATTTGATTTTCTCAATTTTCTCAAGCTGGTAAAGGAAGAAGGATTTACAATATTTTCAGAAACCTGGTTAACTAGAATAATTGCAGTATAACATGATAATAAAATAAATATCCCACAGGCTTACCTTGAAGAGTTTTATTTTGTAGCTCAAATTTCTCCATCTTTTGTTTAGTGAGGTCAAGATTCAGCGATAATTGTTTGATCTTCTGCGCCATTTTGTCTGGGTTCATTTCCTGTTTACGTGCATTGTTATGGTGCTCCTGGTGCAAATCTTCAAGTGTACGGACTTCCTTTTGAAGATTCTGTAATAAAATCATGTACTTGTAATCATGTATTTAGTATTGGCAACCATCAGTAACCTGACCTTCTCTCCTATAAGGATATCCCATAGAACTCCAGGCATTAGAATGATGCTTTGTGCCCAAAACACATTTTAGATTGTTCTTGTCAAAGTTGTTCCATCAGATTGACAGTGTCTGTCTTCAATTTAGAATGTTAACTTTAGCTAATGAGAAATAAACAGACATTCTAAGCATGACAAATTCAATTTTTGTTCTCATCTAATATAAAGTGGTCATCTTATGAAATGAATGAGTAATGTTAAAGAATAAGTAATGTTATTTTCATCCTATGTGAGTTTTATTTTTTTCAAAACTTAAGCTTTACCTTAATGTCATCTTGATATTTGAGCAGCTTGTGGCTTGCCATTTCTTCCTCAGATTTGCTCTTCTGTAGCTGGCACCTCACTTCGTGTAACTTAAAAACATTTAATATTTTCTTCATTTTTGATATATGTTTTATAAATACCAATGCAATACATGATTGTTTTAATATAGACAAAGATAAATCGTTCATACAATTAAAAAGTTTGTACAATGATTCTGCACAAGATTACTTCTTGATCATCCAATTTTTTCACAAGTCATACTTTTTAAATAAATGTAATACTGATATGATTAATTAATATTGCCAAACTTTGCCCTGGAGGGGGGGGGGGGCTTTAATATAATTGAATAAGGTTCTGCAGATTTGATTTACTAATACTGAAGTAGATATGTAAATCATTTGAATACAGAATAGAATATACAAATAATGTCTGAATGATGAATTCTAAAAAATGCCCCATCTCACCTCTTTGTTTAACTGCTCTATAAGGTCAGAGTTCTCTTTGTTAGTCTTGGCAAATTGAGCTATAGATTCCTGCCGTGCATTCTTAACCTCCTTAAGACGCTTTTGCTGGTCAAGGTCACGGTTTTCGTCACATAAAATCTTGGATTTTGATTGGCTGCTTTCTTGAACAAGTTTCTGATATCTAGAAATACGAAGAAGACCAATGTGGATATTTCAAATATTTATTTCAAGACATTTATGACAAATAGAAGTTTATGATTTGATGGCCATGTAATACGAGTGACCAAAAACTATGACGAAGAGAATTCCCAGCTCAAGTGTATGACATCTTAAAAAGGCCTATTCAGTATACATCAGGGTATATTCCCTGACGGTGGCCTGTTGCATCTGAAATCCTGACAAGTTCAACACAAATGATAAATTGATTAATTTTTGTTGAAATTTCATTGTATGATATTACATGTAATGATATATTTGAAATAAAAATAATTAATAAAAAAAATCTGAAATCCCCAGGAAAACTGACTCATTAGTTGTAAGTGAACCAACTTGTCTTGTATCTAACATTACGTAGATCAATGGACTATAACAACTTACTGTTCTCTGAGAACATTGTGTTCTTTCACCTCTTCCTTGAGTCTGTTCTCCATCATATACATCCGTTTATCCGAACCACTGAAAGGATCCTGTACATCCTGGTCTCTCTGTTGAGTCTCTTTATCCTCCAGCTGAAATACCACAATAAAATCATTGAAAATTCTGAACGGGAAATAGGGGCCTATCTAATAAATTGATGAACTGTGAATATAATTCAATTTCACTCTTATAACATGATGTCATATTGAGCATAAGATTGAGCATGATTCATTTGGTCCAGTAGAAACTTTTTATTGGCATGATTTTTTTACATTAACCGTGCAGTTGACTGGTTTGTGTATATATCCTGAAGTGTGTGGATAATTCATGATGACTCTAAACCGACTCCAATAAGTACCTGTTTTAATGCATCATTCAGCTGCTGGGTGGCATCAGCCAACAATTGAGATTCTGCATCCAACTTCTTCTGCATCACCTCAGCTTCCTCCTGGAGCTCTTTAACAACGGTTTCTAGATCCTCCACATGCTGAAATAAACAAAATTGATTTGTATAGTAAATTGTTTCTAGACCCTTCACAAACTGTCAACAAGCTGAAGAATAAATGGTTCCATTCAGTGGGCTAACAAAGTGAAAATGTTATATTTTGAAATAAAATAAATTCAGAGAATAAACAATTATGTTTGAACTTTTGACATCCTTGGAACAGTTTTTCATATTTTCTGCCATTTCTACCTAACTTTCTTCCTCAAACAAAATGCAGATATTGCAACAAAGAATACATTTTAGGTTGATATACGTCCATGGTAGTAGGTATTCAAATAATTGAAATGTTCCAAAAAGCCATACAAATTAGCCAAAGAAATATACCTGCTTTGAAAAGTCTAACTGCTTCTCAACTTTTTCCTTTTCTTGCAAAGTGACCTCAGATCTTCTGCGCTCCTTTTCGATGGAGGATTCTAGATGAGCAACATCCAATATTGATTGTTGTAGTTTTCCATCAGAACTGTCATCCTTGGAATTGACCTGCTGGCTCTACAATTACATACAAGATTAGTCTAATATCTTCATTTGGTTTAAAACGCTGCCTTTGACTGGTTGAGGGAATTTAATAAGATAATGTATCAGAAGCTTAATTGAAACATTTGTATAAGATAAATAAAAAATTAACATTGAAATTATTTGTCAAAAATCAGGTATGCTGGGGTTCGTTTTTGGTACAATATTGTGACTTTACAATTCCCAAAAAACCATGTCTACTTTACAATTTTTTTTGTTTGTTTATGTACCCGAGAACTCATTTCCCTCCAATAGACTAACCTGCAAAATTTCCAACTCTAACTGTGCCTCACTTAGTTGAATGTTCAAATTTTCAAACTGCAATTTCATAGTTTCATGACCTTCCAATTTGGATTCATATTCCGCAATTTTCAGTCCATATTCTGCAATTTTGTTTTCACCTTCGACTATCTGTTGTTTGTTATTTTCCAAATCATCTTTATTTAGATTAACTTGCTCAGTTATTTCATTTAATTTTTCAGTGAGATCTTGGATAATTTTCTCCGAGCGTTTTAGGTCATCTTTCAAACTTTGAATAATTTCCTCTGAATCATCTCTTGTGGAATCCTCCATCTTGTTATCTGCCATTGCCAGTTCAGATGCAAGGTCAAGGCCACCAGATGATGGCGCCATCTGTTGAGCCATGGCTAGCTCAGATGCAAGATCCATTGCTGAGGTATCTTTAATTTGAAAACACAAACCCATCAACTGACATTAGGCTAAATATCGCATATCACAGACAGAAGTGAATTAATAAATACAAAGACATTTAAAGGATTTGTGTGACAAATACATGTATACATAGAATGCATTCACACAACAAAGAGTCTAAAACTACAGTGTGCTACCAAAATAAATCTAATATGACTAAGATTAACAAATCTTGAGGGAGCATACCTTGAAAGTGAACATGTCTTGTATCTACTGTAGTATCTAAGGTTACATCATGCTCCACAGCCCTTGACTCATTCTGAAAAATATAACACAAATATTATCTTAAATATTGACTTAAATGTTGTTCTCTTATGACACAAATATATATGATATTATCTGATTATAGAGGTAACATATAATCTGAATCATTCAGTGAGGATTGTAAATAAATACAAACTGAAAATACCTTTTTCTCAACCTCAAATTGCTTTGCCTTCAAATCCCTTATCTCTTGGTTTCTCATATCAAGCACAGCCTGGAGGCTCTCAATCTCCTGGGGAAGGCTCTTAAATGGCTCAATGGCAGCTTTCACCTTGGCCTCTGTCTCACGTTCAAAAGCTTCTTTGGACTCGAGATATTTGGCTTCAGATTCAGAAACTTCAGTCTTCAGTATCTCTAATTTCTCCTAAAATACAAAACTTGGTCTTGATATCTTATTGTTGATACAAACGAGTTATTACGAGTATATCAGCTAACTTGTTACCCTGGCTTTGATGTATATGCCCTTATTAGAGCCTGGTTATGAAGGGGTATAAGAAAACACTGATTCTAACCATAATATTGAAAATAATGTTTGATGTTACAATGTACCTGTGTGCTAAAACTTTGTTCAAGCATTTCCTTTTCAAGTCTTGTGAATTCTTCAAGTTCTTTAAAGTCAGATTCTTTCTGCTTGAGTTCACATTTTGCAGTCTCATAGAGGCTTTGTCTGAAAAGAAAGAGTACATAGAAAATTATTTGATCGGTCCATTAATGACTTGCTAGGCCTTTAGACTGCAGTCTATCCAGGTCAATCCACAAACCAGCTGACGAACCATAATTTTAGCCTTGCCACATTCTGAAAAGGCCTGAGTACACAGTTATATCAATTTAATGTAAACTAAAACAACATGATTAAAAGTATATATGATTTTCCCTGTATTGAAGACTTGAAGTATTACATTGCAAATGTTCCTACCACAATGTGTAAATATTTCCAAATGAGAGCTCTGCATAATTGACTATAACATGAAAATGACAATGATATTGATAATTTGCACTTACAGCTCAAGTATCTGATGTTGTAGGCTGTCAACTTCATCACCTGATAGTTTTAACATCTCCTTCAATTGAACAATCACTTCGTCATTTTTCGTGGAATCTGCAACATCATCATTTTTCCCAGAATCCTCAGCTAGCTGAGTCTCTCTCATGATTATTTTCTCATCAAGCTCTGCCAATGTTTGCTGTCTTTCAAAAATTAGTTCGTCAAAGTCTGCAATGTTTTGTGCATTTTTAGCTTCAGCATCTAGCTGTAAATACAAGCAAAACAATAGATTAGAATGTGCAGTGTTTGTAAAGACAAGGTAGCATACAATTTATGAGCATAGAACTGCTTTGGGAATACCGAAATTCACCAACTGACAACAACAATAGTGGTAGGCTTCCTTCAGTGGTTTCCAAGCAACTGTTTTATCAGCAAGTTTAAGATTAGTGCAATAATAAAAATATATCCCCAAGCTTCATTAAGAATGTTCCAATTATTTTTAAACAAAGGAGGTGTGTTAACACCAGAAGTATACAGCCCCTCCATTGACAAGGGCATGATGGGATAGAAGAGTTTACCTCTGCCTGTAGCTTTGCACACTTCTCACATTCTTTATTCTTGTCACCTAGGAGTTCATCCAAGACTGAAATGGAGAATTTAAACAATTGATTTGTACATCAAAATTAGCTATTACAATCTACAATATGTATTTTATAGAATATCTTTATTCTAATGAGAAACAGTCACATCATTGCAACTCCAGGTCTGCTAAGTTCAAACCTTTTATCAATTCATGAGAATTAAAACACAAAATTATGGCATTCAGTATTTGGTTGATCCTTCTTAGAATAATACTATGATACAATACAAACTATTATTATTTCTCTGTAGTGATAATCAGCATGTGATTGGTCAGTCATGTACTATGTGACTAAAAATACTCTAATAAAAAAAAAAGTACTAAATAATTTTCAATTTTCAGACACTATATTCTTCGTTTCTTCTTAGATTTTGGTATACACTTAAATGGGTGAAATAATAAAATAAATATTAAATTCTGTTTTCGTGCAATACCTGTATATATTTCCGGGGGATGTATTTCACCTGCACTTCGGGCTGCGTGGAATACACCCTCAGAAATATATACAGGTATTGCACTCAACATCATTCAATATTTGTATAATACAATAATTATTTATTTGTTAATATGTAAAATTGAAAGAGAGGCTTACAGTTTCCATCATCCCATTCTTCTTCTATAATTGCATCTGAAAATGCAGAAGATTATTTTACTATTAAACAAGTTCATTGTTACATGAGATGATCCCTAACCTCTGTTACAAAGAAGCAGGTGTCTGTAGATGATTTAAACATGTATGCTTTGAGAAGACCCTCTGAATAAACAATGACTGTCCCAAAATGAGAATATGATTGAAAAGATTTATGATAAAGGTCATATCAAAATAAATAATTTCTGGTCAACGTACCTCCATTAGACCAACGTTTGGTCCTTGTATCTAATGACCTGCCCTTATTTTGCCATTGAAGAGGAGGGCTCGATGGAGGAGAGGCCATTGCAGTGCTTGAGAGAATATTCTGAGTTGTAGAGGGCGATAGTGGCACAACTGGTGCTAGACTTACACGTCCTGAACGTCCAGGGCACCATGTTTGTCTGCGATCTTTTTTCTACAAGAAACGATCAATTTGCTGACTGTGCATTGTAAATGTGTAGAATGTCAACAATTTGCATTTAACAAATTGACTTTTGAGTTCATATATTTGTATATAATATGGTTCATTTTATATACAACATAGGCTCTCTAATGCAAGACTTGCCAAACAGAAAAGTCCATATGAAGAAAAACATATTTCTCTAACAATCTAAACTCTCTTGTCATTTCCAAAATAATAGTTTGTTTACAATGGAGTTTATAACTGTGATTCAATATCCTTGATGCAGTAGAGCAACTCTATGTTTGCACATGTTGAGAAAAAAACTGAGAAGATCATCAAATATTAAAGGCAAGAACTTTATACCTTTGGTTTTGAGTCTTCTTTTTCAGGGTTGAGATTGTTCACGAACGCATTCTTCAATTCTTCCATTCTTTCACTTTGTTTTAACAGCTGGCTTCTCAACTCATTGTTTTCTGACTTTATTTCAGTAATTCCATCCTACAATAGAACAATTTTTATTATTACATACAGTAATAAAATAAAGTAATTATATATATGCATGTCAGTAAGACAGTATCATAGTATTTTTACACACTCAAATGTTTATGTCAATAGTCAAAATATGAAGAGATCTAGAAACCTGCATTTCCTCAATGTTAATATAATTTTGAAAAGAACAAAGATTAATTCATCGGCACTCAGAAACTGGTAGGTATCAGTGATATGGTATTCCAAAGACACAACAATTTAAAAATACATATATGTAAACAATTAAAGACCTGACACAATACACAACATGTATCATGCAAATGAATGTGATATGTGAATATTTAGAAAACATCTAGGGTTTGTGGTGAAAAATTAATTACTATCATATTACTGATATTTTTACCATTTTTCCAAGAATGTAACTTGAAGAGAATAAATTTTACATAGATCATTGAGCTAACGTAAAAAATGGGTAAAAGGTAAAATTTCTTCTTATACAACACATGTATTCGTAAGAAGGATTGTTGTTTCATCTCACCTGTTCTAGATGTTTCTTGAGTGCTTCAATCTCCTCTTTGTACCTCTTCAGCAGAGCTTGGTCATTCATAACCTCGTTCTTCTTTGCAGCTGTCTTGATCTTCTTGGCATTTGAGGCAAACTACAACAAGCAATAGAGAGGAGTTAGAGAGAAACACAATATCTTATATAAAATAAGGTGGCCATTTTGAATTCAGCAGTGATCTTGGATATACCTTTGAGCAGATTCTGATATATGTCCCTAAGGCATCAGCATAAAAAATGAACAATTTGTCAACTGGTATTCTAGTTATCTAAGATTACCTTTTTTACAAAACATGGTGGCCATTTTGAATTGAGAGACCAAATTGGAAATTCTTTCTTCAGTAGAGGTCCTTTGCCAATATGACATTACTAACACATTAGCCTAAATAATTTGGACCAATTTCTATGACTTGTAATAAGTTTAATACAAAAAATGATATTTGAGTTATCAAACAATACAATTTTACAAAAAATGGTTGGCATTTTGAAATGAGTGACCATATTGAAAATGCCTACTTCAGCAGAGGTCCCTTACCCATAAGACATTAGCGAATACAATTTAGATCAAATTCAATAATTGGTATTTAAATTATCATTAAGTGGCCATCTTCTTCTTCCATCTTCATCTTCTTAAGCAGAGGCTGGTTGGGGGGGGGGGGTGTTCACTGTAAATAAACCTTGACAGGGATCCTTGGCGCAAATGGTGTACCTTTTTTGACATTTGGTATGGCAATGGAAATTATTGGAACCAATTAAATCAATTACAGAGATCAATTGACTATGAGTATATTTGGAAGGCATTACCTGCAGTGGCATGTACATGTATAAGTAATAAGTAAATAAAAAAGCCTAATGAGTGTGTATGACCACAATGAGCAATCAGAACATTCCCTCCCAAAGAATCCAAGTGTCCATTGTTGATACTTTATGAATTGGGCAACTGTTAGAAAAAGGTATATTGTAATAAACAGTATAGTAATATAGTTTTCTGTAAAAATTACAAAGGGGAATAAAAAGTTGCATTCTTAAGTAATAATTTATTCCTCCATGGATTGGATCTTTCAAGTGAGTCAAACTATTTTCACTTCCTATGATTCCAGGTGGCAGCACCTGTGCCTGTGGGGGAAGAATGTGATGTGTTGGTGAAGTAGATAGGGGGGGGGGGGGGGGGGTCCACTGTCTTGAACCATGACTATTACAATTAGATATACATTTAATGGTGTCTCCTAAGCCGATGCCGGCTGGTGGGTTTTTAAAAAAAAGTATTTATTATATGATATTGAATGTAGTTTTTAAACCTGTGACACAGAAATAAAATATTTTAAACTTTTAAACTAAACTATTTTTTCTACAGCTGATTATTTCTATCTACACACACTCTCTTACGTTTCAAGAGTTTCAAGAGAAATATCCACTTTGTTTTTTATAATAGAGCACAGTGCTCAATTTTAAGAATGTTTTATGTTAACATCTAAGGTCACAAAAACCTACTGCTTCATACACACATAGCAAATAGAGGCTGGCAAACTTGAAGTGTATTGAATATTTGTCTAGTGCTATAAATGACTCAAAGCATTGATTGTTAAAAGCATTAATCGTTCAAGTAAAGAATGCAGTTTGTATACATTGATCACAAAGTTCACATACAAAAACTCATTGCAATATGACATTAATCAATCAAAGGGAAACCAGTAATCTGCATTAAGTGTTAATCATTAACTGAATCAGAATAAGGAAGTTGTGTTAAAATATATGTGCTTTGTGAACACTTGAGAATCTCTATATACTGAAGGTTAAAATGGCGATGGCAATGGAGGAACATGTTAAAGAGACATTGAAATGTAAGGTGTGTTATGAGACACTAACAGATCCTAGGACACTTCCATGTATGCACACATATTGTTGCAAGTGCCTAGATAAGTTAGAGAAGATCAATCAAGGACAGGAGAAAAGTCTTTCCTGCCCAGAATGTAGGCAAGTTCATATTATACCAGATGGAGGAGTGGCTAGATTTAAGGTCAATTTCACCACTAATTCATTGGTGGATCTAATTCAATCCATGGATATTATTGGAGACAACCCCAAATGTACAGTATGTAAGGAAGATGGAAGAGATATTGATGCTCTAACAAAGTGTGTACAGTGTAATGACCAGCTATGTAAGGACTGTGATCGATGTCACACTAGATATAATAAAGGTCACACAGTACTTGATCTTACTGATGATAAGACTCAAGATAGGACCAATGTGCTAAGTGTCGTCAAACAGCGTGTCATCTATTGTGAAACGCATAAAACAAATCCACTTGAGATGTACTGTAAAGTGGACCAATGTGCTGTATGTGCTACTTGTTATGTGATTGACCACTAAGGCCATGAATGTGTTGATGTTCATAAGGCTGCAGTCGACAATATGAAACTAATTGATGAGCTCCTTGAGAAAGGTGATAAGTTGGTACAGAACTTTGAAGAATCAATACAAAACACTCATACAAAGAAGGATATAATGGAACAAGAGGCTGATGATGTGACACATGAACTGAATAATGATATGAACACTGCTATCCAAGCGATACGTGATAAATACACAAAGCATATTGATTTAGTAGCTGAGAAAAAAGCCACATGTGCCAAGCAAGCTGTAGCTCATCTAGGACATCTCCATATGCAAAAGGCCACCACTGAGAGCACAATGAGCCAGCTACGTGCATTGAAACAACATGGACATGATACCCAACTGGCTAACATGGCCCATGACATTAGTTCTAAATCAAAAGAATGGTCTCAACCCAAGGACTGTGAGTTTGACAATAACATTACATTCAAAATACAAAGAGGTGAAGTGTTTGATGATAAAATAGTGTTCGGAAAGGTGGACATTAACATCCTGACAAATATATCAGAGACACTAAGATTATGTGAAAAGCCAACAGTGTTAAAGAAAGTGAAGGCAAATGTTGGGGATGTTTCGGATTTAGCTGTAACTGACAAAAATGAAACTGTAGCTAATGGTAATGGAAAATCAGCTAGTGTCTATGACAAGGAATTTACTTTAAAGACTACATTTGGTAAGGGATTTTACAATGCCACTTGTAAAAGTGATGATATCTATCTCACCAGATCAACTGATACAGTCCATGTATACAATCAAGATGGTACACACAGAAGAGATATGAAAATATCCTCCCTGAGACAATGTAGGGGTCTTGCTGTTAACTCAAGAGGTGAACTTGTTATATGTGACACTAGTACAAAGACTGTATACCATGTGGATAGTGCTACTGGCAAAATCCTGACCAAGTATAAACCAGGTACCTTAAACTTCTCACTCTGTGCAGCTGTCAATAGTGAAGATGTAGTGATTGTGTCTGATTATAGCGCACATTGTGTGTTGGGTTTGACCAGAGATGGCAATGAGCTGTTCAGGTATGGCACTAAAGGTAGTGGACAGAACCAGTTGACCAATCCCTGGGGTCTATGTACAGATAGAGCTGACAATATCATAGTGGCTGACTGTGGCAACCACAGGGTTAACTTGCTAACTCCAGATGGCAAGTTCATAAAATACCTCCTGCAAGCTTCAGATGGACTACAGTTCCCACGTGCTGTAGCAGTGGACAAAGAGGGACAGTTATTGGTAGGAGATAACAAAGGCTATATCTGGTGTGTTAAGTATGCAGTGTAGATGTATGTGTTTGTACATGTGTATAGAACAAACTAATACACACTATGGACTGATAACAATGGCCATATCTGGTGTGTTAAATTTCCATGTGTATAGAACAAACTAACACTATGGACTGATATCTTAAAAACTGATACATATTCTTTTGAACTTTGAAATCTGAACCAGTAATGCATTATTCATTTCTTCTGAGAATTAAAATCAAATTAAAATTGTTTTCTCTGAAGAAATGAATTAAGTTGTTTATTCTAAAATGATAATATGTAGTCTTACTTTACGTCATGTTGTCTTATATGATATGTAAACTACAAAATGAAAATTGCAATTATTCTGGTTTGTTTGTCATATTAAAATCAACTATGGGTCAATATGACATGATAAGAATAAAAGATTTTGTCATTTTCAAACTAGAAATTCAGTAACTCCCTGGAGTAAAATATCCCGCATTTTATCAAATCATTCATCATTTTGAGCATAACATGATAGGAATAATAACCAGGCAGTAGTATAATAATATGTTATCATAAAATTTTGACCAAAACAAAATACCTATTTGTGTTATCATAAAAAAATATTTCTGGAGAATTGGCCATTTTGATACACGCATCTATTTTCCATGCTTATGCCGCTGATCAAGTGGAAGGAGCTTCCAATACAATCCAAACAATGAAATTTCTAGATTTTACAATCACGCCTTGATCACACAACAGCATGGGACAAGAACCAATCACGTCAATTATTTATGCGAAGTTGCCATGCTTAAAGTAAATAAATGATCTGCCAGACGCAGATTACCCGGAGTACACTTTAAATCATGTATTTGTTACAATGAACTTGTTTTGTCCGTTGATTCCACAAATGCTTAATTGAAACAGCCCTATACCAAATTCCATGGCGATCTATGATGCAAGAAGAGAGGGCCATGGTATTCCATGATGAGAATTGGCAGCTACTAATTCAACAAAAATTGCTGATATGTGAGTTATCAGAAGATTACATTTTTTACCAAAAATGGCAACCATTTTAAATTCAGTGGCCATCTTAAAAATTCCTTGAGCAGAGTCCTGTCCCTCAGGCATCAGCATGTAAAACCTGTTAAAGGGTTCCGATTAGCATCCCGTATAAAAACAATATGGCGGCTCCGGGCGAATCAACTGGATCAGTCCATTTTTAAGAAATAAGGGGAGTTCTGAAAAATCCAGTTTATTAAAATTGTCTTTGAGATAAAGTAATCCGTTTATAATGATTTTGAAAACGTTATCCAAAGAGTGATTGCGTTCAAAGAATACATGTACAACAGCCAATATAAATCCTTGTATTAGAAACCGGTTTGTCTTGCTTTGTTTCATTTGTAGGATATTTCATATGCCAAGCTGTGTGCTATTACGTTATGGGGAAATTTAGATGCCAATTTTTCCTTATTGTACACAAATAGAAGATCCTGAAACTTCACCCATAAATGCGGAATTGATTTGTCAAAATAAAAATCACCCTTTGACGATCTATAATATACTTATGCTATATTACAGTTAGAGGTGTTGACACAACGACCTCGAACCTGTGAACCCTTGAGTATTATTCCAGGATCGGGCCTTTTGTACTAAACGGTGAGCAACACCAGAAACGAGCGTTCGATTTGCTAAACGATATGCGTCACCCTTTAACTGGCATATAAGTTATCAAAGATTACATTTTTTACAAAAAATGGAAGCCATTTTAATTCAGTGGTCATCCTGAAAATATATTTCTTAAACACAGCACTTATGCCCCTCAGGCATCAGCATATGATATTTGAACTAAATCTGCTCACTAGTATTTGAGTTATCAAAGATCACATTTTTTACAAAAAATTGTAGCCATTTTGAATTGAGCAGTCGTATTGACTATTCCTTCTCAAGCAGAGGTCCTATTCCCACAAGGCATCAGTCTATAAAATTTGAAAACAATCTGTCAACCGGTAATTGAGTTATCACCCTGACAGACGAACTAACAGATGGACAAATAGACGGATGGCTTCTCTATATCCCTCTCAAACTATGTTCAGTGGGATAAAAAGTGTCATAAATGATGACTGAAATAATGGAACAATAAAATCATTATTAGTAAATATCATTCCAGTTAAGACTTGCATTATATCATTTTACATATTTTAAAGAAAATGGCGGCCATTTTAAATTGTGTGGCCATATTGAAACTCTTTCTTGAGCAGAGGTCCTACATCCATAAGATACGAGGTTAAAATTTGAACCAAACATGTAAACTGAAAGGATGAATGGACAGGTGGATGAATGGTAAAAGGCTTCTCTATATCCCTACAGAACTACTTTTGGTGGAATGAGTTGTCAAAGAGCAGTGAAGTATGTATTATTTAATATCTATGATTTTATGAAATGATAATAACATACACAGGATTTCAATCATCAAACATCATTGGTGGGTTACAACATAACTTGGAAAGGGTGCCTAGATGTAGGTGTGAACTGAAGTGTGGACCTACCCTTAAAGTTGACTTGGTTTCATCAAGAGCTGCGGGGGTTACATTACAGATGATAGCAGTTCTAGAGTTTCCCCCAAGTGCATTCTGTAAGATCCGAGTCAACTTGGAGCTTCTGTATGGAATATGTCTGTAAAATAAATTGTATTCAGTTATTCAGTAATCTGATTGGTTAAAACACATGTCACAAAATATACTTTGATATTTTTTCCAGTGTTTTGGCATACTTCAGTTTTGTTTTGAACCATGACCATTTCCACAATTTTGGTTTATTCATACCATTCCTGCATTATTCTGTATTAGTTAACAAATAGAGAAATATCATTATGTTATCACATCATAAACTATAATAATGATGGACTGCGATTGGTCAGATCAGATCACATGACCAGTTAATTCAATCTACCACATTATTCATAGTAATACCCTTTGTTTTATTTTGTTCAAAAACTCCACTTACTTCTCTCCTTCTGTGAGTTTCCTAATAACATCTCCCAACATGAGTAGAGACTTGTTGATCTGACCACCCTCTCTTAACCTCTCCCCTGTGGCACCTGTATCTCTTGCATTCTCTGAACCAGCTAAATCAACAAGATTCTGAAACAGAATGTAAAAGGAAATAAATGGTATGAAGCATAAAACTGCATTTATGGACATGGCCATTGCAAATGTGGCAATGCCAAAGCAGGAGTGATCGTGAAAGAATACTTTTTGGAGGCCTTGCTACTTTACACTGATTAAATAGTGGGAACTAGGAGCATTTCTTGTAAGATTTGAAAAATACAAGTATGCGTAGAAAGAATATTTCACTTAAATTTTCCTGATGCAGTATTAAAGATTCTGCAAAGTTTATTTCCTAATATAGTATTACACCTTTGGACTTCGAGGAATGCACATTACACCTTGTCGGAATTAATGAAAGATGAGCAGGTATTCACCTCAATTTCAATAATAGAATGAAGTTTTTTCTTTATACATTGAATGCAGTATAGTTACAGTGTACATGATTTTAAAAATAGATTCTTAAAATGGCTTACCAGCTGGGCAACTGTTACAGCTTCTTCTTCTCCCATTTGCTCCCTCAGCTTGCTTTCTATAATGACCTGAAATATGGTAGCAAATGAAAATGTAAGGTTAAAATAAGAATCATATAGAATTACATATAGTTCAATACCAATGAACAAACAATTTATGAAATGGTTTTAGTCAACAGATAACTAAGTAAGAACATTGTTTTGTTATTTACCTGTAGGTGAATAATAATGATATAATATGCTCTAGTCTTGTAGGTGAATTTGCTGGGGTCAATTTATTCATTGTAAAGCTATGGATCCACAAATCAACTGTTCTCAGATTTAGAGAGTTGATTACAAATTAAAAAATAAATGACTGAATGAGACACTTTTCCTACTGTACAATGTTTGAAGAATTTGAACTCTGAGTTTACCTGGAATATTGTATGTGACCTTGAGCTCCTTTCATTCATGTTGGTCACGCCATAATGACGTCTTTTCTCCCCTGAAGATATGTAAGAGAGTGCCTGGTCTGTGGACTTGATGATGTTCTCTGTTAACCCTGCTATGTGAATTCCACCCTCCTGAAACACAAAACATGCTTTGTAGAGTCTGTTGCAAAACACTGAGAAAATGTAGCTGAATAGATCATCATTTTCAATAGAGTTAAAAACCATAAGATTCCATACTACATGTATAATTTAAAACCATGCACAAGGAAGCACTGGCATCATTTTATGTGTCTTCATATGTGCAATTTTTGCAAAGCGTTAACATGACAGAATTTCGCAACCTGGTAAGTTATTGCAAAAGTTTACAAAAATGTAACATTATGAGATGAATTGAACAATGGGTAGATGGGACAGATGAGTGAGTGATTCCACAGGCTCACAATATGAGCCAAAAATAGTAAGCATAACAATATTACCACTTCACCAATGGCACTCTACAACCTGAAAGTTTCTTGTTAACCTGTACTCTATACAACTAAAATGAATTATACATTTTAATGTGACTAGAGTCCCCCTGATAATGTGTACAGGCTGAGCAGTCTGAGTTGACAAAGTACTCACCTCATCTTGTAGGACTTGGATGTTAACATTAGCATCTGATCCATCAGATTCTAACAGATCTGAGATCCTCTCATTGTAAATCTCCATGAAGCTCATACGAATCAGATATTCTCGATTTGGTTCCTGAAAACAAACAGCAAACCTTTCTTTTCTTTTTTTCAGTAGCTTCATGAACTTGAAGCAATATTTTCCTTTTGGTCTTTAGAGCTCATATATTTGATGATCAATTCTTATTATGAAAAAATTTGCATAACACCAAGTATACTTTAATTTAGATTAACACTCAAAGCAGACATGACCATATTTGGGCATTGTTAATAACTTCACTGTATCAATGATATCGTCAAGAGGCATGACCACATTTGGGCAAATTAATGAACTGAACTGTATCAAAGATATATGACCATATTTGGGCATACTTACAGATTGAACTGTGTCAAAGATATCTTCCAGGGCTAGACGAATGATTCCAGGTTGGAACATAGAGCCACTCATAGTGAATGTCTTCCCACTAGCAGTTTGACCATAGGCAAACATAGTTCCTAGAAGTATTACTTATAGTTAGACAACATAAACACATGAACATCATTAATATTTATTCAAAGGTAACAGAGATTACAAAATACCCTCTTGATAAATGATAATATTCGATAGATTCAATTAATATACACATTGCTATATCTCACAACCTACTAAAACAGATAAGTCTAGGGCAAGAGGAGGGAAAGCCCCAGAGTTTTAAAGATGATAGACATAATTACATCTCTTGCTTACCACCTTTGTTCGTTCGAATTTTCATTGGTTACTTTTCAAATACTACACTTCGATGTGATGTTTTAATTGATAAGGGCATATTCCATACATCTTTCTTCATCTTGATGTGAAATAACAAGCTATGATATTTGTTAACACACCAGAAATTAACATAATACTATTTGAAGCGTATTTCGAAAATTCGTCATTTGTTTGTCGACTAATTTGACCAATCAGAGATGTATGTCATCTCAATACAGGTTTACATTATAAGCGTATGTCATCTTTGAACTCGGGTGTTATTCCCCCTCTGATCTAGCTATATGAATCTTACACAATGAAGTCAATCAGATAACTCATTCAAATCAGAATATAAAGTAATACATTTCTAATATTCGGAAATTATTCAACATTATAAGGCTATTTCTCACCATTGAATCCAGCAGTTGCTCCCAAGACAACAGGTTTTGCCACAGTGTCATAGATATCCTGGGTTGTCTCAACTTGGTCAAACACATTATCTGAAATAAAATATATGAATTTTATTGTACTTCATATCACTGTAGAAATTGCAGTTAAACCTGTCAGAGCACCACTGGGACCAGGTAAATAAGTGTTTGGATTGCCAGGTGTTCACATTTCAAAGTTTCTCAACATGGAAGTCTAAAGCAGATTTAGTTAAATTGGACCAAAAAGAGTTCACATTGAGAGATGTTCAGACTAGAGAGGCATTCAGATATATAGGTCTTGCTATAATACATTTTCACATGTACATGTACTTCATCTTTTGCAACATTTCTGTAAATGTGTTGGCCATAGTGAAAATGTGACAGCTGATTTCATTCTATTAACTGTTAAAATACCAAATCATATGTGATTGAGGATTTTGGCAAAGGCCAAAATCAAACATCATAATATTTTCATAATCACAGAAGCTATGTCTTTTTTATTCAAATCACCAAATTTTTCTTGTTTTAGAAAACATTTTTACCAGATCCTGCATATTAATAGTTCATATTAGGCAGATTCAAAAAATAATGTTCAAATTTTACCAAAGTAATAGCAATCTTTGGGGTCATTTTCTTTGTCTTTTACTGCAATGTAGTTGTTGTTGGCCACCCAGTGTGTTTTACTCCCACTTTCTCTGCAAAACAAAGTTATTATACAAATATACATACAAGCATACAATAACATATATATACAATCATACAATAATATATATACAATCATACTACATGCTACATCATGTTTTGTAAAATAAGTCGAATGATGATAAGATTTTTAAGAAATACAATGAACTTGCCTTAGGTAATTTTGATAAACTTAAAAGAATCATTTTTCACATTTTCCACTGGTTGCAAATAAATAAGACCCACTAGTTTTATTGCCACAACATAACACATAACCATATTTAGAAATGACTTACCTTTGAATCAGCGGCCTAACACGAACCACAACCTTAATGTTGTCTGTCATCTTGACTAAAAGCACATAATAAAAACAGGATTTATACAATGTATCTTTCAATAAATAATATTTACCTTATATGGATGTAAAAATCATGAAACGTTGTAATAGTCAGATTGGCTAATGAAAAAACCTTTTGAGAGTTGCCGAATTGATCGAGTGGTCTAGAGCGCTGAACAAGCCAAGCTAGCCAGTAGGTACTGTATCGTAACCATGAGGTCATGAGTTTGAGACACATGAGCTATTTGTGTTTATTCAGTTGTGTATATGCATGTATGTTCATTCTGGGATATTGAGTTTGCTGCACATTGCATACACTCAGGCAAAATTGCATAATAGTAGATATACATGTATTCTATTGTCATTAGCTCAACGACAATTAAGATGCGTATCATGCACCAATGTGGCTACCCTGCGTGCAGAGTCTAGTTAAACTACACTCTGCCTAGTAGAGACCATATTATAGTTTAGTAGCCCCACCCCAACGATGGGTACGGTGACAGTTTGGGTAATAAATCACTTCTGACCTTTCTTCCACCATTCAGCGAGCTTGAAGAAACATACCCCAAATGCGTTCTAATTAAATATGCGCATGTCATTGGTCAATTCCGGGCTCAACGATGATGTCAGAAGGAATGACCATATATAGAACGTCGGTCAAATTTAGGCGATGAACACTGATTGGGCAGTGAGTTCACAGGTTCATTTTATCTCACTGATGATAAAACTGATGGGGATGAATAGAGGTGATGATAGAGGATGACGTCGACATCACTGGCTAGTCCACTACGTCCTAATGATGATGATGATGATGAAACGCGGCGTCCTGAGACGGATGCAACACGCATGCGTAATGATGTCGAACTGATTCGACGTGGATCTTTGGTATTTTCTGGAAAGTATTCAGTTGACAGAACAATTCTGGCTCCTCCCCAAGCTACTTTAGACATCTAGACTAGATCTATCAAAAGTTTGGACTGGAGAAAAAAATCATGAAATTGAAAATGCCAGCTCAACTTATGGATACAGTTTTCAAGTAATACGTGTGTTTTACGAGTTTAAAAGTCATACAATCGTATAAACCAACTTAACAGCTTAATTTGAACGCCATAAAATAGCTAAATTGTGTTAGGCAATTAGAAAAAAATAGTTATTCTTACCAAACCTGCAACTTTTCTCCGCTGAAAAAGTTCAAATTTTGAGACATAAAATAAACCAATCAGAAGACGTGTATTTGAACAATAACACGAACGACAACAATATCAAAACCGGAAGCTGTTCGGTGTATTTTTAAACTGGCGTAACGCGTATAAAGTTTATTTAATTTTTATTCATTCAGAAAACTTTATATACAATGATAATACATAACAAATACTGACACCAAATGTCATACATAAGTGAAAGTCAAGTATCAAAAAGTACCAATATATTAATTATCAATTATATATGAATAATCACCTCTTTTTGTTTAGGCTATTTTTATTCACTCATTTGAAATAATCTAATTTCTAAATATTTATTGTATGTTTGATAGGATGTTTGATATTTATTAAATGTTGATATTTTACCAGTGGTATCCAGGTTTTCCCCGGGATTCCCGGGGAAATCGAGCACCTGTGGGAGTGAACAACTTCAGTGGTCACGTGACGGGGTGGGCTGAAAAATTTACGTCCGCCATTTTGACGAAGAGTGACAGTGTCGTTTGTCGAGGTAAGCTGCCAGTCAAATGTTTAATTTAGCCACAGACTATAATCCACGCCTTGTTATTACTTGCCATTCATTCATTAATATGATGATGTGTCTTTTGAGTTGTTTAAAGACTGCACCATTGTGGTATTCTTGGTCAAAGTGAATCGAGAAAATATCCGACTTTTTGATGGACAGATTTCGTCCAGATTTCTGACGATGAGTGATGACTTTTCAAAATCACTTGAAGAACCTTGTCCAGCCTTTGTTGTCCAGCACTGTTTTGACCTGTGTCTCTTTCCCTACAATCACTTCACGAGTCATAAATATATACAGCAGCTTGACTTGAAGTTTGCAGGGTCTATATCTCTGTTCAAGATCTGGTCTAAAACCTTGTTTATGCTTGTGGGAGGGGGAAGCAATTAGCAATGGAGAAGAAGCAATGCAGGAAGTGGAATTGAAATGATTTGAGATCAACTTTCTCTTCTGCAATAGACAAATATGATGACCAAATATTCAAATATTATATTATATATGTAGTTGATGAGTATTGACAATCATATTACGCATTCAGAACTATAGACATAGTCGTCTAGTATAGTGATGTGCCTAAGTTTTTGTCGTTTGACCCTTATCCACTAGCTACTATAATCTCCTAAGGCACAAAAGTTTCTGCCAACTCCATTCAAAATCTTATTTATTAGTCTGTTGGTCTTGTGGCCAGCGGGGGAAACAACTTACTTTTTCTCTATAGGTATGCATGTTAAATTAACAAAATTAAAATATTAATAAAATTTCTAAAATCACAGGCCATTGAATCCTCGCATCCATTCAGATCATGTAGGCCTAGCCTTATTTAGAAACTTTCCATTGGCTTACACAGTGAGAAAAATATCTTCGGAATGAAAAAAAATGTTGCTACATTTAGAGCGAGCATTGATTTTGAGTCTGTCAACCAGGTAGCATGCTCTTCATGTCATCAACAAAATATTTATCTAGACGTGTGTGATTTCCTACCTCCCGTGAACCATCTATCTTTTTATTATAATTTTGAATCTGTTTATTGTTGCTAATTATTATTCATGTTCTATCAGCCTATATGATGCTAATTTGTAATTGGATTTCCAGATTCAATACAATGTCTTGGTGGGAGTAGTATAAGGTAACACAACCACACTGGCAGTATGGCTCAGACTAGTGCTGTCAGTTCACCCCCAGGCTCTGGGTCACACATGTCCTCACCGCCAGGATCCAGACCCCTTGTATCTATAGCCCCAGCGCCTCAGTCAAAACCATCGAGTGTACTTATTCAATTCAATCAGAACCTACCTGGGTCCCAGCTGGAGGATAGGTGAGTGGATTATTTCCCAGATAACCTCAAGAATAAAGGATTAGCCTGAAATAAAGTCAAAGCTGTTCCACTTTTTAGGAAATAGGCATGACATACAGGGTCGTCATTAGTAGCAGGCAACAGGCAATTTTCACTGGTTTTCACAAATTCGCCTGTTGTTTTTATGGAAATTTCAACTTTTTCCATGTTAAATTCATGATTTCCATTAATTTTGCCTGTTGTTTTCACTTATTTAGCGTGTTGTTGTGAGAAATTCTAGTGAAACCCCTGACATAGAATAATGAGACTGAGCAAGGAATATACAAGTAAAGTATTATCGATAAATAATTACAAAGGCTGACAAACTTTGCATTTTTCAGTGGTGCAGTGGTACAAGAACATGAAGTGTCAGACACAGACAAGACTGCAATATACAAGTAAGATTTTGAAATCATTTTAAAAGCTTTGTTTTCAAGTAATGGTATACAGCATTTGATTAATATATGCAGCTCAATACAATGAAGAAAGCAGGGCAGAAACACTTTTTACAGAGATTCTAATTATTCCAGTACATGTACTATTTTTTTTTGATTCGCTTAAACTTTGAATTGAATGCACTTACACAATACATACAACATACAAATGATGTCAAACTTTGTTTTGACTCAAACCAGTTTCGATATTTTAAGATTGACACAAATTTTCTATTTCAGACACCCCCTGTTCCCTCTGCTGGCTTTATTATTTGAAAAATGTGAGCAAGCTAGCCAATCTGCAGAATGTCCATCAAGTGAGAGTTTTGATGTAGACATCCAGTCTTTTGTTCACCACCAAGAGAGGGAGAAAAGACCATTCTTATGTGATGATCCAGATCTGGACTGCTTGGTAGGGCAATTATAAAATTAAAACCTGTATATCTTAACATATTTCTTATCTGAACACATCTAAATGGCAAGACTTTTTCTAAGTTTCAATTTTTAGTCTCCCATTGACCCATATGTTAAAGAACCTTGATAATCTGAACACTTTTGGCCAGGCTCAGTGACATTCAGATTAAACTGGTTTTCACAGTATATGACTTTTATTGGTGCATCCTTTTTGGAGATTCACCTAATTTGTTAAAGAAATGTTTACACTTGCTAATCTGAACACTTTTGGCTGGTCTTTGTGGTGTTGGGATAAGGCAGGTTATACTGTACTGTATTATGATAAGGGCAATTTGTAGCACCTGTCAGATTAAAAATATAATTTGCATAAGTTTAACATTTCTAAAGTTCAATGTTTACATATACACATGAACTGTACATACTCAAGAGAGATAATTATAGTACAGTAAAACCTGTCTTAGTGAACACCTCTAGTGAATACCTGCATCTAGTGAACACCTCTTCTCAGCACATACTCCATGGAGTACTGTTGAACATATTTTTCTGGCTCCATAGTTGTTCACTGTACACAGGTTTTACTTTAATTTGTTTTATTATGAATCATACTGCAAATTGTAATTATTGAATGAAAATGTTTGTATTGATTTGATATGACATAAGATCTATAGGGAAACAGTGCTATTATTGTGGTCAATTCTACATAGAATAACATTATGTAACTGTTTTCAAAATTAATTTTTGAGTTTTGAAATTAGTTTGAGAAACAATTATGACCGAGTCCACTAGGTATAGATTGTGTACATCTTCTTAGTGCATATCTTTTAGTATATTCTTCACTTCCAGTTCACAGCAATATTTTAGTCATTAAATTTTGTAATGTCCTAAAAATTTCTTCAGATGCTGAAAGCCATTCAAGTGTTACGTATTCATCTCCTAGAGTTGGAGAAAGTAACGGACCTATGCAAGGACTTTTGTACCCGATACATATCCTGCCTTAAAGGCAAACTTCAAAGTGAAAAACTGCTCCATGTTGAAGGATACGATGGGGATGATATGGACTTTAGTGAAAGCCATGAGAAAGAGTTGGACTCTAATGCTAACAATACTCCAGTAGGTGCCCCAGCTACACCTCTATCCCTCCAACCAGGCCAAATTGTGTCTGGGGGAACGGTATATCAAATGGTTAACACACCCCAGGGCCTGGTTGCTCAACCTATTCAGATCCAGTCACAGCAGGTGACAGGTAGTGTCTCTGTGGGTCACGTTGTACATGGGAGCACCCCCTTGTCTCAGATAGGCATCCCACCAACACCCACCAGCACAACTCACTCTACAGGTCAGTGCTATAGGTTTGAATTTTTCTTCAAGGTCAGCATATAGGTCAGTTACTCAAATACTCAAAACTCAAATTTCCTTATCTGAAACATTCAAGTTTATTAATATATTTGACAGCGCCACATCTTGAATTTTAAATAGTACACAAAAGTTATTTTCTTGAAACCTGTTGCATTTATTTGTTGCCAATTAAACCAAGGAATGGAGCAAACAAGGAAAAGATGGAAGAAAGAAACTACCAAGAAACCGGTCAACTCAAAGGATTTTAAATGAACTGAGTAATCAATAATGCAAGATTTTGTATACTATGGAAACATAAAGTTGAATTCTATTATATTTCAGCCACTACACCCTCCCCATTAACCCCCTCCACCCCAAGTGCCTCCTCATTCTTTGAGGATGAAGACTATGAAGGAAAGAACAGCAAAACCAAGCGTGGAATCCTCCCAAAACAAGCCACTAATGTCATGAGGTCCTGGCTATTTCAGCACATTGTGGTAAGTACTCATATGAATATAGTTTAACAACAAGAAACTGCATGATGTCACTTTCTGTATAAGTTTTCTGTGGGACAAAATTATGGCAATTTTGGAATTTTAATTTTTAGCCATGATTATGAATAAATGTAAACTAATCCCTGTTTTATATTTTTCAATGCCTCTGAATATGATATGCAAGCAGATGGGCTAACATTTGAAAAAGAAAACAAAGCAAACACAATGTCAAATAGTATGTCAACTTGGACCATGTTTTAAGTCCCTGTAGCTTTCAAAGCCAAAAAGCTAGTGAAGCAATGATAATGTTCCTATAATGTTTCAGCATCCTTACCCAACAGAAGATGAAAAGCGACAAATTGCAGCTCAGACAAACCTTACTCTGCTTCAAGTGAACAACTGGTATGTTACTAACTCACTATACTTGTTAACGTAGCTTATAACCCTGTTTATTTTTTCGTGAAGCCACTCAGTAAAATTACGATTTCTATGCACCCTGATTTCCAATCAAGATCATTCCAGTATCCATGTTTGTCTGACACGTTTGGGCATCTTGGAATGACAACATCTACCCGAAGTTTGCACTTTATTTTGACGTAATTTATGACTGATATCGGGAAAACAAAACATTAAGGTAGCATTCATAAATTTAAATGCTGGCTGACAGATTAATCTGCTTTTTGGCAAACTCATTTAAATATGAATGAAATATTGGCAGGTTCTATTCATGTTTAAAAAATGAGTTGACCATGAAATATCTGGTTAAACTGCCAGCAGTAGAATTCGTGAATTCTACCTCAGACTCGGGGAAGTTTATTGGGTCAGGTGGTGTATTATATGAAGTTTGGAAGACAAGCATGATCTCGGTGTCATTTCAATCTGTATTTTGAAAAGTATTTCATGTACATTTCATAATTATTAGTATTAAATCAGTCCTTTTTGGTCAGGTTCATCAATGCAAGAAGGAGGATTCTACAACCAATGTTGGATGCCAGCAATCCGGATCAAATCCGTGCAAAGAAAAAGACTCAAAACCGCCAGGTTCAAAGGTTTTGGCCTGAAAGTATTGCCAGTATCCAGCCTCAGACAACAGCAGCAGGTGTAGCTCCCCAACCCCCAGCAGGCCAGGTGGTGTCCTCTGCATCTGACCCCTCTCGCCTTATCGTGCCTGTCCCACATGGAACATGTAAGTATTAAAAATTATTAGACAGTATTTTGACTGATTGTTTTCTTAATAACTTTGAAAAGAGCAACATTGACATCTTCCGCAGAAAAGCATGCATCTTGGCAGGTAGCCTCCAAAAATTCTTGTCATCAAAACCCAAAAATCTGCTTATCTGTTCAACTTGTTTTGTTACATGACAACCTTTCCCATATGGTTATGATTCTGAGCATTTAATTTTCCATGGGGAATACTTTAGTTGAAATTGCAAATGGCAACCTGTAGGTAATTTACTTTTTGGGGCATATTTTTTTCATTCAAAATGAAATAGTAATTGAGGAAATCTTTTATTTGCAGTGATTAGCACTGATGGTCGGCATATACTTACAAATACACAGCCAGTGAGTACCACAGCAACCAACCAAGTCACCATGGTAACTGAATCTCCACTTCTCAGTCAAGCACAGGCTGTCTCTTCATCACCGCCTATCACAAATATAGAGGGCGCTGGGAGTACACATAGTAACGATGGTCAGCCACTAATCAAGGTCACCGACCAGGACTTTAAATTGACATCAAAAGAGGAGGTACAGGATACCCATGATGCAACAGATACTGGTGCTGTGGCGGATTAACTACATGATGAAATTCACTCCCAGAAACCTAGCATGTGATGGAATTTATTAAAGTTGATCTTTGACAAAACGCCATAATGAAATATATGCCCAGGAGATTATATTAGTACGACTGAACTGACATTGTTCATGAAGTTTGGAATGGAGAACTGATGAAGTGCCTCATACGTATATTCTGAGATTCTTTTACGCTATACATATAAAGACAGTATGGGATTCAGACACTGTTGTGTAAAGATTAGAAGACATATTTGATGATGGATTACAGGGTATTACAGTAGAATAGGTTACAGGTTAAAGGATTGTTCATTTTCAGTCAATTCAATTTTATCGCACCATTGTGCTATAGATTTGCATAATTAAATTTGAAGTTTAAAAAAGAAGATAATTGCATTCAGAAAGCTATCCAAGTTGCAAATTTTGAATTTCTCATTATTTTATCAAATATTTAACTGCTTTCTGTATCTGCTTTTTGATCATTTACAACCATAGCTCTTTTGTTACAATATTTTACAATATGTGTTTTTGTTACACTATAAATCATGATAATTATATCCTTTGACATGACTTTTATCGAGCTTTTTGAGTATTTTATGTGACAAATAGATTGACAGGAATTTGTATACTTTCATTGGCTTACATGATGAGCCCTATTGAATAGACCAAATCGTGATAGTTCAAAAAAACGATGATGTTCTAACCTCTTGTCTTGAAGAGCTCTCATTCTGAGTAGTTTTTTTACATCCGGGTTCTTTCCTATTGGAATATACAGGGACTGATTTTGAATGGAATATTTCAGCTCTATTTGACATTCCTCTTTGCATTTATTTGCACATTCGATAAAATTTTTTGAGTCTGACACACTGCAAAGGTTTCTCATGAATATCTTTTGAAACTAACAATAATCATGAAATGCATTACTCTGACATCACTGACTTCATTCTCGGGAGCTGAGGGACTCAATATTAAACAAGAAGTTCGGGTATTTAATTCGAGTTTTTATGTATGTATAAATTGACAAGTATTTTTCTGAGGATGTTAACTTGATGTTAGTATGAATTGATGACATCCCAACAATCCGCAAAACATAGGAGAATCAGAATTTAATGATGGACCAATAAAAATTTGTCCTACTCAACACAATGCATGAAATTACTTTCAGATAAAATTGACCCAGATTGATATTTGACACGGCTGCTTGTAAAATGCAACGGTTCTGCTGAATTGTTACATGTTATCTACCAATATATGGACTTGTTGAAAGACTGCTAGAATTTGATGCACAATATATTAGCAAATGTAAAGGACTATCAGTGATCTCCCCAGGACTTTTTCTTAAAGTTCAAAATTCTAATTTTTAAAATTCAGGCAAAAATTGGTCAAAATATGCCAATTTGTCATGATTTTTCTCATCTTCAAGTGGGTACAAATGGATTATCAGGTTGGTGCAAGCCTATTTTCAAAATCTCAAGTGGGTGCTGCGCCCACTTGCTTTAATGCTGGAGAGATCACTGACTATGTAATCACAGCTTAGTAACATACAGTACTCCTGGTGTTTTCATACTTTTCACTCCACTGCTCAAAGATTGGTTAGTCTTTGTATTAAGATTTTTATCAGAGAATGATTACTGGTATGTGGTCTTGAAAATAAAACTACAACGTGCAAAAATGGTGCACTTTATTTGTAGAAACTACACAAGTAATGCAAGCATTACATTGATTATATTGGAATATAACAAGGTATTGAACCAAACACACAAAACATTATATTGTAATTCCATGTAATTTGTGGCTAGCCATGTTTTTGAAATGTTAGTATTAATTAACTTTCAAACATGGCAAATATCACTAGTTTAACAGTTGATGTTTTGCCCCCCCCCCATAAGACATGACACAATGAGCGCATATGTTACCAGAAACTCTGATTCAATATATGATGATTATTATTTTATCTATGGATAATAACTACATTTAGCTAAATGCCCAAGTGTTTATCTGACAACATATAGCTTACATTATTGTATATTTTTGGTTCATTTATTTTACGAAGCTTTTCAGTTTAATGCCATCACTTTTACATTAAATGGCTTTGTGAATAGTGCTTATACTACACATCATATTATGTTAGACTCAACATAATATCAACTTTCTAGCTGTTCATATTACATGGAAAAACCTAATGTCTGTTTTTTAAATCAATTAACTGTCAATTTGGTGTTACAGAGTAAAGTATTGATTAGATTTATTGAGCTAATGTGTATGAAATTATGCATTCCGTTTCGTTCAAATTGTTTCATTTAATATGCTCTAGTTGAGTAGGACTAGTATGTTTGTCAGTGGACTCTTTTCTTCTGCTCTTTCATAAGTCAGTTATGCTTATAACACATCTTACATTTAAGTATAGGGTACACCCTTTTTTATTATTAGGGTGTTTTAATGTCTACAAATATGTATCATGGCATTAATTCAAATAAAACACAAATATCAAGTTTATATACAAATAAATATTATTGTATTGTTCAATCATTATTCATTTAGATTCTACATGAAGGCATTATCAGCTGAGTTCTGTCAATAGTTTAAGAAATATAAAATGTAGTGAAATGTCTGAATGTCACTCGGGGCCCTGGCTCATATGAGGCACTTTTTAAAAAGTTCAATGTCACTTTAGTTGATTGATCACATGGCCTGCAAGTTCACAAAGTTATCACAACTTTTTCTTTGTGGCTGATAATCAGATATCCAGTGGGTACAATCCAAGTCTAGTGACCTTATATCCTATTGGAAAGATCATATGTCACCAGGGTGGATATCGGATATTCTGACCCTGAGGGTACAAATCCGATCATCTTTGGGTAGAGACAATATAATGGCCCAGGGGTATATGTTTGAATTCAGACATCCTGTGAGTAGTGGATCCTATCTCCTAGTGTATGTATCAAATGTCCTGAGGGTTAAGGCCATATGAAGTGAGTAGCGAATCTTTTGACCTTATATCCTATTGGTAAGATGATATGTCACTAGGTTGGATATCGGACATCTTGTGGCTTCAAATCAAATCACCTGTGGGTGGTGATAATATTACACCCCAGGGGTAGATGTTAGAAGTCTGATATCTTGTCAGTAGTGGATCATTTGCCTTAATTTTGTATCAAATATCTTGAGGGTTAAGGCCATAGTCTAGGAGTATATGTTTGTGCTTAGTCTGTATCATAGTTGAGTGGTCCTCCCATTTGGCACGTGCTCCTCCAATTTTCTCTATTAATTTATCCAAGTGGTCCTGAAACAGAATTAAGTCACTATGTACTTTTTACAGAGAACACATCTCATATAATTATTGAACAAACATTGGATAAGCTACTAACATAAAATGGCTTAAAATATCACCACCACCTGTTTTTTTTAGTACAAAAGTGTAACGCTTGTTACAGATGCTGATGGCAATGCCGAATTGAATTTTGATTTTTCAATTTTGTATATCACAATTAAAATGGAAAACTTAGGGGTCAGATCAGATTTAGGGGTTAAAGGTAAATCTTCATGACAAGATTTTTTATGAGTTTTTCATGAAATAACTACAAAAAATCAATATATTGGGTAATATTCCCATGTGAACGTGGATTATTTACACATTATGGTAGATATATACAGTTAAAAATTAGAACGTTAAAATGACAGTTCCCCACCAAAAATTGAACTTTTTAGAGAAAGTGCTAAACTACTTTTCAGAGTTCTATTCTGATTCAAACTCTAACATAATGTGCAGATAAGTAAGTGATCTCAAGTTAAAAAAACATGACATGTGGCTCAGTCCAAAAATAAAACATATGTCTTACATTAAGGACTGTTTCATACTGCATTCCCATTGCATCTATTTTCATCTGAAGTTCTTTAATCTCATCATTTTTCAAACGTTCTATCTTATCTTTCTCCTCACGAGTTTTCTTCAAATCTGCTTCTGTCTTTTCTGTAATGAGAACAACCAAAGGGCAACATTATAGAAACATTAAAACAATACAGACCTATTTTAACCCTAAAGAAAATAGAAACAATGGAATGGTATATGTCTTTGAGGTTGAAAGCACTGCACCTAACATGAAATAGTTAATAGAAAATATGTGAAATTAAGGAAATAAAAACATGATAAATGGAGGAGCCAACATAATTTCACCCAGATAATAAAATGCAAAATTTAATATTGAGATTCTTTATAAAAAATGCAAAATTGAATCGCATCAAAATCCTTAATTTAAAAGAAACTATTACAAACCAAGGGTTTTAGATGTTTTTTCCAAATCAGTTTCCAGTTGGTGTATCCTCAGTCCCATTTCAGTTTGCATAGTTTTATACTGCCTTGTCATATCTACAAAATATAACATACATTTAGTCATTGTCATTCAAACTTTAATAAAAATAAATTCTGCACATACAGATACAATCTCACCAGATTATCTCAAATCCATGTATCTGACTGGTCAGCTTCAGTTATATGTGACTGTTTGGGATCAACATTCCCAGTTGGGATGTGTCTTATTAAAGTCTAATTGTAAGTTTTACCAAATTTATCGACCATGAGATTGGCGAGTAAAGGACTCCCTTACTCATTGTTGTTTGTCTAAAATTGAAAAATCCCACACTCCTATGGACTTGTCTTAGATGAAATTGTGCTTATAGGGAATTGAAGCCAACAACTTGTCAGGAAGTTCATTATATTTGTAAGTGATTTTAGATACATGTAGCATCCTAACAAAGAGTTTAAAGTGCATGTATTCTTAAGTTGCTTAAATTCTATCACACTAACCAGCAGAGACTGACTGGTAGTCCTGCTTCTCCACTTCAAGATCATTTTCTGCATCTAGCATCCGCTCCTTCCATTCCTCAGATGTTACCTTGGACCTACGCGTCAACTCCTTGCGCACAGCTGAAATATATTAAAAAATGACCATTCTTGTTAGCAATATTTTGAAATTCCAGCGTTAATTATTATCACTTGATATTATGGGGGTATTGAGAGGTTAATGTAAGAATCAATCCTCTCTTGACTTGGACGAAAGATAAAATTAACATGTTACAACACTGTCATCTTTCTAATGTTCACTCAAATATAGATACACCAGTAACACCACAGTATAATAAAACAGGATGGGAAAATAAGATAAGAAGGTGGAGATGTGCTATACACCATATGTGACAAGCCTATTGAGTAGCCCGACATGTTTTGAACAACAAATACTTTAAAAGTTTTGAATATTTAACATTTTAATGGAACATAGAACTTACTGAGGTGATCTTTCAGTGCTTCAATTTCATCTAAAGTTTGTTTGTATTTGTCTTCAATTGTAAGTTCATCTCCTGTAATAAAACAATGTAAATTTTCTGAAATATTCTTCTAGTATAATATAAGTCCACAGAGCACACACGTTTTATTTGATTTCACTTCAAATCTTTGACTTCAAATTCAAAATAGTCTACCTTTATATTGAATCTGAAAATAAAAAATCATTCAAATTTCAAATTCAATTTTTAAATTGAATTTCATTTTCAATGGCAAATTCAGTGATATTCCACTGTGTTTAATATTATGAAATGCATGTCTAAGTTACAAACCATCCTTCTTCTTTTTCTTCTTCTTCCCTTTCTTCTTTTTAGGCGGCATTTTTGGAGATTTTTATAAAAGTATAGAAAAAATTAACGAGCAATTGCTCGAATTGTTTGAAAATGGCGTAGTTGCTACTTCCGGGTTATCGTCCTTCCCACAATGCAACAGAACATGCGTAACGCCCCTTTAGAAATCCCCGGGACAACTGCAATATTCCCGGGAATAAAAGAGCAAGATAATAAATACTTATCTGTTCTAATGCATTTGGTTGGTACATTGCCATACTTGACAGTTGATCCATATGTGACCCATGGTTAATCCATGGTGACATTATCCTATGTGATGGTCCAGTGACATTTATGTCACAGTTGGTTCACAGTGATATAACATCATGTGACAATAAATCCATGGTGACATCATTTATCATTTTGTGATACTTGGTCGACAAGATTAACTCATTTGACAGAATGCTCATAGTAATAGTTGACATGGTGACATGACCTCATCTGACAATTGGTTCTTAGTGACATATAATGTCAGGTGACAGTTAGAGAGCCATTGTGCCATTTATAATTATTTTTAATATGGTACTCCATCAGATGGCATGCACTTATTACTCCGTGTGACAGTTGATCCATTGTGAAATAACAGATGACAGACATGCAACTCAGTGACAGTCGATCCATGGTGACATTACATTACCTTAAGGGCAGCTGATCCATAGTGACATAACCTTATGTGACAGCTGGTTCAAAATGACATTACGTTGTGTGATAGATGATCCATTGTGACATTGCATTTTGTGACAGCTGGTTCATAGTGACATTACCTTATGTGAATACTGACCCATAGTTACTGTGACATTACCTAATGTGAATCTGATCCATAGTGACATTACCTTATGAGCTGGTTCATAGTGACATTACCTTATGTGAATACTGACCCATAGTTACTGTGACAATTCCTAATGTGAATCTGATCCATAGTGACATTACCTTATGAGCTGGTTCATAGTGACATTACCTTATGTGAATACTGACCCATAGTTACTGTGACAATTCCTAATGTGAATCTGATCCATAGTGACATTACCTTATGAGCTGGTTCATAGTGACATTACCTTATGTGAAAGCTGGTTCATAGTGATGTTACCTTATGTGAATACTGACCCATAGTTACTGTGACATTACCTAATGTAAAACTGATCCATAGTGACATTACCTAATGTGAATCTGATTCATAGTGACATTACCTTATGTAACAGCTGATCCATAGTGACATTATCTGGCTTATTTCGTGAAAGATGGTCAACAGCGACATTACCTTACATGACAGTTGATCAATTGTGACATTATTTTATTTGACAGCTGATCCATAGTAGCATCACAATATGTGACAGTTGATCCATAGTGAAATAACATGACAGACATGCAACTCAGTGACAGTTGATCCATGGTGACGATACTTTGTGTGACAGTTGATCCAGAATGAAATCACATTATGCACGTTATGTGAGAGTTGGTCCATCATGTCCATGGTGACATTACCAGTTGGTCCATGAATTTACATGAGATGACCCAAAGTGACATTAGCCTATGTGACAGCTTATCCATAGTGACATTACATTGAGTGAGTTACATTATCTTATAGGGCAGCTGATCCATGAGATTATCTGGCTTATGGCGTGAATGTTGCTCTATAGTGACATTGCCTAACATGAGAGTTGATCCATTGTGACATTATCTTATGTGACAGTTGGTCGATAGCGACATCAGCTTATTTGACAGCTGATTCATAGTAACATTACCTAATGTGGCAGGTGATCCATAGCAACACCACAATGTGTGACAGCTGAACCAAAGTGACATTACATTATGTGAGCTAATCCACAGTAACATTTATTTTTGTGACAGTTGGTCCACATGGACTGCTAAACGGGAGAATCATGTCATGTCTATTTCCTTAAAATATCCAAATTGTATACTGCATTTGACGAAAACTTGATTTTTACAAATTTTCTATTTTTATGGTTACCATTTTATTTGGGAGAATTATTCTCCCCATTTTGGCACTTTGAATCTTAAATAACTTCCCCAATTTAAAACATATCGTGGATCTTTTGGGAGATAATACATTTAAGATTGTATGGAATATATTGGTAGGTCAACTGTACATGTTGCTTGCAATTTTGTCACCCTCTATTGATCTGATTCTTCCTTTAAGGACAGGAATACTTATTTGACGGTTGATCCCAAAACAGCATCATATTGAAACCCATGAATGCATTGGCCATTGCATTCAGTGTACATGTCTTACTTCAAAATGTGTGGAATTTTCAAAACAAGACATACATGACAAATTGCCATTGGAAAGTCATGCAAATGATTACAGAAGTGGAACAGTTCATTGTAGACACCGACTAGCAATCAAAGAATAAATCGCAAAGGATTCTTAGTGACATCTACTATTACCTGGTATTAGAAACTAAGGAAGGAAGATGCCCTGCTAGTGACACATAAGAGACAAAGAAGGATCACATTCCTTTTCTTTTGCTTTGGCTTCAATGACCAGCAGAAACTACCAAATATGGTGTACAAATGAATCTTCTGAAAATGGCTTTATCACCAAAACCCAATAAATATTTTTAGGACTCTGGCCTGAAATCACTCCCATTCAAAAACTAGTGGTCTTTTCAATAAATCCTGCAGTAAATTACTAGTCTTTCACTTTCACTAATATTTAATACCATTACCTAATGATGCCAGTAGAAAGAAATATAGTGATCTTAGGTTTTCTCAAAAGGGTGCCAAATCCTAAACAATTTTTCAACTGTGTGGTAAGTACTTTACTTCTACTTAATTTGGCAGATCTGCCGAGTTGTTAATAAAGTCCGCCAAATTCCCTGGTAATTTTAGTACCATGTTAATTAGTACCATAACTACATTTAATATTGCAAGTCCGCCAAATTAAATAGCTGCCAATTGTTCAAAACAGCAAATTCGCCAAATGAGTAGAAGTACAGTAATATTCAAAAAAGGCGCAGCACCAAGCTGCTCTTATACTTGGGGCTAGTATGGTAGATGACACATAGTATGATTCACAAGTGAATCCTATATTGCTTATACCAATCCAGCCATCTAGATCAATTTGCAATACCTTGTAATACCTGAGATTCATATCTCAATTAGTAATCCAATTCTCTGACACATTGTATAGAAAATCCGGTAACTGGTCAACTCGTACCCAAGACAACTCGTACCCAATTATATATTTTGTTTTGAATCAAGCGTTGGACTGGGAATGTGAATAGATATACATTTTATAATTGTAACATACTGTTCAGAATAGTTTAAAGTTTGAAGAAGAATTTTCGGAAGAAATTGATTTAATTTTGTGACATTTTGAGCTTTGAGTGTCAATTTATTTTGACTATTATTTTATATTGGTCACAGATTCAGGATGTTCAAGTGAAGAGACATACTGTAAAACGGGTAATTTTGACACCGGGAAATTTTAGCGATTTTTCAATTTTAGGGGGTTTTAGCGCGGGAAATTTTAGCGAAATGAAGATTAATCTTTAAAAAATCAAATTAGCGAAATGCATTAGAAATTGTATCATTTATGGCAGAAGAATCAATAACAGACATGACAGAGGAATTATCAAAATGTAAGACTTCTAACGCACATGGTATTGGTCCAAACTACTGTAATCTCATCTGACTAATCACAAAATCACGGTAGCATTTAAAATCGTTGATTTTTCGGTCGAGCACTGAACGAAACGCTCCTTAAATACTAGTATTCTTGTTGTTTCCCGGGAATTTGCAAATTTTAGCGCCTGGTTTATTTTAACCCCGGTTTATTTTAGCGAATTGAATTTTTAGCGAAACTATAGCGATCGCTAACAATCGCTAACAATTACCCCTCGCTAACAATACCCGTTTTACAGTATGTTTAATCAACATATTCATAATCATTTTTCAAAATATTGTATGTTTATGAGTGTTTGGAACAAGTATTAGATTCAATGTTGTAATTATATTTATTTATATATATAAAGGTGATCCAAGTTAAATCAAAATGCTTTCCCGATCCATTGAGAAAAATGTCTTCTAAATTCAAAAAAATATTGAGGCTTATTTGATTCACATTATAACATGAAAACATTATTATGCAAACTCAATTTTTCCCCTAATATGCACCCATAATACTGAAAATAATCTTGGGTACGAGTTGTCTTGGGTACGAGTTGTCTAGGAAGCGAAAATCCGGTATACACGATGGACTTCAATCCCAACCAACATAAAGCAGCAAGTTGAGTGCACAGAGCTGTTTTTATTTTATTTTTTTGTACATTATAACTTGTATAGTCCAATGATAATGTATGTGGTCTATTTGAGTGGGATAAACCTGGAAGAGTGGGTGGCTCCAATACCAGGCCTACCGTGCTTGACTGGCTTGTATGTGATACTGAACTCACCAAGGTAGTGACCAATCATCTCTGGCTGCAAATATAAACAATGAAAATAAGTTTAAATCACAATCAAAATTGAATTTTAGCAGTTTATAAGTTATTATCTTAGTTTAAAACAGGGAATAATTTGAACAAGTCAGTAAAGCAGTTAGAATCACTTTATTCATAGCCCAATGCTTTATCTGTCATCATACTTGTTCAAGAAACATTAAATAAATGACTTATCTACATGCTACAAGAATATTGTGTCGAATATGTACATGGATCATATATGATGTTCAGTGAACTCATTTTTAAAAACAATAACAAGTTGATATCAATATCAGCATATCTGGTAATCTTAGAATGTTGATATTAGAGGGTTTAAGCTTGCATTGTTTTTCACAACCTAAATGTAAATGGAAAGTACATGAATCAATATAAGAATGCATCGAGTGAGCATACTTTTGTATAAAGCGCTTTAGTCTACTTCAATTTCAGATGCCTGTTCAGCCTGTGCTATGCTGGCAATTTTGATTTTGATACACAGTATAATTCTTTCTGATGATGTATGTCATGCATGTTTAGCTACTAATTCCTTTGATTCAGCTTACCTTGATTTCTACTTGATTGAATGTTTTGCCATTGTAGACACCTACGATACTGCCGATCATCTCAGGTACGATGATCATGTCTCTGAGATGAGTCTTCACACACTGTAACAAAAATATTGCCATTAAACAAGCAGTCAATTTATTCACTACTTCTCGCATCAAACAACTAGATAACATGGCCTATTGTTTTTAAACATAGGGACCGAATCCCATGGAAGCTTATGTGAAAAAGTCAACCCATCTTGGTGGGAATCAAACCTATAAACTTGATATTTTAAGAATTATACCGATAAAACTCTTCCTATTATTTCAAAATCTGAATACTCTGAATATGAGAGGAACAAGTCAGTAAAGCAGTTAGAATCATAAAATATTTCATAGCCCAATGCTTTATCTGTCATCATCCTTGGTCATCTAATATTTAAGTGAACATAAAATATACAACAGAATTTGTAAAATGCAGTATCTAATATTTAGTTTTTAGCCCACCTCAGGTTTTTCCAAGATAGGTGCTTCTTTCTTGGCTTTACGCAGACGCTTGATGAGGGCCATAGGCTTGCGCTTCAGACCACGTGAGAACCTACGTCTAGGTCTGCAGGTAACCAGCTCCATCAACTGTTCGCTAAAATAACAAGATAATAATACTCAGTATTCTCACTAAAAGATTTTTCAACTGGGTGCAATTTTCAAGTCTGAAAAAATCAGCGCTCCCTACGCTCACAATATCTCCAGGTGGGTGCTTACTTCACTCATTTTTCAAATCAGAAGTTGAAGTGCAGGGTGTCAACCGGGGGCCTTTGGTTTTAAGTGGGGGGGGGGGGGTGGTAAAAGTGACATGGGGAGATCACTGCTACTATAGAGAGCTGAGCAAGTCAGTAAAGCAGTTAGAATCATTGTTATTCATAGCCCAATGCTTTATCTGTCATCATACTTGCATTCAGATGGTTTATTTTAAAAATTGTTAACATCACAAAACATCATATTGAGTGAATCTGTTTGCAAAAGCTTGTTCTTAAAGGTAGTTCTGTATATTCAAAAGTTTTATGGCATCTTAATGGGGAGATCCATCGTAAACTCATTCAAAATGTGGTCCAGAACTTTCTATTTTGCAGAGTGCACAAATGTTCCCGGAATATTTGTTGAGCATTGAAATAAAAAAAAATTTTCTATTCTAATAGGGTTCGTTCATGAATTTTCTTAGTTTTCGATATATATTATTAAGCCCGAGCTAAAAATCCGGATAAAAGATATGAGGGAATAATTAGCTGTAAAGCTGTGGCCTTTTGTAATTTAGGGAGTTAAAGGCATGTTAATTTTGGAGGAATAACATGGCACAAAAAAGATCAAAATAATAGGAGCCACACATTTGATAACTGAACTATCAAAACAAACCAACAAAAGTTAGTCAGGTACATGTTATATTCCATATAATTAATGTTGCTATGTGGTCTTTCAATAGCTTATTTTTTAGATTCAAGGTTGTTGCCAAAGTTGTGATTTTGGCTGAATATTGGCTGCAGTATCGTCGTTTAAGCTTACTCATGTCTCTAGCCAGCTAATTACTTGGCTAAAAGTCTTTATGCACAATTGAGAGGTTTTCCCTGAACAAAATAAAATTCAAAAATCATAATATGAATATTTCACCAATAGGAATTGAAACGAAAACTGTACTTTGTGAGATCTTACATACTTTCATCCAAAATTAAGCGCCATCTTCAAGATAAATGGTCGATATTCAAGGACAACGATTAAAACTGGAGCTAGCAATCCAAAAGAGTTGAACCAATACAAAGATCACCTTGTATATGTTTTGAAAGGTTTTGTGAAGTAATAAGACCAATTTCAAATGACTCATATACGACACAATAAAACACACAGGAATTGATGGTAAGCGTAAGGCCGCAGTATCACCCTATGCAGACAGAGCCTGTGGGAAATATTGGGTGCGGAGCAAATGAGCGGAGGGTGCGGAGCTAACGGTTATTTTTGAATTTAAATTTGGGATATTTCTGAAACTAAGCCGTTTTGGGACTTCAAATATACCAAGATATGTGTATTTGACACCAAATATCAATACAATTGTGAAAATAGTAGCGCAATTAATTCTATAGCGACGCAGTGTGCCTTAAACCTTTCCCAGACCTATATATTTTGAAATTATCCTTTTAATACTGAGTCCCCAGCATTCATAAAAAATGGTGTTCAAGGTGCACTATCTATACAAATTATTTTTGCATCTTGGAAGCCAGGCAGTATCTGTGTGATTTTATAAAAATTCGGAAATTTTTTCAGATATGAGCCCCCTCTAAATATTGGGTGCGGAGCAGCTCCATAAACGTAGCTCCGCACCCAATATTTAGAGGGGCTCATATCTGAAGAACATTTCCGAATTTTTATAAAATCACACAGATACTGCCTGGCTTCCAAGATGCAAAAATAATTTGCATGGGTAGTGTATCTTGAACACCATTTTTTATGAATGCTGGGGACGCAGTATTAAAAGGATAGTCTCAAAATATATAGGTCTGGGAAATGTTTAAGGCATACTGCGTCGCTATAAAATGAATTGCACTACTATTTTCACAATTTTATTGATATTTGGTGTCAAATACACATATCTTGGTATATTTGATGTCCCAAAACGGCTTAGTTTCAGAAATATCCCAATTTTAAATTCAAAAATGACCGTTAGCTCCGCACCCTCCGCTCATTTGCGCCGCACCCAATATTTCCCACAGGCTCTGTCTGCATAGGGTGAGTATAGTGGAGGCCTTAGTTACTTCCTGCGAAAGCTATTTGGATTTTGATATAATAGCTTTCCCACGGAGCATTTGGACAGCTGAATGATTGTGACCTTTGAAATCGAATTAAGTCGATCAGCGGCTTACTTTTGGTCTTTAACTGTGTCTTACATCAGTATCATCAATCCGTGTAAGTATTAGAGCGCCGAAATACTTCTTTTTCGATCAAGACTTGTAAATTGTTCATCGAATGAATGTTTTTTAGACCTATTTCCAATATGGCGGTTTGCTAGGAGCGAGATACGCAACGAACGAAATGAATTTTGAGAATTAGTTAGGTTCGGACAACCTCCGGAGATTTACCAAAATGTCCAGGCAGAAAACGCCATATTGGAATTTGGCAGTAAAAACATTCACTCGACTAACAATTACAAGTCTTGATCAAAAAGGAAGTACTTCAGCGCTCCAATACTTGCACAGAAGGATAATAATGATGTACAAGGCATTAACATGACAAAATGTCACCACCTAGTTAGGTCATTGAAGGTCAAATGTCAAATCTTAAGTCAAATCTAAAGTCAGATTTGAACTTCTGAGAACACGTAGATGATTTTGAAAAAATTTTTTAGTCAATTTGAAGCAAGTTGAAAAAAGACCTTTTTGACCTTGAGAAGGTCATTGAAGGTCAAAGGTCAAATCTAAAGTCAGATTTGAACTTCTGAGAACTTGTAAAGTCAAATTTGAACTTCTGAAAAGATGTAGATGATTTTGAAAAAAAAATTTGGTCAATTTGAAGCAAGTTGAAAACAGACCTTTTTGACCTTTTTTGACCTTGAGAAGTCATTAAAGGTCAAATGTCAAATCTAAAGTCAGATTTGAATTTCTGAGAACATGTAGATGATTTTGAAAAAAAAATTAGTCAATTTGAAGCAAGTTGAAAAAAGACCTTTTTGATCTTTTTTGACCTTGAGAAGGTCATTGAAGGTCAAATGTCAAATCTAAAGTCATACTTGAATTTCTGAGAACATGTAGATGATTTTGAAAAAAAAAATTTAGTCAATTTGAAGCAAGATGAAAAAATACCTTTTTGACCTTTTTTAACTTTGAGAAGGTCATTGAAGGTCAAATGTCAAATCTTAAGTCAAATCTAAAGTCAGATTTGAATTTCTGAGAACACGTAGATGATTTTGAAAAAAATTTTTAGTCAATTTGAAGCAAGTTGAAAACAGACCTTTTTGACCTTTTTTGACCTTGAGAAGGTCATTGAAGGTCAAATGTCAAATCTAAAGTCAGATTTGAAGGTCAAATGTCAAATCTAAAGTCAAATCTAAAGTCAGATTTGAATTTCTGAGAACATGTAGATGATTTTGAAAAAGAATTTAGTCAATGTGAAGCAAGTTGAAAAAAGACCTTTTTGACCTTGAGAAGATCATTGAAGGTCAAATGTCAAATCTAAAGTCAGAATTGAACTTCTGAGAACATGTAGATGATTTAGAAAAAAATTGAAGTCAGTCTAAACAGTATTTGTTAAGTTATAGGAAGTTGTAAGAAATTGTTACAGACGCCGGATGCCAACCTCCAACTGCCGTCGGAAAAAAACGGAGACCATAACAATATGTCACCACTTTTGGTGGTGACATAATAACATAGTTAGAGAACAAAAGTAGACCGCTGATCGACTTAATTCGATTTCAAAGGTCACTATTAATCAGCTGTCCACTTCCCCGTTTGAGAGCCATAAGTTTCAAAATCTAACATGGCTCTCGGAGTGAGTAAGGCCTTAGAAGGTAACTCAGAGACATAAAACAGAGCAATAAAATTTTTGACGTCTCATCTAGAAAAAAGTAATGGAGCTACTAATACAAATACCAGCTGGGATCTGTGAAAAGCAGAGAAAGATTGCAATTTGTGCTCATATTTTTACCTTATTTTTTGAAGGTAAAAAAATGTAAATGTACCTGGACATTTCCAAGAGTTGGTCCAAATCGACACCTCTGTAGGTGTATTTCCTGAACTGCCTCTTCTTCTTGATAGCAGCAAGCTGTTCATCTGTCATGTCCGCCTATGAATAAGAAAATTATATAAAAATCAACTTTTTTTTAGGAACAACTTCACAACAGTTTTATAAATAATTCATCACACGAAGAATTGTGGAACAAGTACTTAGGGTCATTCAGAAAAGGAATCATTCTTCTATGATAAAAGTACTTAAAAACCAATAAAAACGGAATGATATAAGAGATGGAAACGGATTTTTCGAACAGTTCAGAATTGTAATATACCCACCATGTTGAATTTTTGGTAAAGGAAGGACCGATGCCCGGATTACGAAACTACACTGAACGAAAACACACCGGAGGACAATTACCGGGGAGTTTATATTTTAAACATTTTGAGCTCATGTATACAAATTTTCAAATGAACATTATTCTGTCTTCATTTTTCGAAATTATCAATAGAAAACTGAGATAAAATAGATATCAATGCCACTTGTTCGCGACCGTAAAAAATGTTACTTGCTACTCCGGAAGTGTACATTGCCTCGTTTTGGTTTTAGCGCTTTTCACATGTTTTGAAAATATATCATGAGTTTGTTGTCAAAATGCTGCTTAATTACAAGGATTAGAAATGAAAAACACTAAAGAGCATTGTCACTTAATATTTGTTAACAAGTCTGTTTACACGTGATTATTTGATTTGAGGAATGAACTGCAGAACCTCTCATCAAACTTTGAGATAAAATTTTGAGTGTCAAGAAAATTATGTTGATTTAACGCCATCTAGTGGTGGTTTTAATTACCGCCATTTTGGATTAGTAGCAGGTGCATTGTTCTGCAGGATGATAAATGACCTAACATCAGCCTGTTTACACGGTATTTTACTTTTTGTTAATATTTTGAAATTGTAAAAGTGTGTTGGCTTATGTTTTGGGTCCAAATGTATAGATGGGCATGTACACTTTATATCCTTACATTTCCAACAGTCTATTGTAAGTCATTTGTAAGCACCATTTATACTTTTTCTTGATCAGCGATATCAATGCATTTTTAGGTCGCCCGCTAAGATTGAGATTTTACTTCAGATTGGTTGAATTCATGTGTATATTTATGATGCCTACATATATACGCATCAAATGTGCACTAACCCGTCATTCGTATCACTACATGCCCATGTTAAAACACATACATGCCCATGTTAAAACACATACATGCATTTCAAATGTTTTATGTGTATAACTCATCTGTTTTTTGTTTTCAGCGGTACCAAATCTTGGGTGGAATCCTATATTTGTCTAATGTGTGCATCCCACTGCCGTAAGAATGTCTAGAGTAGATGTGCAATATGACTGGGAGGCACGTCACGGTAACATTGCAGGTAACTGAAACTTATTTAACGAGTCAATTTTGGCTGTCATTACATACTTTTTTAGTATTTTTAGTGGTAATCTTACTTGTTTTCATTTATTTAAGATTTTATTTAAGATTCATCGCAACATAAATTACCTGATCACTGCTGTACATTTTAAAAATATGTCATTGGTATTTTAGCTGTTGATAATGGCGGCTATATTGACGACTTCCACGACTACACTCATCTTGATAGAAAGTTGATCATTCGCAGGAGACCTCCTCCACTGAAGATTGAACCTCCAAAACAAGCAGGTTTGTCTAAACGCTAAAGGGTCAATTTAATAATCATTCAATCCAGTTTATTCCATTCCAAATTTCAAATATCAAAATCAAATAAAGTATATGAGTTTGACACCTGAAAGAAGTTTATCCTTTCAATGCATTCATAATTTCTTACAGTCCGCAAAAACATATAATTATAATAACTGGTTTAAGACATTTTGTAAAACAATTTTTATGTCACCACTGCATTCTGTTACATGTTGTTATGATCTCCACCTTTTTTCTGATGGTGTCCTGTGGTCGGTGTTCAGCATCTGTAACAAATGGCAGGTGGTGACATTTTGCATATTAGTGCCTGGTTCTTTCATGTCAAAAGGAGCAAAATTTGATTTAACTTAGTGAGTATGATTTTAAATTCACTAATGGAGGGCCAAACTTCTAAATTACAATAAAGTTTCCACTGTGTAACTTGACTGTTATTTGCCTTGCAGGTGTTCCAGAGTCCACTCCCTCACCTAGTATCAAGAAACTGGAAAGCATTGTCAACAAAACTGCCAAATTCTCACCAAAGACCCCAGGAGATACTCCTCCCATAGAGTCTATTCTTGTGAAAAATCATCGTCTTTTGACAAGTATTGGAAAAATCAACAAACCCCCTGGAGCGGTGACAAATGATTTATCTCCTGCAAAGGCTACTGATAGACTTCAGAACTTGATTGCTAGTGTCAGCAGGCGACTAACTCTTGAACAGGATGTACTCAAAGATTCAGGGACAGATTCTGACACCCCTGTTGAGCAATTAGAAACCCTTATAGCCCCTGAAGTGCAAACTGAAGCCCCTGTAGCACACATAGAAAGTTCACCAAGTGTTGAGGCCAATGATGCAGTGAATGTAGTGACTCAGTTGATTGAGTCCAGGAACATATCTTTGGATGACATCAATGTTGATAGAATTATGTATGTCAATGAAGATGAAGAAGTTACCCTTCAGCCAAATGATGACCATGAAGAAACAGGATCTCTGACTGGAGAATTAGACTTTCTCATGAACCCTATTATTATCAACCAGCCCATTATAAATGACAATGGAGAAGAAGTATATATAGATGAAGAAAATGAGGATGTAGAGGGAATAGCACCAAGATGTGATACAGTAGAAGTGGAGATTAACAATGAAATTCATGATGAAGTCACGGATATTGTAACTTTTGATAATATTGAACAGTACGATTATGAACAAATGTTGAAGAACCTTGACACCAGTGCTGTTAAATCTGAAGAATTCAGATACAAAAAGATTCCTATGGAACATGTTGAACAAACAATTGTAGATTTAGAAGTGGAAGCTAAAAATTTAGAACTTGAACGATTTGCTCAACTTACTGGCCTAAAATTGGGCAAGAAGTATGGGAGACAAAAGTCTGAAGATGTCAAACCAAGGCAAAGAAAGCCATACACTAAGAAGCGAAAACGAAATGAGTCATTAGAATCCAATACTCCATTAAGTCAAACAGAGCACTCATATGGAGGTAAAATCAATAATGAACAGTTCGGATTTCCGAAACATTTTACTAATCTTGCTGATGATACCAGTACACCTGAAGTTATTGATAAGTTTGGAAAGTCATATCGGATTATCAGAACTGAGATGACTACTCAGGGTAAAACTCTCCACAGGATTAGGATTTCACCAATTGAAAAATCTGAAGCTAAGCCAACACAAATCACATCCCGGAATAATTCTCTAAGTGGTAGTTTTACAGAGACTAACTTTGAAAAAGAGGCAGTAGTCTCACCAATATCTGCATCTAAGAACCTAGAAATGTCCAGGTCATTACTTACTAATCAACTCAACAAAAACTCTGGAAATGATCTTCAAACTAACTCCCAAAAGGAGGAGGATATTGTACAGAATATTGTTGACCATTTGATCAATACTGTTGAAGATGAAACTGTTGAGGAATATGAGAAAGAACAAAGTATTGCAGAGGATAATGCCAAGAAGAGGAATATTATTGAGGACATTGATGATGGTATCAATGACCATGAAGACCTTGATAAATATATGGACCACAGTGAAAATCAAAATGAAAAAGTAGAGAATAATTCAATGAATAGTGTACATAATAATACTGCAATTGAATCAAATAATGATGAAAGAACTATAGAGCCTATAGACCAGTTACATGGTGCTCATTCAATACTGAATGGAGACATTCCCTCCACAAACTTTAATCAGTTGGCAAGCACTGATAATAGCCAGAATTTACAATTGCTTGCCAAGGACCCTGAAACAATTGTTAATTCACAAGTAGGAAATCACTCAAGTATTCCCTCCAATTGTGATAATAATTTTGTCAAACAGTCTGCACATGCCATGGATGAAAGTGATACTCAGGTCGTTGAGCAATTCCCTAATAATTCCACAATAAACAAACTGAATCTTCAAACTATAAATGATTCTATGGAGGAGAATATTGGAAAACAATATCTCCACAATACTGCGATGGATAAGCAGAATCCCCACCAGATGAATAACAGCTTAAATACTGGTGATAAATCATACCCACACAACACAAGTATGGACAGTGATAAGATCCTTGATGACATTGATAACATTACAAACCAAGATTCTGACCAGTATATCTATGAGTTAGCCTACTGCAACATTAGTGATGATGACAGTGAAGAAAAAGATGTTGTGTTTGAAGATGAACTTGGCATGGAAGTTTCTTATGGTGAAGACCCCTCAGAGGTTCCCTGGACAATGGCTGATCTCTATGTAGATAAAAACACCTTCAGAAGATCTCAAAAACGCTCCTCAAAATCTGTATGGGATAAATTAGCTAGTTATAAAACTGGGACTCCTGATGGCACACCAGCAGCCCATCGACATAACACCCGTTTCAGGAAATCTGTATCTAAAGATGCTGATGAGAAACCAAAACCTAGTGATGAGCCTACAACCAGTACCCCTGTACGACTTAGTGAATCCAGTCCTAATCTCTCAGACCTGAAGAATAAAATGTCACTAAGTTTGTCTCCTAAGAAGACACCAGCTGGCCTAATCCATCTTGCACGCACACCCCCTAGAGGAGATCTAATGTCCCCTGAAGGAGACCATAACAGATCCCTTGATATCAATAGCCTTGAGCCCAGCATAGGGTTCGACCTTGGCCTTGATCTCAATTTTGACCTTGACATGCTGAGTGACCTTGAAATGAACCAGATGGAAAATATCAACAATCCCAATAAAACTCCCAAAGAAAGATCACTCAGTTTATCTCACAGCCCTGCAAGAGATTCCAAACCTACAAAGCCAAAAGTAGAAAAAGACAAAAATCCTATTGTTGAAAAGTTTAGTATTGCTGGCTGGTTCATCTGGCCATATTTAATAGATCATACATATGTTGATTATGAAAGACCTATTTTTAAATCTGATATAAAGAAGAAAAAAGTTAAAGTGCCATCTGTGCCAGCAACGCCAACAGCTGTGCCAGCAACCCCTGAATTGAAACCAGAACCCCCAAAGGATGAAGATGAGGAGATTGAACCAAGGTTGTCATTTGATGTGCTACATATCCATGACGATGAGTGCCATCCATTCCAGGACATTGAAATCTTCAATAGCAGGTAATAGTGTAAAAGATTCTATACCAATCTTAGCTATCTGAAACCAATCAAAATGGCACTTGGGATGTTATTATTCTCATACGACGAAATGTTGAAATCACATTTCTTCAAAGTACACATTTTAGACAGGGTACCCAGTTCTACAGTTCTTAACATTTTGGCTGGTTACTTGGTGGTCTGTTTTCATCTTCTTATGTACCTTGCATGTAAAAAGAAAACAAGGCATAGTTTGGTTGTTCAGTTCGCAATTGTATTTCAGCACCTTCCTGTTTTTGATCAATAATTTCATCTCAGTTACACCCATTTGGGATTTTTGCAAGATAATCTGGTAGGCATTTATTCCTCTTTGTGTTCCTAAGCAAATGATGTTATGTTTATAGAATGGATAGCATACATGTGGAGGAAAAGGATTATGTGAGACTCATCCATGCTTATGCCTCTAAGAAGTGCAAGTTCAGAGGTTGCAAGTGTAAGAGCAAGCATTTCCACTGCAAGACACCTGGATGCAAATACATGAGCCTACAGGTAAGATATGTAAATATTATGAACTCACAGGTATGATATGCAAATATAAAAGCTTACAGGTATGATGTTCAAGTACATGTGCTTATAAATATGATATGAAACTACACTTGCATATATGTAAGATATGCAAATACATGAGTCTACGACAATGATATGCAAATACATGAGCTTACAAGTATAATATGCAAATACATGAGCTTACAAGCATGATATGCAAATACATGAGCTTACAAGTATAATATGCAAATACATGAGCTTACAAGCATGATATGCAAATACATGAGCTTACAAGCATGATATGCAAATACATGAGCTTACAAGTATAATATGCAAATACATGAGCTTACAAGTATAATATGCAAATACATGAGCTTACAAGTATGATTTGCAAATACATGAGCTTACAAGCATGATATGCAAATACATGAGCTTACAAGCATGATATGCAAATACATGAGCTTACAAGCATGATATGCAAATACATGAGCTTACAAGTATGATATGCAAATACATGAGCTTACAAGTATGATATGCAAATACATGAGCTTACAAGCATGATATGCAAATACATGAGCTTACAAGCATGATATGCAAATACATGAGCTTACAAGCATGATATGCAAATACATGAGCTTACAAGTATGATATGCAAATACATGAGCTTACAAGTATGATATGCAAATACATGAGCTTACAAGTATGATATGCAAATACATGAGCTTACAAGCATGATATGCAAATACATGAGCTTACAAGCATGATATGCAAATACATGAGCTTACAAGTATGATATGCAAATACATGAGCTTACAAGTATGATATGCAAATACATGAGCTTACAAGTATGATATGCAAATACATGAGCTTACAAGTATAATATGCAAATACATGAGCTTACAAGTATGATTTGCAAATACATGAGCTTACAAGTATAATATGCAAAAACATGAGCTTACAAGTATGATTTGCAAATACATGAGCTTACAAGCATGATATGCAAATACATGAGCTTACAAGCATGATATGCAAATACATGAGCTTACAAGCATGATATGCAAATACATGAGCTTACAAGTATAATATGCAAATACATGAGCTTACAAGCATGATATGCAAATACATGAGCTTACAAGCATGATATGCAAATACATGAGCTTACAAGCATGATATGCAGATACATGAGCTTACAAGCATGATATGCAAATACGTGACCCTACAGGTATCTGTAAATACATGAACAATGCAATTGCACATTACAGAAAGTACGTCTACTGAAACATGAGATTGTTCACAAGAAGAAGGATGTTGCTTATAAGCCTACTATGCAGGAGTTCACATATCAACAGGGAGACAACATGACCTGTGAACCTGGGTGCCGATTGGCTAAAAAACAGCGGCCTCATTACCATTGTAACCATTGTGACTGGAAAACACCCAAGGTAAAGGATCAATATTATTTTCAGCTTCATTTAGGGAATATTGATTGAGAACATTTATCTAAATCGAATTGTGATTTGATTGTTACATGTAAGAAATTGTAACATCGATACATTTTTGATCATGTAAATGAATTTGTTTAAATTCAGTTATTTCACAAAGAAATGATTAACTTTGACTGATAAGGCTTAACATGGACTAGGTCATTGAGATTAAATACATGTGTTTATTACATGTAGTCATTTACTTGTCAAGGAGTTTTATGAAAACTTCTGAACAGGCAAAATGAATGAAAACAAAGGGCAAAATTGTTGGAAATTACAGTATTAACAAGAGTTAAATTCATCAATTGAAAGGTTTACAATAACCGGATATTATTGAACCATTTATGGCCTGTTAATGAAACCGCTGTACATGAACATGTATGTTAACAATAAAGTTATACATTATAATCACTCGTACGTTGAATTTGAATCAGATCATACATGTAGTCTTAGATTCTTCATGTTCAAGAAAGTTCAAATCAGCACTGAAATACTCAAGAATCTGATCATTAATTCACTTAATATTATTCAGTTAGTTTTTGGCTAATACAAGATGCCTCTATAACTTAAAATATTGGTCATATGATATAGCTTTATGAAACCTGGGATTTGTTCTACCTAATTTGACTTTCTTTATCTCCTTGCAGAGCCAGATGTCCTACCCTAAGATCTCAAAACACTTGTTGAAAACACATAAATGGAAACTGCAGGGAGATTATGAGGATTTTAAACCTGAGACTGATGAATACTTACAAGAGGATATTCCTGAATTTGATCCCAGTGCTATAGACAATGATCCCACATTTGAGGGTTCTCCTGATAAGCAGCCAGTTGAGGAACAACACGTGCCACAGATTAAAGAGGAGGAAGATGTACTTACTGATGTTATCCCTGAGAGGAACACAACTATAGATGAGACAACCAAGACAATAAAAACAGTAGTGGGAGATAAAGTAATAGTGAGGATGAAACGCAAACGTGGAAGGCCAAAGGGATCCTTAAAAGATCCAAATAAAATATATCCAGTGAAGAAAATTAAAAAGGAGAAAGTGGAAAAGATCAAAGTGAAGAGGGAGAAAAGAGAACCCAAAATGCCTGACAAGGGAGGTGTGACAATCCCAGCTGGTATGGATGTGAACAAAACTTTACAGGTGAGTAGAATGTAATGCTTTCTACATTTAAACAATTTCATAGGTTTCTAACTATTTAAAATAACACCAAGCAAACTCACAATGTGCAATTTCACGCATCTGTGATTACTACATGTATCTACATCTGTGATTACTACATGTATCTACATCTGTGATTACTACATGTATCTACATCTGTGATTACTACATGTATCTACATCTGTGATTACTACATGTATCTATATCTGTGATTACTTCATGTATCTACATGTGAATGCAAATGTAATTACCAGAATGTCATCAGTAACCAGCAATGTCCCTAGTTACATCAATTAAGGGTTGTCTTATAAGTTTCTCACTAAATTTTAGAAATATCCATTTGGTTAACAGCTTACACCCTGTAATGTAACGTACTCTACCTTTTGGAATATGAACCTGTAAATCTAAAAATGGTGTCCTTCATATCAAGTTTGATTTTCAAATAATGTTATATTACAGGAGAAAGGTCTGAGGACTGAGAATGAGAAAAAGAAAGAGCTGAAAGTTCCAATCAAAGCTCCACCAAAGGTGAGATTTGCATGTTTCAGTATACAGTAAGCCTAATGTTTTAAGCTTGGGTTACTTTTCCCAACCACATACTCCTTATTTCCAATACACATGATGCAGGGAAAAGGGAATCTTGGAGACAAGACTTTGATCATTGTTGACATGATCTGAACAGATTAAGTCCATTTGAAATCTTTTATTTTAGTTAAAAGACTCAAACCTCTGAAATTATGAAATAAAAAGCTTTTTAACTTCCCTTCCATATAACCAGTCATCCTGAAAGATTCCCAAAATGCTTTTGTTTTGTAGAAGGTGGCTGACAGTGAGACAGATGACTCAGGTGATAGTTCAGATAGCGAGGAAGATGAACCAAAGAAAGCTAAACCTGAGGAACCTGCAGAGTCCGAGTCTGAGTCATCAGATGAGGAGAAAGAGCCTGACTTTGAAGACATTGAGGATGATGGAACAAATGCTGAACTGGGAGGCGATGATTGGGAACCTTGGGCAGTTAGGAAAGAGAGAAAGAAGAAGGAGTGGGAAGTTAAACAGGCAGCAGGTAAGTTTAGAGATGAGGCTCAAATCTTAATTGGAAATAATATTTTCAAATCTTTGTACAGCTTATATTTGACATATTGTGGGATCAAAATCAATATTTTGAGTTTTATAGACAACAAATTATAGACACCAAATCAGCCCATAAACCCTCATTAGTGAGGTTCTGCTCTGTTTGTATTGATAAAAAATAATTGGATATATCACGTCCTTCATCCATTCCTTCATCGGTATTGCTTCCTGATGTGAAATACTCTTTTTATGTTTTCTCCTTGACTGGTAGAATCTTCCATCAGTCATAATGGATCAGTTTACTTTTATAGCATACTTTATAACAAGGATGTTAGGATTATTCTCTTTTTTCCAGCTGCTGAAAAGAGGAAAGTCAGACAGGAAGCAAAGGCGAAGAGAGCAGAAGAGTTGAAGCAGAAAGAACTGGAAAAACAGAAGGAAAAGGAAGAAGTTAACGCGATCAAGAAAGTGAAAAAGAAGAAAAAGAAAAACAAGGCCTGTAAGGAAGGCGACCAGAAACAAGATGTTAACACAGATAAAGATAAAAATGAAAGTAACGCTTCTAAAACAACTGACAAGACTAACATTCCAAAAATCCTGAAAAGAAATAAGTCAAAAATTCTAAATTCTAAAGAAAGTTCACCAAAAGTTGTAACTCGGAAACCAGTTAAAAATAAGACCATGCATTATACACTGAACAGAGTCCCGATGAATATTGATAAAAATCAAGGGATTCAAAAGCGACTGTTGGGAATCCAACAATCTGGAACTGCACTTTTAGTGGCCCCTGTTGCCGTGCAGGATGTCAAAATAAGGATCAGCTCTTCAATAAATATCCCCAACCCTTGGAATTACACTTCACGGAAAGTTAAACTTGAAGAAGGTAAAGATGACTTCCTAACAGTTGTCCCAAGGACACAAAGAGATGATCTTGAAGTGAGATACCTTAAGGATGGCGCTGTGTACTGCTGTCATAAAAGTCTTGATGAATGGTGTGACCCTTCAGAAGCCTTTGGTAAATCTTTGAGTAAATACAAGATGGTGGAAATGAACACCAAAAAGTTGATTGAAATAACCCTTGCAGAAAAAAATAAGGTAAAACCTGAGGATGATAAGCCTCTAGAGTGGGGATCACAAAACCGTGTTCTGCAATGGAAGCCTAGTCAGAAACAAATTGAGAGGCAATTGCTTGCAGAACGCAAAAAAGCGGAAAAAGCGATGATTCTTCCCGATAGTGAAAAAATGACAATGTCATTTGATGGTAAACAAAAGCAAAAATTCATGAAATCTAATCACCGGAGAACTAATAGTAATACAATGACATATTTGAACCACAATGACATCCAAAGCTCAATTGAAAAGAGCTCTAGCCCCTTAGTGCCAGCCTCCAGTGTTCCCTTTGTGAAGCCAAGAAAGCTTACTGTCATCAAACCTAACATACACGATGGTCTTCATACAGATACTGGGTCAATCCAACATATGGACATTGCAGGTAAGGATTCCTCAGATACTAAGGAGATTAAGTCATACATTTTTATGAGAACGTGGAAAAAATAATTGAAAGTGGTCTTATCCGCTATCCTGGGATTCATGATAATACAAGGTTTCTTAAAACTGTGCAACTTGCTTTACATTTCCATATATTATCAAAATTAAAATTTTTGAAACTACAGGCATTTATTATGGGCTTTGTCTTCCTCGCATCATAAGCTGTTCTCTAACAATGTCTGTGTGATAGTCTATAAGGTAGTCATAGTTATTTTATGTTGTATTCTAGTGTTACTCATAGACAGAGGACATTCTCCAGATTAATAGCTGACCAAGCAAGCAACCTCTGTGTCATTTATATGAAGTTGTAGTAATACTAGTACTCTAGGGCAGCCATACCAGATTGCTTCAATATTTATCATTGTACATTGTAGATACATCAAGGCAGACATTCCAAGTTGTCCAAGATGGGGAAAAGAAAAATAGTGTTAGTTCCAAGAATATGTTGAGTGTGTACAGTTCGCCAAACAACCCCTGTATATTCCGATTTGCTATGACTGTTGAAGCATGTGGAAAACAATACAAACATTTCCATTGTATTCTCTGTGGCTTCACAACTAAACTGGTAGGTCCAGATTTTATGATTAAAACAACCAACCATTTTTGTGTTATAGTTAAAATGTAAAAATATCCACAATTATTGAATGAGGTAGCTTTTATTAGAAAAATAAGAGTTACATAAAAACTTTTTCTGAAGTGATGTTACTACTAAACAAGAAGATTCTGATGATTTTCAGTATCAATAAAACTGTTAAATCATGGACGGAATAAGTCCATGCTTTACTCATACATATCTAAATAACAGTAACAGTTTTGGAAAGTGATTCCTTTAAATGGAACTATTAAATTCAAGTTAGAAATTAAAGGTACAACAACATATTTATGCTATCTGTAGATGTATAAAATACTAATGCAATACTATAAGTTATTGAATGATTTTAAGTGCAATACAGGATATATTCTGCTTGAGAATTCTGTATTGGAACGAGACGAAGTTGAGTGCCAATACAGAATATCAAGAGCTGAATATATCCTGTGTCGCACTTCAAATCATTCTATATGTTATGTTATGTTATGTTATTTTATTTACCATCTACAAGATGAGTACATATACATAAATATGTTACAAAAATAAATATACGAAAAATACTACAAGTTATATGTATGTTAGATGAGCAAAATTAATATGCTCATATGTCAGAGCATGCTATTATTTACAAGGATTTAAGAAGGTAATCCCTTCTTTTGTGCATTTCATATATCGTGTCCAGCAATGGAAGCATTTTTTCAGGATCATATTCGCTCCCTCCACCGAAAATGAAACATATGAATTCACAAAAGTTGTTGACTCCTAGTTTATATAATTCACTAAATAGATTGTATCTTATATCTATATACGCTGGGCACAATAGTAAAAAATGCTGTACGTCTTCAGTGACATTTAAGTTGCATAGTATTAAGCATACTCGTTCAGACATTGGTTGTCCGTAATTAAATATCCTGTATGTTCCTGATATCATTCTCATTATAACTTTACATTGTGGTAAGCGTCTTGGAAAACGCCTGGCAACTTCCCACCATAAAAATGGTTTTAAAACAGTGAAACATTTCAAAATTGGTCTCAGTGTTGGATATAAGGAGCTAAGAACGAAAAAGCGTCTCATCTCAAACGACTTGACAACGTTCATGACTTTTCTCTTCCAGACACATTTGAGTGGTGTCTTAGCAGTAGTTATCATATTCAAAACGTCCCCATGTAGGTCGTATTTCATTGTTGTTTCCCACATTGAGACCAATGGAGATTTACTTGAGCGATAGGTTCCAATGTGGATTATGCTCAACAGTCGATAAATGCATACAATTTTATAAATACATTGTACCGGTAACGATAAGAAGAACCAGATGAACATAAGGCGATCTACATCGATTCGCGCTTGAACTGAAAGCCATCCGAGTGGTTTTATCGCCATCGGGTCAGGGGTATTTACCGGGAAGCTTTGTATTCTCTTGCCAATGGATCTATGTGCATCCTCCATAGACTCAATTTCGGTTATTGAATATTGCGTTACAGAGCTGCCATACGTCATTGTTGGGAAGCAAAAACTCCAGTATAACTTGGAAGCTAGCAGAGGATTTAAGCCTCCTACATTTGCTCCTAAACCAAGCAGAGAAAAGAATTTTCTTTTACTGCGTGAAATCAAATTTGATACATGCTCTGAGCTTTTGCCTAAAGGTATGCCAACATGTGTACCTGATTTTTCTACTTTTAGAATATTCTCCTAATTTGCATTCACAAAAAGCATTTTTGTTTGTACCGAACCTAAGCACTACACATTTTCCTGGATGAAACTCAAACCTCCACATTTTACTATACATGTCAGCAATGCTCAACAGAGCATTTAGATTTTCTGGATTGTTTGCAATTAAGGCAATATCATCAGCGTATGCTGGACATGCTACAGATGTTTCACCAATTCTTACTCCTTTTGCCGAATCTACCAGTTGTTGCAAAAGGTCTGCTATAAAGAACTGGTAGAGAAACATAGAACATATCCCGCCCTGGTGAACACCTCTATTAACAGGAAAAGTATCCGATAAAATACCATCTACAAAAACCTTACATTTATACTTGTTATATGATTGATACAAGAGCCTCCAATATAAACCATTTATACCACAATTATATAACTTATGGAACAGGCCTCGTATCCATGTACTGTCAAAGGCCTTTTTAATGTCCATTAAAGCCATAATTGTGCCATTTTCTTGATGAGATATGGCTTCTTGCACTATTAGAGATGTTTGCAAGGATGAGCAACCTTTAATAGACGCACCTTGTAATTGCGGTATGCGACCTTGCAGTACACCAGTAATTTTCCAAAGAACAATATTATCAAAAATCTTACGAAAAATTGTCATAAGAGTTATCCCACGATGGTGATCCTTATTAAGAGAATCTTTGTTACCAGATTTGAGCAATGGCAGTAAGATCCCTAAGCAGAAGTTCTCAGGTATATATACATTTGCGATCATTGCATTAAATAAAATGGTGAGCAAAGACACAATATTTTCACCAGCGTATTTTACATGTTCAGAATTGATACTGTCGTGGCCAGCTGCTTTTTTCATATTTAGTTTCCCTATTGACTTCTTAACATCACATTCGGATATACCATTGTCAAAAATGCCATCAAAATTATTCATACAATTCAATTCCATCCTTGAAATATCATCATTTACATATTTTTCAAAGTCTGAATTAAAGATGTCTCTTTTGTCGTAAGAAGCTAATCGACTAAAATACAGTTTCCATTCTTGACATACTTCCACTGGATCCGTAATTACTTGACCATTATCATTTCTGATTGATTTACCCGATTTTTTAACATATAATCTACTTTTGTTTACAAGGTGCCAGAACATATTCTGATCTAAATCATCAGCATAGTACAAGTTGTCGAGCTGTGCCAGTTCATACTCATTTTTCATTAGATTATACAATTTTGAAAAGGCACGTTTCGCATTTTTAAAAGCACGTCTAAAAACATTTGAGCAATCTCTGGGCCTACCAGCCCGAACCCATTCGCGCCAAGCAAGCTTCCTTTTACGCACAAGTTCAGTAAGCTCCACATTCCAGAAGGGTTTCTGGTGCTTGCAAAATTGCTTAATAGGCACGTATAAGTTTGACTTCTCTAATAAGAGATTTTCTAACCTGGAAAAGTAGGCATCAATTACTGCCTTATCGATAACATTAAGCTTGGAAATATCGCTAATTAATCTCTTTACCTGAGTATCAACATCATTTGTGTAATCACCCTTTAATTGATCTGTTAATTTATGCCATGCAAAACTTGGCTTGATTGATGCACAAGGAGAACTTTTTTGCATTAAAATAGATGGCAGATCAATTTCAGATTCTATAGCAAGATGACCACATCCAATTGTAAAACTATCTGCCAGTACTTTACAGCTTAAACACGCAGGTAGTAGTTCTTCGGACACCAGTATATGATCTATATATGATTTGTACCCAGTACCTGATTCATATGTATAGCAAGGGCCGCTTGTTCGACTTTGCAAATCAAGAGATGTTAACCCATTACGCAACATACAATTATACATCATTTTACCATTTACAGTGCATGTACCGTGCGCTCTTTTGGTTTGAAATAAGTTACCAAAATTCGCATTTATATCACCAAGTAAAATTACATAACCCGTAGCTACACATTTATATATACAGTTTTCTAAATAAATAACAACATCCTCAAAGCTCTCATTTTTACACGATGCCTGAGGCAGATATACCGAAAAGACATACAGAGGCGTATCACCTTCAATTTTTATGCATGCAATTCTATCCGTGCAGAATTCTCGCACTGGCGATATGGCATTTTTAAACGTTTTACGCCAAAAGAGGGCTATTCCGCCATGTCCCCAGCTAATTCCACAATTCATAGGGTTAAGTAATGAGCTACTATATGCTAAGCACTCAAAATCACGATCAATATCATTAAGCTTGTTTAGATTACATTCATATAAACGATGTTCTGACACTGCGACATTATGACTTCTTTTTAGCAATTCACGCAAATAGATCTCTGATGAGTGTATACCATTTGCATTCCATTGAGTAAAAATTACCATTATTAATATACAGTATAGAATGATCAGGTGTTTCATTGTGATTTTTTGATATTTAGCGTTTATTGACTTATTGATCATAGGCATTAAGAGTTCCACCTCTAATCCTTTGATATTCATTCCAATAGGATCCGGCCAATCAATAATCATAGTCTGTTGAAAGTTGGACTCCACTACAGCAATTTTACATCCCACATGGGTATACGACATTCTATTGTGGACCACGTGACAGTACATTATTTTAACACCGTGTTCATAGCCAAATTTTATGACATCATCACAGATGTCATCATCAGTGTCGTGTTCATCTTGAAAAACATTTTCCAAATAGAGATATTTATAGCGTTCAAACTGTTTTCCTTTTATAGTTCTCTTGGAGTAGACATTGTTGTCTACAGGTGCACCTCGTAGAGCTCTTGCGTTTTGTGATTGTGGGGCTGGTTGAGTAGGTGGTGAGACGTGAGCAGATTTTGCGGCAATTTTCTGTTTTTTATACGTTTGATTGCTTGCCCAAACCATCCATTCTTTCCCTGGTAAATGACTGGCATTGTCCGATACATTAGAAGGCGAAGTTAACACTTCTCTGAACGTTGAAGGGGTTTCTTTGATTGTCTTGGACTGGGAAGAGATCTTGTTGGTCCCTGGGACTTCGATGGGCGTTGAATCGGTAATAATATATGTATTATGTGGATCGGGCGCTATTGCTGGGGTCGGATGATCAGTCTTTATTTTTTCCTTTTCGCAGCTTTGGTTGTAAGTTTATAGGAACCTGATCTTCCTCTCGATCAGCAAGTACGCCATAGAGATTATCACATAACTCAGATACTTTTACCTTCCCCTTTTGGAACAGATAATCCCTGAGAACATCACACTCATCTTCCTCAAGCTCTCGATCTAACTCTTCTATCACGTCCGCTCTCGGGCCTTCAGTCAGCAGCTGAAGCGTTTGCTCAATATTGGCTAAATCCTCCCCGCTAAGCGAAGCTGTTGATTTCACGTCCGACGCCATTGAAACCGGAAGTTTCAATGGCGTTTTTATCGTGTGATCCTCTGTATTGCTACTGAGAATGTCCCCTCCTTACCAATATTTTCTGTATTGCGATGGAGATGATCAATGGAGACAATGTCAGTAGCAATACAGATTGGTACAGCACAAGAACTGACCAATCAGAAGGCTTCATTTTACAGATCATACAATAAAGTACAATACAAAAGTTTATTAACATCCCTCTCTCAAGTTTCACTTTTATTTCAGAGAATCGCAGCTTCCAAGCATTCAGCTTGCCACAAGGTGTCCTTGAGGAAGGGTTTCTTCATTGCTACCTCAAGCAAGAAGTCCTTACCTGCAGTGTTTTCATGTGTTATCTGCCAGGAAGTATTCCCACCAGAGAAGGGTTCGGTAAGATATTCAAATTTTTACTGTGGCAAAACAAAATCTTTGTATGTTTTACATAGTCAGAGATATGAAGCATGTTATTTTGTGAATTTAACCAATGTAAATAATTTTAAGCAGAACTAGTACATATACTAAAATCATAGATCAGGTCTATTATAAATCATACTCATTACCTTATTAAATGACCAGGCCTTATTGAGATCAAAATGAAACTCTAGCAGTTTAAAATTTAAGAAATATAACATGTTAAGGCATTCTCTCATCGATGGATATTCTGTTTCAGCTCAAAAAAGCAATCAGTCATGAAGTTGAAGAATGGGCAAAAATGTGTAAGTATATTTTATCCAATATTTACTTCTATCCAAAGCCTGATGTCCTGAAGTATTCAAACAACATGACTTGCATTGACTTGCTTTCTGGGTCAGAACTGCTTTTTTAGGTACGATATTGTTCACCTGTTCATTCATGTAACTCTATATTTCCTCATTTGCAGGTGAGCAAGCATATGAAATTAGAAGTCAGATGTACCGTCGCTTGGTGACATTTCTTATGACATCCTATGTGAAAAGAGTTGACCATAATGCAGAATCTACGTGTGACTTGGCTCCTTGTGCCTCCAATCCAGCAAAGGCCATACGCAAAACCCATTTCCATTGTTACAGATGCAGCTTTGCTACTACCATGGTAACTGAAACATTATTGTTTATTTTGATGTATTTTTAATATGTATGTATTAATTAATATGGAAAAATGTACCTCAATGTCTGGATGTCATAAAACTAACATCTGAGTAAGTGGCAGAGTTTGACAGAAAAGCAGTGGCAATATTGACTTGTTTATTTAAAAGAAGCGGCATTACCTTGTTATAAGTTATTAAATGCAAGCTACCTTTAGGAGGTGTATATATAGGTTTTAGGCTAGCAACATTAGGATGATCTTTTTAATGTAGAACAATCAGATCATTTATGTGTTTATGCGTTTGTGTATGCCAAAATGGTCAAACTTAACATCTGATTTATATTATGACTAACAGAGGCAAACTTTGATGAAGTTGTCTTTTATTTGTAGATCTTGTCTGCGCTGCAGCATGTTAGGACAAAACACTTAACAAACTGGTCAGTTTACAACTTCTATTACAATGAATTCCCTTCACTATTTCAAGGTAAGTACAATGAATTTGAATTACATGATACTGATCTAGTAGTGGACTAGTTGAATGGTGAAACATAATTATGGTTTTGATGTGGACACTCATAATACACTCAAATGAGCATAGAAACAATAATACACTGTTTATTTTATACTTGTACTTCCTCTAGATTGTAGAAAATAAACATCTGTCCCAGAACGCATTCATGACACTGTAAACTTGAATATACTTTGTTTTGTATGAAAATAGGTTCCTTTGAATTTTCTTGCTTAAAAATCCATAATAGCCAGCCACATATATGTTATATCTGTTCTTAATGTCTCCAGAGTGTATAGAAAGAGAGAATGATGCTGCTACACACACGTCATTGAGTGATGATGTCACAATGGCAGGATCAGAAGAGCTGTTCACCCGTTGCAAACAGACTGATTGTGGTGGAGACATGTGGGGAAATGTTCATTTCCATTGTAACTTCCCAATGTGCAGCACATGGACTCAGGTTGGTTTGGGAAATAGAATATACTAATAAACACGAGGCCCAAAAAATCAAAATGTGAATTGAAACAAACTAAGGCCCAGGCCCCCTTGCCCCTGTCTGTTATTAGTTTTCCAATAGTATTCCAAAAGTGACACATTTATATATGTCTAGTGTATGACCTGGGCCAATAGAAGAATACTTATTATGGAGGGTTATAATGTCCTCCCAGGATTAGTTGCTACTTTTACAGTATTTACCTACGTGATGTACTTAGGTCCCTGGAAAAACCTAAGGGGTGCAGTAACACCTGGGGGGGGGGGGGCTCACACTATGTTCACTTACAAACTCTCTTTAAAAACATGTAGCTTGACCTCCCTAGTCCCTAGTGAGCCTTTAGAGGGGAGGACCTGCCAGATGTTCGACATTTTGTGAATGGAGAGAATATTTTCCTTATGACTTTGTGATTTTAAATGGTTTTTATGTCACCCCCAAAAGTGATGACAAATTGTTATGGTCTCCAACTTTTTGTGACATGTTCTGCATCCGGCGTTTGATATCTTTAACAAATGGCAGGTAGTGACATTTTGCATGTTAATGCTTTGTTTGTCTTGTTGTGCTATGTAATGCTCTTTGGTTTTTCCCATTTTATTTGGTACTTATGCTCACATATTAATATTTTGTATTTGTTTCCAGCAAGAGATGCTGATGATGGAACACATCAACAGTATACACATGGCCACCTCACTAGTGAATGACGCTGAGGATAATGATGACACTATGGTGGACCTGACAGGGGTACAAAGTGATGACACTGGGGACAGTCGTGATACAGAGGACACTATGCCTTTAGGGCAGAGGATAAAGAAGTTGAAGAAAAAATCTCAGTTGAAACCCAAACAGAAAATAACTCTGATTGCATCAAAGCCTGAACTGGATATTGGTGTAAAAGATGATGTTATGAAACATTCTGAAACATCTGTGAATGACAGCACAAATATCAAAGAAAATGAACTCAATGCAGAGCTCAGTGATAATGATCGCAATAACCTGTCAAATGATGGTAATGATCATGAGTGCAGTAATGAAAATGAAAGCAATGAGACTGTTGGAGTTGAGAATGTGTCAGATGATGGTGCAGAACAAAGCAAAGAGACCATCACACACCACACAAAGGTCACCAGTGTTGAATCTCCAGCTAAAGACAAGATTGAGTTCATGAAACTCACTGCTTTGAATGAAGATGAACAATCGGAAAGTGAAGATGAATCAGACATTGATGCTGGATCAGATAATGATCCTGAATCAAATGATGGTGCTGATTCAGATAATGATGTTGATTCAGATGATGAGGTTGAAACAGATAATGATGCCAATTCAGATAATGATGCTGATTCAGATAATGATCCTGATTCAGATAATGGCGCTGAATCAGAAAATGATGCCGAATCAGATAATGAGGGTGATACAGATAATGATGCTGATTCAGATAATGATGCTGATTCAGATAATGAAGTTGAATCAGATAATGATGCCAATTCAGATAATGATGCCGATTCAGATAATGATGCTGATTCAGATAATGATGCTGAATCAGATAATGAAGTTGAATCAGATGAAGATGGAGATGGAGAAAAAAATGAAAATGATTCAAATCATTCAGATATTGATGCTGTCGATGAATCGGATAATGATGAATCAGACAATGAACATGAACGAAACAATGATGATGATTTAGATGACGATGATATATTGGATTATGATGATGATGAACAATCTGTCATTGATGAGGATTCTGAAATGAAAGAAGAATTTGAAACAAGTGACATGGAGATTTCCTGAATAAGGCTACTACAGTATATAATGTGTACAGAATATATGAAAGTATATCATGTATACAAAATGTATGAAAGTATATCATTTATACAGAATATATAAAAGTATATCCTGGATACAGAATGGATGTATATGAACAGATGAAAATGCATGCATTAGCTGTACAAGTATAAAATGAAAGAATAAGAATTGGCACTTTAATCAGGCTTGAAAGGTCCAAGAAATATGTTTAATAAGTATAAATAAAAATAAAAAGTCTTTGTATTAAGAGTGTAATGTTTCATTCATTACGCAATGTGACATTTATGAATTATGTTGTATAAAAATATAGATATTTTATGAAGGCTTTATTGAAAAAATATTGTTTTGCTTGTGTAAAGTCAATGTACAGTAGGTGATATACAATCATGTATTTAGAAACTGCTTGCTTTGAACATGTCCGCCTCATGTTATTATCGATCATGTTGATCTGGAAACTTCTGAGTAACTGACATTCATGTAGAGAGTATACAAAATGCCTGTGTGTAAAGCCCAACATTAACAAATGGAGTACAGTGAGACCTTTATCGACTTATCATTGTCGAAGACATTGTAAGACTTTGTGAGGCTGCACAGGTCTATCTTTACCCTATTAGCAGATTAGTGTTCATTGGGATTAGATGATAATTTTACAACAAAATACATAACTGGGGAGGGGGTGAAATGCTCTTTTACTTAAATGATGCCATGAATGTTTGGTTATTACCAGATTTTTGATCACATTTAATTTTGCTGTTTTGTATATTCAAAATGTAAATTTTTGTGGATGTTGTTATCTTGGCTCAGATGCAATTTTTGAAGAGAGTGGTCCAACAATAATCTAACAGGAGAAATATTTGGCCATACATCTAACACAAGCACAAATGAATACAAATGTCCTAAATCTTAAAATCAAACATTGCATTCAACCATTTTATATTTTTATTGAACAGTTGAACAGTAATTTTGGCATCATCTAAGTAAACGAGCTATGAACATTTGTATGAAAATTGTTCGCATTACACAATACATGTATGTTCATAGTAGATTGAGTGTAATTGTAATTCACATTAAAATTTGGATCTATCATGTTGACTTGTTGAGAAGCTATATTGTATGATATACAGAATCTATTTTTAATACATGTAAATGATTCATTTAAATCAGAACCAAGATTTGCTGGTAATTTGGTAAAGTGTTAATTTATCAGTAGATGTGTGTAGATATTCTTGATAATGTGTATAGTAAGATTGGCAATATAAAAAAAAGAATGGAAAAGTGTAGACATTTTCCAATGTTGGAGACTTGGTTTGACCAATCCACTAACTAAAAAGGAACTATATCTCAGAATATATAAGCGTGGTTTATATTGTCTGAAATATGTTATGTGGAGTCCGCTAATTACGTTTCTTCAATTTCACACATTTCTCAGTTTAAATAAACCTGAGGATGAAAAAAGTATGTTGTTGGAGACTTGATTCTTCATGTGAAAATTATGATATGGCAAAGCTATCTGTACTCTGCTTAATTGAAATGTGTAATTGTACATAGTGTTCTCTGTAAATGCCCATAGGAGGGTCATACAATTATGGTGTAATAAATACATAAAAAGAGACTCTAATATTTAATTGTCGATCTTTGATTGTCTTTGAGCAGTTGAGAATGATTTATAAATTCCTGATAAGCCTGATCTCTGCTTATTCTGCTCAGTGAATTTTGTGCATAAATGTCATTATGCTTTATCCACTCTATATAGCTGGAAATGATAATAACCTGTTGTACAGGTCTGCAAAACAATTAAACTTACATACAATATTTGAGTAAATAAAATGGATTGATGTTCTGTGAAACTATAGATAGACAGGTATTCCTGACTGAGACCGCGAGTCTATTTTGCACAGACTCAAAATATTGGTAATTAAATATATGTACAGGGTGGGCCAAAAAAACGCCACTTTTTTTCAAGACACTACAACTTTTTTATTTTCCAACCTACATACCTCAAATTTTGCAGTTATATAGTGCCAAGGGTTCTAAGCAATAATATAATGTAACAAGTCATTCAACTTGGATTCTATTTGATCTCAAAGGGGAGTTCAATTGGTCCGCCACCCTAATTGATGATATATTTTAGATTTAGTCGCCTTGCTGATATTGCAGTATCAATGAAATGTTAGCTAAGTTTTTTCCAACCTGTCTAAATTCCCAGCTTTAGTTGAGCAATTTTCTAGATTGGGTGCCTTCATACAATCTCCTGGAGACCTTCCCATACCCTATACTCACTGGGGTTTGCATCAGGGCTACTAGCTTGGCGATCATCAGACCGTATCAGTTCAGGAACATTTTGCAAATTATGCTTATTTCTCATGAAAACCACATGTTTAAGTGAGACGCTGGTGACATATTTTATTCAAGTAAAACTGTATACCATGGCTAGATAACAACCTCAAGTTTCATTTGGTATGCAAATTATGATTTAATATCAAAAATTAAAAAAGTTATAGCATTTTGAAAAAAAAAGGTATTTTATTTGGCCCACCCTGTATATATTATTGTCTTATACTGTTTAATCTTATTTTGTGATTATTAAAACAATACATGAAAGAACAGAAGGATACAAGAACCTTTCTGAGATGATTGATTGATAAAATATCAAAGATAAAAGTTGTGTTTTGTGCACAAATCGAAACTACAAATATAACAATGGCATATACTATCTCTAGCAAACTGTGTCAATACTCTCTCATGATCTTGATATATTGTTGTATCACGAATCACATTTTTAGATAAACATGTACACGCATGTAAAATGTTAAAGCCTCTTAATTTTACAATAAACATTAGGTGTATCCATTCAGATTTAATCATCATAAAAATGTTTCGAATTTCAATTTTAAAAAATGTTTACATTAATGAATATTCGATATGATGTACTTTGCATGTATCATAATATGATATGAAATTCTCGATGTGTTAAAGACGACCCCAAATTAAGCGGGGAAACGTGTAGCATAAACTTAGGCTTCAGCAAGTGGTCGATTCCACAAATTCACATAAAAATGCAAGTTTCCATTATTGAAGAGTGTGAAAGACGAGAGTAATCACAAAATAATAAACATGAACAAACGCATTATAAGTTTTTATATCAATTCCAAATTCATTTTAGTTTTACAATGTGATATATTTATGTCGTTGGGATACTTTTGAATATGTTCCTCCATTTTCGCAAGACTTTTCGCAGTTTGAAAAAGTGCTATACCGTCGTCGTTTTTGCTAATGGACTGGCGTTTGTATGATAATGGAGAGAATAACAATATATATGAAGTTACGTGAGTATTATAATGGAGATGCTGACATTCATCACGTCTTCTTGCAATAGTAGATGATATCATTGAAGGACCTTACTCGATTGGCTATTTCGATCTAGGCCTCGAAACACTTCTGATATCATAGAGCACAAGAGTTTACTTACCTCAATGCAGTCCCGTCTTCTGCTAAGTAAAAGTGGAGAATATGGACGTGAAACATAACAATTCCACGCTTTGAAAGGGGTGAAAAAAGTGAATATGGCAATGTCTAAAGTGGATATAGGTCCTCTGAAGGACACGGTGAGCTATTCAATCTGTATGGAGACTTTAGATGATCCCAGATCTCTGCCGTGTATGCATGTGTTTTGCAAAAAATGTATCCAGGATGTAATGGACAGACATAAGAGGAACTTTCCTTGTCCCATCTGCCGAGATACCTGCCCTATACCTGATCAAGGGGCTGCTGCCTTGAAGGTGAACTTTTTTGCAAACTCTGTTTTGGATGCGATGAAAGGACTCAATATTGAGGAAACAGACGAGAAGGAAACAGCAATATTGAACTGTGATAAATGCATTAAAGGTGGGAAAACTATTCCTGCTGTGTCACAATGTTTGGAGTGTGATGAGAAGTTGTGCCGATCTTGCAAGCGAAGACATAAACGGTCGCGTTTGTCAAAGTCGCACCATATACTTGACCTTACCATTGCCGGGTTCAAGTCTCTCGAAAAAGCTGCCGTCGATATGATATCGCAACTTACTATTAACTGCCGAGAGCATAAGAATAAACCACTGAAATATTTCTGTAAGGATGACCAGCGCCTCATCTGCCAAGATTGCTTTGCTTTCAACCACCAAGGCCATGAATTAGAAAACATTGAGAAAGCAGGCAACGACAGCAAAGATGATATGAGCTCGGCCATCGACTTATTTCGACAGAAGTCAGACATGTACATAAAGGGAATCAAAACTGGTAATGCAGAGTTGGAAAACATGCAGAAACACATTGATGAATCAATGGCCAAGTTGCCTAAAGGGGATCAATTGGCCAAGTTGCCAAAAGGGGAACAACTGAAAGAGTTTCAGGCTAAAGTTGCTGCGCAGATGAAGGGAATGATGGAAAAGGCAAATAACTTGAACTCCAAATCTTGTATCGCTGATCTGGAGAGTGAGAAAAAAGCACTTGTTGGTCTTGCAAAGCAGTTAGAGACTCTAGTCACCCTACATGACTGACATCAGCAGCAAGAAATAGACAAGGTGTATTGTTGTACAAATGGTCACTATACAGGGTGTTCAGGAAATAAAGATAATAATGTCATAACTTTTATATTTGTTCATGGATTACATTGAAATTTACATTGGATTACATTGATATTTGGGATATCGTCAAATCAGTGACTTCAGTTTGGAAGATTAAGCGAATCTTTAAAGGGAATAAGACACAATATCAAAATTATTTGTCAACTACATGTCAATTTATATGTGCTAATACTTAAAACTGCTTTAAATTATTGAAATGGTATTCATTTTTCATAGAATTCTATAAGTTGTGAACGCCTACAGATGGCCAATGAATAATGGCTGGCATACCTCGTCCTGTTCATATTTAGTCTATTATTTTAAATGTGATGTGCGATTTCAAAATGAGTTCAATAATACAAATCTAGATATCTTCGTATGCATGAATAGATGTCTCTGATACAATGCAGCAATTCAATAATATCATAAATCAATATAAAATACTGAGTGTTTGTTGTCTTGTTTGTTTTAATCGTGTGTTTTGGGGCCCTCTGCTTATACCAAAATGAAAATGAAAAAAAGGTAATGTTGCTATTGTGATGACAAGCTTGTCTCCACATGCACGAGCACAACAGTAAATAAATAGAACACACATTTTAGAGTTTTTAGATCAATCCATCAAACAATTTGGCTTAAAACGTGCATGATACAAATATATAACAATACAAACAAATATCATGTTTCATACACGCCATCCGTGTGGCACTGATTAATTACCACTTATGCAGTATTTGTGTTACCAGATTACATGAAATTACCCCCCACATGGGGCCATTGTATAGCTTCTGGGGGCCACCGTATAGCTTCTGGACCATATAGCTTTTGGGGGCTACTGGGGGACACTGTATAGCTTTTGGAGGCTAATGCAGCTTCTTGGGGGCTACTGGGGTCACAGTATAGCTTCTGGGAGCCACTGGGGGCCCCTGTATAGCTTCTGGAGGCCACTGGGCCCCCGTATCGCTTCTGGGGCCGACGTATGGGTTCTTGGGGCCACCATATAGCTTCTTGGGGCTACTGGGGGCTCCTGTATAGCTTCAGGGTGCCATTAGGGGCTACCATATAGCTTCTTGGGGTCACCGTTTAGCTTCTGGGAGCCACTAGAGGCCATTGTGGTGCCACTGGGGGCCCTTGTATAGCTTCTGATTATTAAGTGTTGTTACCATAGTAACTAAAATGTTAGATATATTAAATAAACTATATGATGAATTATTTCATCTTCATTTCTAATCATGCTATATACTTCAGATGCTTTAAGAATCAAGAATATGTAAAAATGATGAAAATCAGCAAAATAATGCATTTCTACGGCATTGTGTTCTGTTACCGTTGCTATAGCAACGGATCAGGATTTTTTCTTGATTTTTGTAATACGTGTCAAGCATCATACTACAACTAATTCCCGAAAATTGCAAGTTAATATGTTTATTAGTGTCTGAGATATGAGGGTGCCTTATGGTACCCCCTGTATATTTTATCAGGGGGTATAAGAAATGCTCTGTAGAAAGATGCCCAAGGGTGCCGCTCCGGCATCTGGTGATTTTTAGGTCCCAAGCCTATATTTATGCTGATAAGTTAAAAAAACATCGTAATCCGAAGAAAACGATTAGGTTTGAAGTTTCTGCCACACTAAATATAAAAACATTTAAAAATAATGATTTACAGTGCTAATGCCATCTATTTTTGAGGAGGTCACTGTGTTTTAAAGGTGTAATCAAATAAAACGAAACTGAATTGTGAGCCGATATTACTCACACATGTTTTTACTATAACAGGGGCGGATCTGGGGGGGGGGGGCAAATATCCGGTCAGAGAAAAAAAAATTGGGCCCCTAAAACCCAAAAGTGGGCCCAAATTTTGAGGCCCATTTTCTTCAAAATTTGGCCTGAATTTAAAAAATAAGGCCTTACATGGCCCAGTTATGACCAAAAAGGCCCACTTTCCGGTCCTGAAAGCCTTTTTGGGCCAAAAAATATTTTCGGAGCAATTTTTTCTGGCCCCCAGGCCCCCAAGATCCGCCAGTGTATAAATCAAGCTCTCTCTTGAAAAAAGGTTACCGTGATAAACTAAATCTAAAAGTATAGACTGGTAAACTTTTCTATGGTGAGAGATAAGGCAGCTGAGAATATGTTACGCTACTCTCAACTAGCAATGTGTTAAAATGGATTCGACATCGAAACAGTTAGAGGTTAAACTAAGAAGGGCTATCCAGAAAAATAATGATGATAGCCTGAAAACAATTCTTAAAGGAATGGCTGAATGTCCGAGTGACGCATTACTTTGGATTGACAGTAATTGCGAATTAAGTAAAGGATCGTTGAAGCTGTTGATTCGCAAAGGCGCAGACGTGAATGCTACTGACGGTTTTCACAGGACTCCGTTGATTTTAGGTATAGAGAAGGAGAATGGTGATTACGTAAATGTACTACTAAAACATGGTGCAGATATCAACATAGCTGATAATCATGGGAACACTGCTTTGATAGTAGCTGCACAAGGGAACGGGTGCGATGAAGAGTTTATGAGCTTGCTTGTGAATCGAGGTGCAGATGTAAATGCTACTGACTGCAATGGACAGACTGCCCTGATGCATGTTATATCAAATGAAGATTGCAATGACATGGAGGAGGTTGTAAAAATATTGCTTAGTGAAGGTGACGTCAATGCAAGGGACAATGATGGGAAGACGGCCTTATTACACGCAATATCAGTGGAAGACCCAGACTCAGAGCTTCTGGAGTTCCTTTTCAAAAGTGGTGCAGACGTTAATGCATGCGACAAAAATGGGAAAACAGCACTCTTATATGCAACCTCCAGGGAGGATCTGTCAAATAACTTAATTGAAATGCTCTGTGAGCGAGGTGCAGACGTAAACGCCTGTGACAGTAATGGGCTGACTGCCTTATTGCATACACTCTCACACGAAGAGCTTGATGTAGATTGTATCCGTACCTTAGTCCATCAAGGAGCAGATATCAATGCCTTTGATGACACCGGAAAGTCCACTCTGCTATATACAATTTCCAGGGACATAGAACTTGCGACACATTTAATCGACCAAGGTGCAGATGTCAATATCCGGGACAGTGATGGCAAAACTGCGTTGATGCATGCTCTCTCAAGCAAGGATATTGATATGGAATGTATACGCATGCTGTTACATCAAGGTGCAGATGTCAATGTTGCGGATGACGAGGGAAAAACAGCCTTACTGTATGCTTCCTCAAGAACATTCCTCGATATGGAAGTGATAAGTTTACTTATAGATAGTGGCGCAGATGTCCAGCGTTGCGATGAACATAGAAAATCTGTTTTAATGAACGTCGTATCCGGGGGAAAACGGGGAAAGTATCAAGAAGAATGTATTGGCCTATGCATCGCGTACGGTGCACCTGTTAACGTGGCTGATGCCAGTGGAATGACTGCCGCGATGTATGCAGTAATAGGAGAGAGGGGAAATTCAAGACATCTCAGTCTTCTTCTCGATAACGGTGCAGACGTCAATGCCGCAAACCAAAACGGGCAAACAATGTTGATTCAAGCCATATCAGGAACTGAAAAGCAAAAAGAATGTACTTCTCTTCTCATAGCATTTGGTGCTGATGTTAATGCCAGGGATAACGTTGGGAGAACTGCACTGATGTATGCTGTAGCTGGCAATGCTGGAAACACTAAGTATGTCGATCTTTTAATGAAAAACGAAGCGGATGTTAATGCAAAAGATGAAAATGGAAGGACCGTTTTGATGTATGCCGTATCTGGAGATCAAACAGAGACATCTTCGAGGACGGTAGATATTGCAGACACGGATAATGGCAATGACAATAATTTTAGCCTAAAATGTGCAAATCTTCTCATAGATAATCATGCCGGTGTGAATACCAGAGCAAAGAATGGGAACACGGCATTGATATATGCTATAAAGGAGGAAGACCTGGAATGTATTAGACTTTTAGTAGCGTATGGAGCAGATGTTAATGCATGTGATGAAGCTGGCAAATCAACTCTGCTTCTTGCTTTAGAGGGAAAGATACGTCCAAAAGAAATGGCAACTGTGTTAATTGACCTCGGCGCAGATGTTAATACAATTGATCCCATAGGAAAAACAGCGTTGATGTATGCTGTTGAAAGTTTATCAGAAGAGGATTTAGACTTGGAGTTTGCGAGCCTTCTTTTGGACCGTGGCGCCAACGTCAATTCTGAAGACCTTACTGGGAAGACTGCACTGCTATACGCCCTATCAAGGAACGATATTGGGACGCAATTTGCAAGGCTCCTTGTGTTGATGTTCGGTGCGAATATAAATGTCAAGGACAACACTGGGAGAACTGCATTGATGTACCCTAAAGCGGAAAAAGAAGGAACAGAGTTTACTAAACTCTTGATCAAACGGGGAGCCGAAATCAATGTTGCTGACAAGCATGGAAAGAATGCCTTGATATATGCCGCTATGTCCAGAAAGAGGTACATACTTGAAGCTCTTCTCGATCACGGCCTGGATGCAAATATAAGGGACAATGAAGGAAAGAGTGCGTTGATTTATGCTGTTTCAGGAGACAACCTTGACAAAAGATCAAGACTAACCAGAGTTATGTCAGTAAATGACAGTAAAGATGACAAAGCTGCAAATGGCAACAAGGACAGATCGGAAGACGAAGAAAATGAAAATTCTGATGAAAGCGATGCCACAAGTAAAGAAAGTGAGGATGAAGATGATGAAGACGACGACGACGACGACAGCGACAGTGATTTTGGTGATTTAGATCAGAACTTATCTGATTCTGCGGAGGATACTAGTGCCGACCGTGCAGAATGCGCCGTTCTCCTTATCACATACAATGCACATGTCAACATAAGCGACAAATACGGAAAGACGGCGCTGATGTATGCTGTATCCGGTGAAAACATTGCTTTTTCTATGGATGACATAGACAATGAGCCCAAATCTACCGCTAGTATTTTGGTTCATCATGGCGCAGACATCAATGCTAGGGACGAGACTGGTAAAACGGCAATAATACATGCTGCGAGATGGAACAACTTACCATGTGTGCTTTATTTTGCGATGTACGGAGCAGATGTGAATGCTGTTGACAATTCGGGTAGGACAGTGCTCAGCTATACGCAAGGGTTCACCAGAGGCCTACGATTCATGTATTGCTATCTGACCGCAATGGGAGCCGAGGACGCCGACTACAAACAGTTGATGCAGCTGAACCCAAACGCAACCGCCTTTCAGCAAGAACAAGCGAAACAAAAGCTCAAGGCCTGGAAAATGAAAACAAAGCTAAGTCTGCAAAGCCAAGCAAGAACATCAATTTTCCAGTTTACCGTATCGAACAAGCAGAGTTATTTTCAGTATGTGGAACATATTACGGATAACATGCCCGATCATTACGAAATGTGCTGTACCGATGATCAGATAGAGGAGCTCGTCAGCGTGCTGTCTTTTCTGAAGGATTACGAAAATATCAACAAAATAATACAACCTCTGCGCAACAGCAACAAATCGGAGACTGCCCTTAATGTAAATCAAAACGAAGGTATGGCTAAAAAGTGTTTGTCAATTGTCATCTTATGAATGCATATGTTTTGCAATTTGATGTCAGTATGTTTAATCATGGCAGCGACCTAAGTGTAGCATTTTATCTGTTTATTTCATCATGTCAATACAATATAATCAAATTAGTTTTGATTAATTAGATTCTAAAATACTCTGTAACCAAGTGGTGACATTTTGACATTGTTCTAACCTTGTTCCATTTTGCAATCGGTTCTTCTCTGGTGAAATATTTTTGCATATATTATTTCCAGTGAAACTGGCTGATATCCTCAAACACAGAATTGGAAAGCAGTTCAAAAAGGGAAGAAAGGTCAAACAAGATGAGAAGATTTATTCAAAGAGTTCAATCCACAAATCCAATGTACAGTATGAAAGGATGGGGATTGCAGTAATGCGGCCATTCATTGACTTTACCAAATGTGTAGGGCAAGGGGGCTTCGGTAAAGTGTACAGAGGTATCTTGTTAATATTTGTGCATGCTAATTTTTGAGATAGTACAAGAAAACAAATTACAAAAATTAGCCCTAAACCTGACAAGGTCGTTTTCATAACTTTATGAGTCATATAAAATTAAACCCAATCAGAGCATTCATATTATTTATATATGTATTGACATTCTAATGAAGTAGAATGGTATTTTAGGGGAAGGGAGTACATTTTCTACAAAAATTGAAGTCCATGGATTTTTATGCAAATGGGGCATTTTTGATGAATCAAATGTGTACACTTTCTTTCCAAAATACACGAGAGGGTCAATTATGTTATATTTATCCTAGCGTTTAAACAGATCAGATGTATCTTCATTCAATAAAGAATTACGAAGTATGACCTTAAAATTAAAAGAAACTAATAGCAATCTCGAAACGACTTTTTCAAAAAGCCAAGACTACTATTTTGAAACTTTTTTTTAGGGAAGAGTCGATATCGGAATGTTCAGGTAGTCGTAAAGATATCTCAGGAGGTCGCATTGGGTACCTCCAGATCGACCACATATACAGCTTCACAATTCAAAAGGGTATGCATACTTTCTAAAAACAAATTTCATTGCTCAGTTAGTCTAGCTGGCTGCAATTATGAATGATGTTTTGTTTTGAAATAAATCAGCTTCATATATTATAAGTTATTGAATGATTTGAAGTGCAATACAGAATATATTCTGCTCGAGAAATTATGTACTGGTACGAGGCGGAAGTCGAGTGCCAATACAGAATATCGAGCGCAGAATATATCGTATATTGCAATTTAAATCATTCTATCGTTTTTATCGTGTGATCCACTGTTTTTCTACTGAGATTTTCCCCTCCGTACCAATATTTTCTGTATTGAGACAGAGATTATCAACGGGGACAATCTCAGTAGCAATACAGATTGGTACAGCCATGGGCTTCTAGTTGAAAGCCCATGGTACAGCACAAGAACTGACCAATCAGAGAGCTTCATTTTACAGATCATACGATAATTTAGTGTTTCGATTGATACACTGAACGATACTTCTTGTCCATGACACCTCATGGGGATAAAAGAAAATCACATAACGCCCGACATTCCTAAATTAAAGTTTAATGGCAGCTACATACGCATACGAACTCCCTAATGTGACAATCTTTTCATTCATTTTACTTGTAGGAATTGTTGACTGCTCCAATCAAGAATCCGTTTATCGTACCAATATTTGCAGTAACAGAGGAAGTTGGGTAAAGTATATTATATATGATTAGATAGGATTTGTCAATCCCCATCAAATTGACCAGGTAGTCCTCTTTCAAAGCTAAGTAGTGTTCATCTTGTTCAGCATACTTTCTGTTAAAATGTGTTGCATGTTTTTCATGTCTGGATTGAAGGTTTTTACGTTTACAGGAAACCGTATCACATCATGTATCCCTACATGGAGGGGACTGACTTGGAGAAGAGATTGTTCAAATGCCAAACTGGGAAAGAGTTAACATGGAGACAGAGAGTGCAGATTGCATGCCATGTATCACAAGGTCTTTTAGCTTACCACAAAATAGTTCCTGGGGTCAGGTGCGATTATTATACATCAAAATGAATAAGAAAAAAACAACCGAAATAGAGCAAGTCATTCAGAAATCCAAACCCCAATACATTTTGAGATTTAGTAAAAGCATGGGACGGCGGCGGCGTATGAATAGAAGTTTTTAATTTTGGACATCTTTTTGAATAATTTTTGATTTGTTACTATGGAAACACTGCATTTTTAGGATATGAACATATGCAAAATAAGTGATTAACCACCAAATGCTATTTTAATTTACAAAGAAACAAGCCGATCCTCCATAGAGATATCAAGCCTGGGAATATTCTTCTCGACAAAAACGACAATGCATGCCTCTCAGATCCTAGTTTGGCAAAGGAGATGGATGCCAAGAAAACCCACGTGTCTGGGGTTGTAATAAGTGGGACTAATGGATACATCGATCCAGACATATACGAGCGTTACCTAAAGGAGAAACAAAAGTATACCTTCTATGCAAGGAACGACGTGTACAGTTTTGGTATAGGTGTGTTTTGTGATATCATAATTCGACCCAAAAATTAAATAATTTCATTCGTGTTAACTCTGGTCATGAATGACAACGTCAGTCCAAGCTGATACAAGGTTTTTAAAAGTGTATGTTACGTAATTGAATCTATCTATTTCAGTGATGCTGCAAATGTTGATGCAGATGGGTCCTCTGATAGACGATGGTGGTCAGCAGCCTCTTGTGACGTACTTGGAAACCCAAAACATTTTGGACTTTAATCCAAATGTATCGCTGAACAATAATGTTTCCTCACTGTCTGAGCAGGCAGCCAATGTAGGTGTATATATCAATAGACCATTTTAGTTTAGTTTAGAAATACAAATTGTCATTCTAAAATTTCTGTCTCACCACCAGACTTTTTGAATTATGGAAAATCCGAAAGCGGTGGATGCTGAAACAAAAAGACGTATTGCGAACTGATCTGTCAAGAATATCAAAGATTTTAACGGGTAAGCAAAATTAGATTTAACTTTGATTGTACTTTTGCAGATGTGGCCAAGAGGAGATGATGGCGATGCTGTTTATACGAGAAATTTTTGTGAAATCATATTGCAAGCTTTTCATAGCGATACAGAAAAGAGGATTCCACTCGATAAAATTTGCAAAGAGCTAAAGGTTAAGTAGAGAACACGAATATCATTATAGTTTAGGTAGTTAAATAAAATACAAAGTAACGAACTAAATGTATCAGGTCATCAGACTGTCCAGCGACCTTGAATAAAGTCTGGTATACGTAAGGAAATATCATACCTGTCAATCTTTTGTCGATAAAAACAAAATTTCAGAAGAGAGGAGTGAGTCAAAAAACCTCATCGTTAAAAACTAAATAATAGGGAGTTTAAGCTTGCAGTGTTTTACTCAACCTAAACGCGAACGGAATATATTTCAGCGATGCATTTTTATGGGCGATTGGCCGAACGTATAGGTTTGCGTTTCGATTTTTTATGCAAGCTTAAACTCCCTAATAATTGTTGAAAAGTTATCATATTTGAGCTTGTTGGTTTTAGGAGTTGTGCAAGAATATAGGTCAAGCGCGATTTAACTTTCACATTGACGATTTGAAAGTGTGCGTTGGTTGCAAGGTCAACACGATAGGTAATGCTAGGAAAAAGAAAATTGTTCAACTATGGGCTATGTATCTTAAAAACATGTTTTCTAAAGGAAATGTAATGGATTTAAATTACAACATTGATGAGAAAAAATGTTGCGAAATATGTTCTGATGCACGATTCATTTGATTAATTCTTTAAAATCGACCCTTGGCCGCAACATTCTACCGCCTTGCATGTTTTCGAAAACCATAAGGTTCATTAATCTACATTTAGGCTATTTTGAAAAACCAGATGGTAGTGTACGAATGTAACATAATTGCCTCATTTGGAACATTAACATAATACTGTACAAATGCAATTTTTCTCAGCAAAGGGTTTGAGCTTGCGTTCTCCAAGATGCAAAACGCCTTCAGCACCCTGTTGTTTCTACTGCAAAGAGTGCTATCTATTGGCGTACAGAAACCCCCTCGTGTGCCCAATGCATGGTCCAGCAGAGCCACCTATAGGTAAGCTACTATTAATCTAAGATAAAGTCAAGAACATAGCTTGGTAAGGTTGATATCGATTTCTTGAATTAAAGGATATCCAAAAAATCGTTGAACCACCTTGCGTCCATTGCATATAGGATACTGCCTATGTTATAGGACATGGAAACACTTATGCAGTGGTGGTTGCTGGCTACCACACAGACGCCAAAGGGGACGTTGTGCCAGGTGGTGACACAGTGTTTGCAAGAGACGCTATAGGAATATCAAATGCATTGAAAGATAGTAGGATGATCGGCGGTTTAAGGTGACGTGTTCTTACACTGTACAGTACCAGTACAAGGGGCGGAAAAGCGTAGAGTATTTCCGTCGAGTACAATGGGAAATACATTTCAAAAACCGCTGTTTTATTCAAAAATAAGTAGAATCTTTTTTTCAAAATCATAATATTTTTTTTGGTTAGCCCTCGAAAAATGAGATGGCTGACTGCCATTAAATGCTATCACCAAGTACTGCAGAACTGGGAACGTGATGAGCGTATTGGCAAAGAAAGGAATTAAAAACGCTCACAGACGACAGAATAAAACTACACCTTCCTGTTTTCGAACGAAAATACTCTTCGTGCTTCCATCCCCTGCCTTATACTCAAGAAATAATCGAATGCACACTTGCTCACGTTGCATGTTTTTGAGGCAAATTGGCTTTTAAACCTTATTGAATACTTTAATTTTAGGGAAGGTGTACATCTCTTCACTTTCACCCCAGCAAAAGGTAACTGCACTTCAAAAGCAATTCTTCATCGAATCAAAGAATTAGGAGCCAAGATAGCAACGTTACCGGATGCTACATTTATATTCTATTATTCTGGCCATTGCAACGGGGACGATCTCTTCCTCAAAAATGGCGAATCTATTGAAAAGGATGACTTACGCTCTCGGTTTGAAAACATGAAGAAGGCAGTAGAAGTATTGGTGATAATGGACTGTTGTTTCGCTGCTTCATTTGACACTTTGACTCGATCTAGCAGCCACCCCCAAAGAAATATTGACAAAATTCCCCAATCCCCAGTTCCAGTTGTCGTGAACACTGGCTTATCTATACCGATAGCTAACTCAAGCAACATTGACTTCGAAAGTTCGACTTACAAAGCACGCGCAACACCTGCCTCTACGACGCAAGCCAACACTTTTGTTCAACAGGAAACTTTAAGTCAAGGTCATAGTTCCTCTGTGGAAGTCACACAAGACCAACACGAAAGCTACGCCAGTGATCAATTCCAATCAGATAGCTCTAGATTCTGTCAAATGCAGTGGTCCGCCTCATCACCGGACCAAACATCGTCTGGCCCAAGGAAAAACAATACAGAATACAGTCTTTTTACCAAATACTTGATAGCTGGGTTACACAGTGGGTCAAAGTGCGCCTTTCAAACCACCACAGAGCATGCAAATGCAGAATGCCATATATGCGAAAAGTTTCGCAAATTATCTGCCGTAGAAGAATGTGTTACACTTCCAAACTTGCAAGATTACGTGTCCAAACATATGGAACTTGAGATAGATGAAAGAGGTTTGCCTAACACCCAACAGCCACAAATTGATGGATCGATGAGAGGGGTGTTTAAGATGGCATACTACAACAGTGAGCCCTTGAATGATGAATACCCATGCTACTATGGCGAAACGTTCATTGGTACGGCTAGAATCCCAAGAACACCCGATGATTTTGGTCTACTCAAACACGAATTATGGAGCAGTTTAAATGGTAAGTAAGACAAAATAACCAATTAACATAATATCCTACATCTAACACATCGTTCATGAATCCAATTGCTACACAAAAACGTAGTTTTGGTTTTTCTATTTAAAAAGACTAGTTTCAGGGTTTGTCGCACTCAAACCATTAATTCTTATCTTTAACAATGATTACAAAATACAATTCCCATTATACTTGGTATAGGTTAGGGCTATTGATATTACGCTAATAAAATAGTAGTCTCTCTTTAAAAGTGACTGTTTTTTCAAGGAATTCTTCCTTGTTGTGTGGAATCTGACGATTTGGTGATTTCATCAAACAAAATGCCTATATGTAACTCGAAAGATGTTCAACAATGCAAAGCCAGAGGACGGGCCATAGAGCTTTGCATATACAACGAGTTGAAGCAATTGACTACCCGTCATGCGGTATTTTACATGGAGAAGTCGTCCGATATTGTGCTAGAAGGCATTGATGACTGGATGATGTTCGTGAACGAACGAAACCACACAGAAAACTTACTTCCTGGAGTAACAATGCGGAAGGTTCAAAGTGAAGTATGTAGTCGTATATTTCAAATGAAAAATTACTAGTGATGTAGTAAATGGTGACTGGTTCTATAGATTTATATTTTTAAGTCTCCCTAAAACGATGGACGGATTTGCTTCAATAGATGTGATGGCCTTTGAGTTAAAACACCACGCCTTGTTAAAATTGTCCAGACCATCATAAGCCAACAACGCATCGTGCAATTCTAGTTTCTGGTACCTTCATTGAATTTCATTTTGTTTCAGCATCATGTCAATGAAATGGTGGGATGGTTTCAACTGTCTGTTCCCAGAAGCATCAGTATAGACTTCACCTCAGATGAGTGGTCTGAACTTGGTAAACGTGGATGCAATGAATTGCAGGATTTGATCTGGGCATGCAAACAGACACATTCTGCACTTAACATTCAAGTGTTCACTGATGGTTTCATTAAATTTAAATTGAAAGATTGAGTCGCAAACGGATTCCAAGAAAATGAAAAGTACATTCATTGATTAATTAGCAAATATGAAAAATGCTCAACAGAAGACATTATTTTGCCTGCTGAAATATCATTAAGAGGAATCGTTTATCCTGAATCTATTCCTCAAAATGCAATAGCTATTATATTTACAATTTATCTTTACACTTCTCGGGTCCATTGCGAAGGCAACGAAGAAAATGATGTCATACAATCCAACAATTTTATATAGTAATAATCATTACTCTATGATAGTGTTCTCCACGAGAATATTTTCATCAAGTATGTGCAGAAAATTCTCATTTTCATAAATCTAAATACTTCAAGAATTTTTCTCATTTTCGAGAAAGCACAAATAATTTTTAAGTGTCTAGCTTTTGTTTTCTAAATCGTTCCAACTTGCTTTAATGCTAAGGAAAACATTTTGAGACGCTGCTTCACTTTCAAATAACGCCATCACTATGTCAACACCTGGGTTAGTTACTATGTCAACACCTGGGTTAGTTACAGACGACGAACTCCTAACGCCAGACTCAAACCGCTGTCACAAAACAGTGGGAGACCATAACAACATGTCACCACTAAGTGGTGGTGACATAATAAGGTTACAAAGTACAAAGTGCTTCATGTACATCAAAAAAATCATTTTAAGAATGCTCTATATTTGAGTTAGTCGTCACTCACTGTATGGAAACAGTGCAAGAGTACTGGTATTTTGACACGCACATTTTTTACCAGACATTTGTACAAATACGTTAGTAAAAATCATAATTTACTGCAAATAAAGGGTGTGTAAATAGTCATTTTCCAGTATACTGTTTTAATCCTACCTTAGTCTGTGTAACATAATAAATTAAATAATTCTGTAAAAATGATAACAATGTGTAAAATAATAATCCACACTACCTTTGGCAATTTAAACGTATTTACAAATCGAAATTATACAATTGAGTTCATTGTATCAAATTCGGTTGCTCCAAAAATTGTATATATTCAGAAGTACTATATACAGATATAGATAAAGAAATGTATATAGTCTTACACTTAGACTCATTGTACATATGACAAACAACCTACTAGATCTAGGTTAGTCATGAGAACTATAAATGCAGAATTTATCATCCAATTCATTGTAAAACTGCAAAAACGAACGTGACAAGGATCCTCAATCTCAGTTTAAGAATTTGATTCTTATTACACTTAATTTGGCAATAGTTACAAGAAAGCCAGTATGGTGGAACACCTCTATAAGGAACACCCCTCTTTTCAAAAGAAACATGCCCCATTGACTTAGATGTTAATGAACCCCCTCTTTAAGAAACACCTGTCTACAAGGAACACCGTTGACAGTACTGACTCCTGAGAGTGTTTCATGAGAGTGTTTTCAAATCTCAGTTGGACATAAAATTTGATTTTTATGCTATTTTGGCAAAAGATAACTCGAAACATTACTTCAGAATGTACAATCATCTGAAATGCTACATCTGGCTTTGACTCGATCTACTTCGTCTAGGCATAGTCTCATTATCTTCATTGCCATGTAAATCCTTTGTTAATTGTTCAAACAGAAACCTTGTGACTTTGAGGATCATTACGTGCATGGTATACTGCAACACTAATGCTCCCATTCCCTTATATAGTCCAGATAATCCCTCATCTAATATGATACATTTGAAACAATCTAGCATTCCCTCATAGCGTGTGATAATCGGGACAACCCCAAGTCCTGTGTCAGTGTTGTCTATAATTGTTCGGGTACCCTGTAGATGGAGCCTGTGTACCACATTTTCCAGAGGATACAAAATCACGTCGGCAAATAAGTGTCCAGTAAATGTTGCAATGAGTTCTGGGTAATAGCGTTCATACATAGATTTAGCTGGAGGAACAGTCTGTTCAGCCCCCTGGAAGTAAAAAGGTAAATTGGACAATTTGTACATTATTTCATCAATCACTATACTTGTAAAACGCATATGTTGCTGTTTTATTCCATATTTGGATGAGCTTCAATATGAGGTTTATAAAGGTTTGTAAAAACATGTATTTTCAATGGCAGATAGGATAAAGCTTTTAACCCCAACATACATCTGCCTGCGTTTATAAACAAGGCATTAATATGCAAAATATTACCACCTGGCATTTTTACAGGCAAAGATCGCCAACGGCTGAACACCAAAATGTTAGAGACTATAACAATATGTCGCCATGTGTGGTGGTGACATAAAAAACATCATTAGAGTGTATACAAAAGGATAAATAGCTTATCTAAATGTAAATTGGATGTCATCTTGATCAATATTAATTACAAATGCAAACAGTCCAACACTTTTGTCAACTACTTTAATAAACCTAGATTATCCTTTATTACACATTATTACCTTTGTTGTATGACTCTCACTGCGAACAGTCAGTATAACAGTGTATTGAGCTATAGATGTGATAGCATAGTGCATCAGACCATAGCATACAGTGGGAACAACAAGCTTCCACACTGGTAGCAGCCTGGTTGACTGGGGGGTGCTCCAACTCCCTAATAGGCGTCCAAAGCCTTCTTTGATACAATCAAACACACCAGGCCTCTCACTGGCTATTTCACTCTGGAAAACAAACACAAACAAGTGAGATATGATTTTCTTTTTGCTTGAGATATAAAGTCCAATACTTTATTGATGTGTTTTACCTTTACAATTGGCTTTCAACTAGAATCTTATTGAAAGCCCATGCCTTTACTGTATAAAGTCCCTCGTCTTCTTTTTGCAGTATTTTTGGTGGTTAGTCATTAACATTTACTATTGATGATTTATCGTGCTCACCTGTACTGTTTCCACAAGACTTGCAGCATAGAATGGGGTCGTAGCAAGAAAGCTCAATCTGAAAATAAGAAACACAATTGTATCACAATCACGTCAATGCAGTGACGTATATAAACTAAGGATATAAAACACTCTGTGTGTTTCATTAAAGCAGTTGATTGGGCACTTTCTCCAATTTTATGTAAATTAATTTCAAATTATATGTGGGTAGTATATATTGAAATCACTCTGTATAATGTTAGGTAATGCTTATCTCTTTATAATTGATGGTTTACAGCAGTCTGGCCTGTTTGTGCTTTCCCATGTTTTTGCTAAATCAAGTTTTAGGCCTCTGTACAAAGTTGACATCATATGTAAATAAATTGTAGGGGTTTGCGACATTTTGTTTATATTTGATACTTACCCTTTGAGGACCATATGTTGAAGAAGTTTCTTCACGGAGCTGTGTCTGTTCACCTCCCTACAGGTATAACAGTAACAGGTTAGTGTTAGCTCATGCATTTATATTAAGGAGTTTTACTGCATGTAATACATATAATAAAAATAAGGGGTTTACTGAAAATATTTATTTAACATCAAAACAGTTGCATACTTGCTCAAAACAGTAAGTAAAAAATTTTGTAAAAATCAGAGAAAATCCCCTGATACCCAACTGACTTGCTGACAAATGTATACAAATTCTAATAAAAATTAGAAGGTTACCTTGGAAATGGAGTAAATTCACTGATGCCGGCTTCTGACACAACAAATATCCCTCTCACCATAAACGTGCTTCCAATACCTTTAAACAATGTGGTGACACTCTGAAAAAACAACATACCATTAACTCAACCTGTTATATGAATATTGTATGTCTAACTATTCAGAAATCTTTCTTATAGCAACAATAAGCCAAGAGCCGCAGTATTCCGTTTATTGAATAATCTTAGCCTTGATTTGAAACTGATGTCTCTCAAGGTCAAGCCATTTTATGTAGCCAGGTCAAGGTCAGATTGTAATGTGTGGAGTGACCTACTCAAAACATATATCATGATAATGATGTGGAACAAGGGGGAGGTGGTGACCTACCTGATTTCTCTGTATATTATATATGATGTGGAACAGGGTGAAGGGGGTATTGTGGTACCAACTGGAAGATGGGTTCACCTAAACAGATAAAGCAAACCAATCTTAATATATTATGAAAATATAAAAAAAACTCACAACATCTAACATAATGCATAGTAGGCCAGTATTTATATCAAATGATGTCCTTTGTTCCCTCTCATTTAAATTTTTTAAAGTAAAGAGTTCATATGAACTTTCAATTTGACAATTCCTTTAAAATAAATATTCTCAAAAGAAAAACTGAATGCTCTTTCATATTTAAGAAATTGTATAACTAAACTGAACGACTAGTGCATTCTGCTCATCCCATTAGTTAGATTAAACTGTAGAATATCTGAATATAGAAGGTTGTGCAATAGGAACAACAGACATAAATGTATTTTCTTCTAAATTAGAAGTAAAATGATATCATACCTGGCATTGTCTCCTCAACACTATACAAGGATGTGATAGAACATTTTCAGCAAGGACACTGTAACAAAATGAAACATCAATTCAATACACATCTGGTTCATATGGCTCTTCAATTATACTATGTATGTGATTTGGAATCGGTTCATATCTTAATGAGTCATATACAGGGTGTCAAATAAGTCCCGTCCCTCCTGCTACAGTTAAAACCTTAAGAGACAGTACCAAGTGTGATATACCATTGGAAAGATCATCCAAAGTTCTGTTAACTCACCAACTCTCAAGTCTTTTGGATGCAAATTACCTATATTTTTATGATGTCTTTTATAGTTAATGTGCCCTCCTTTAAGTAGCTTTTTTGCATCAAAATGACAAGGATATGACCTCAGAAACACGTCAAAAAGTTAATCTTTTTCACATTCCACTAGGTACAAAAAGGTTTCCACCACTTTCCTTGCACTTCTTTTTTTTCTATACATCTAACCCTATCCAGAAATTGGTTAAATTCATTGCCATATGCATGTTTAATCTACTTTTGGTCATTTGACCTTTCTTATATCTGATTCTTAAAATCCTGCCAAATACACCAAATTGCCATGTTTCCAGGCCTATGGTCACCTCAATCGATACAATGTACAAAGTTGTGAGATTGATTGACATGTGTAAGATATATGCCAATCAATGTAACTTTGGAAGACCTTTCCAATGATATATCACACTTGGTACCAAATATCCTAGTTTTGGCTGTAGAAGGGGGGGGGGGGGGGGGGGGACGGGACTTATTTGACACCCTGTATATTCCTGGGCACATGTTAAAACTACAAATGAGATGAGTTAAAAATGATTTTACCTTGCAAGGCCAATTCCCAGCCCAGCAAACCTCTGCAGTTGCTCTGGAATATAAAACACAAAATCTCTCAAGATCTTATGTCACATCACAATTTATATCATATTGATATAAAACTGAAAACTGTTAGTATCAAGCAAATTTCTTGGAGATCTTTTACAAGGAAATAAATGGTCCAATATCCAAAACCATGCCCATCATATGGGGGGGGGGGGGGTGCATTAGAAAAATAAAGACATAGCCAATGTACCTGACTGTTATTTTGTATATTTTAGATAGATGTGCAGTAAAGCTGTGGCCTTTTGTAATTTAGGGAGTTTCAGTCATGTTAATTTTAGAGGAATATAACATCAAAATAATAGAGGCCAAACATATGATAGCCAAACTATAGACAGACTAAAATATAAAGTGCAGGTATGTTTTTTATCTTTCCGTACATGTACATTCGGAAAAAGTTGTAGAAAAAGTTCACAAATTTATGATAAAAGCAGAATGCAATGATTTTGCAAACAAGGTATGTTCTTGGTTACTTCCAGTAACCAAAAAAAATGTAAAAATTTGGGGTCATTGGTTCATTTTGAAAAGCAAAAACGGGAAATACATATCAGAGAAAATTTGAAAATGAACTATAGAATGAGAAAGGTAAGATATTTGCGAGGAAAGGAGTTAAAATAACAGTAAATTCAAAAACTGGCAGCCATATTTTTTGACAAAGAGTCACAAGATTTTGTATCTATTTTTCTTATATGTGAATTTTGGAAAGTAACATTTTGGTAAAAAATTGCTATACCTGCACATGTTATTTTCTGGTACAAAATTAAGTATGAAGGCATGAGTATTTTCCTTACTTTTTTCAGGAAAGTATCATTACATTGTCTACTTTTAGTAAACCTGGAAACCGGTCAATGGTAGCCCGTGTGTTGTCTGGAAACTTTGAAAGAAAATTTGGAAAAACAAAAAGTGTGAAATATCAGAATTTCCTGGAGTTCCCATTGAACTCCTACCAGATATTCTAAAGAAGACAATGTAATGATACTTTCCTGAAAAAAGCAAGGAAATTGACACATGCCTTCATACTTTATTTTCTACCAGAAAATAACATGTGCAGGTATCGCAATTTTTTTTTTCCTGCTGTACCTTAAGGCCAGATTGCACTTTGGAATATTTTTGCAATTTCAAAAAGTAAACCACTGAATATTCTAGTTATTCAAACATTATGAAGAATTATCAACCCTCAATTGATAGTCTAGGTACACTAATGCATCTTTTGTGCAAGAATGAAAGATGTAGATGATGTGTGGAATGAGTGAAATTCGAACATGAATGTATTCACGCCTTTTATAAATTCATCCGGGGTATATTTGCGAAGAATACCACTAGTAATATGTGTAATGTGTGATGTCATAACGGCTGGTCGTAGTAATGGCGGACCATAGTGAATATTCGAAACATTTTGGTGAGTTTTCATGTTTGAATCGTAATATAGAGCTCAGAGCAGGGGTAATTTCGCCGAATACACCCCTTAGGTCAAGGCACAAAGGCTTTTGAAAGGCTACAGAAAACGTTTGTTCCTTGGCCTGCGGGTGTATCCGACAATATTACCCCTGCTCTTCGGTCTATATTTCTTGTAAATAGCACATTGACATGGTCATGAAATTTCATCAAAGTGCACCCTGACCTTAACTTGTACAATTCATACCATACCAATTTTGGATCACAAGGAGTTTTAATTACAGGCGTTTACCTGTATAATATCATGGGGTTTCAAGTGAAATTTTTTTTCTAAATTTTTTTTTCACTTTTTTCCAAGGAGGATTGGCTCCCAGAGTGCACCACCGATATTCTGTCCCATATATGGGTATGTCGTAATACAAAATTCGAATTCAAACAGCCGCCATTTTGTTCACTTCAACATTTAAATCGTGAATTTTGGTCTTATTTCCAAACGAAAAATTCCAAAACTCACAAGAAATGATCGAGATATTGGTTCGAATCTTTTGAACTGTTTATTTTGAATTTATAGTCGGTTTTAATTTCAGAAAATAACGACATTTCGACGTTTTCATTGTTGGAAAATATCGAGTTTCGATCCTGGGAGCCAATCCTCCTTGACTTTTTTCAATAAAAAATACAAACCAATTTGGTGATGCCGAGGAGAAGATGCTTTGACCTGAGTGAGGATTCCAGCTTCTGCTTCAGCAACAGGATCAGTAGATGGGTGTGGCTGCCTTGTATAATGCATAGTTTCAGGATCAATACCCGGTAAATGATGCATGTCTATATTATCGCCCATCTTCCCAAACCGGAAATGATAAAGCAGTGAATAAATTATTAGATTAAATTATTGAAACTTCCAATACAAATATATTATTATATATTAATCTTCGATAAATATCTATTTGAATTTAAAGATACATGATTTTGATAAATAGGTTGGTTTTAGGGAGATATTGACTCCCAAGGGAAATATTAACTCCGCGGCTAGTAAACAGCCGCCATATTTGACAGGTGCGCGTTAAGGACAGGGTGCATGTTGGGAAATTTTCTGCATTCTTCAATTGAGTCACATGTTATTTTTCAAACAAGAATAACTCCTTCCCCACATTGTCTACATCTTCCAAGTTTGCACAAAGAGTGCACTTATGTGCCTAGAAAAGCCTTGTGAGAAGGTTTGTTTTGTAAAATGTATAAAAAATGAGAAAATTCAGTGAAAAAAAATTCTGAAAATTTTCTAATTTTTTTCACTGAATTTTCTTGTTTTTTATACACTTTATCAAAACATTCTTCTCACATGTCTTTTCTAGACACATAAGTGCACTCTTTGTGCAAAACTGGAAGATATAGACAATGTGGGGAAGGAGTGATTCTTGTTTGAAAAATAACATGTGACTCAATTGAGGAATGCAGAAAATTTCCCATCATGCACCCTGACCTTACAAAAATATCTCGGTTTTAGTTAAAATGTCACGCCGTCGGTACAGTTCAGATGAGGATGATGAAGATCGTAAGTTCTATGTTTATTAAACTAAATCTTTGCCAAGTTTGATTGTCGTAGCTTATCAATGACTCTTACAATTTAGCAATATCGTGAAAATATTTTTCATTTTTTCGGCTTTCTTATCATTTTCACAAGGAACAAAAAGTAGAGTTTTTTTTCATAGAGGGAGGGTTGACTATCGCACTCATGCCGTCTAAGATATCTGGTGAATATTATTGGATCAAAAAGTTCAAGATGTTGGGGTGAAGTGTTTAGATCGACTTTTTCATGATCTGACCGCTTCGCTGAAATTTGTAAAATAAGAGTTAGCTATTGGTAGTCTTACTTAGCTTCTAGAGTTTAGAGCCTCGGGGTTTCACTCCAATATACCTCTTAATATCTATTTGCCGCGCCAAGAGCATTTTTGGGCATTTTTTCCATGTCAATTTCCTCTCAAGATTGAAGGTGTCCATGTTTATTTCCTTTCTGGAGTTTGGTTGGACTAAATTTCTCGAAATATCATTGAATTTTACCAGAAAATCCACTTTTCCAGTGATTTTTTTGAGGCCTCGCAACTGATTTTAACCAATTTAATACCCTTTTTTGTAGAAAACTGAATTTTGACCTAAAAAAGGTACTTCCTTCAATAATTTTTCCCTATCACCTTTGTTTTGTCGCTGATGAAGCACAAGCACAGTATCTGATTGAAATAAATGTGAAGCGATGTGAAAAATCAACCCCTCATTTGGGTATTGTGCATGTCATGTGCGCAAATGCACAAATGAAAGAGACTTTGTTCAAAGATTGCATCGCCATCTCAATATTAAATAAAATATGATTTAAAGTGTCTCTCATTCAAAGATTGCATTGCCATCTAAATATTAAAATATAATTTAAAGTGGCTTTCATTCAAAGATTGCATCACCATCTTAATGTGAAAATATAATTTAAGTGGCTTTCATTCAAAGATTGCATCACCATCTAAATGTGAAAATATAATTTAAGTGGCTTTCATTCAAAGATTGCATCGCCATCTAAATGTGAAAATATAATTGAAGTTGCTGAAGTATGTGCATGCATGATCAAAATCAAGCAAATCAAAAATTTGAATTTTACATGTGTTCAGTAATATTGCGTATCATAACTTCCGGAACTCAGAAAGAAGCGAGTGAGTTTTTACAATTCATATTTTATCTCTTGGATAATGTGCTTAATGCTTTTTGGTTGATGCAACAAAGTTGATAATTGGTTTCATTTAAATTTGCGTTATAACCTCTAGAAGGTAAGTAAAAAGTAAGACTCCCAAGCGTTAGCTGACACTTATTTTTCAAATCTTAGCGAAGCAGTCAGACCATATAAAAAATTTTAAGCTGTAGTGAACATTGAAAAATATACTGTAGGATGTCATATTGAAAAATAAGAATGACTTTATTTGTTTGAAAGTTTACTGCTGGAGTAGTTCAAACTCTCAGAACCTACCATTCTCAGCCATTATGAAGAGTTTTAAAATTAATTTTCAGCACGAGCAAGGAAGCGAATGCGAACATCTGAACCAGTAGACATAGAAGAAAGATTAGAGTCTTTGATCCTTAGAGTAGGAGAAAAGGTAGAACAAATCTCAAATCTAAACACAATAATCTTTCATGTATTTTTTCATAATGTATAATTGTGCATACATTTATATCAGATCTTGAAAATATTATTGATTTATGCACCTAACCAGAACTAAATCTCTCCAAAACCAGAAGTTATATTTTGCAATATGAAGAATGTGATAGATTTAGAAAAAATTTATATAGTATTTCTAATTGTATATTTTAAATCTCATTCAACAACTGAAACTCTACAATAAATGTCTGTTCCAGAGTACTTCTTCACTAGAGAGCAACTTGGAAGGCTTAGCTAGTGTACTTGAAGCAGATCTTCCCAACTATAAAGCTCGCATTATAAAAATATTGTGCCAATGGTAAGGCAGCACAGATTTCTTTAAATACAACTTACCAAAAAAGAACAATATGAACTGAAGATACTTATATAGTGTCACTGTCAGATCAAAAAGGTGTCCTTAAGATTAACATAGCTCTATCGCCTTGACATTTTTATTTGATTCCCCAGTCAGTTCCTATTTTCACAAGACATTCAGAATGAGATGTTGCCTTTTCTCGAGCCGAAAGAGAAATTGTATTTCAAGTTTTTGGTAACTTTGATTCTTTTATGAGGATGTTTGCAATTGTTGATTTGTGTTTTTCATAGTGCTGTAACGCTACCAGAGAAGATGACGGTGTATACCACATTGGTGGGTCTTCTCAACGCCAAGAATTACAATTGTGGGGGAGAGGTAAGAAACTGATTTTTATAAACACTAATACTATATAGTCATTTATGAATATAGTTCTATCCCTTTTGTGTAAAAACTGTTCCTCCTTATTTTTTCTATATGACTTACAATTAAAATCTCAAATGCTATTTGAATCAAATTATGTAATTTACAGGGCCAATTATGCCTTGGTTTAGGCCCTGTCAGTGTTTTGTATATTATGTAGTTTCAATAAAGGAACACAGCAAGTAAAAACACCAAGGAGAATAACCAGTCAGAAAAAGTAATTGAACGCCAAATAGACTACAAACTTAACCTACAAAAATGTCAAACACGCCCCCTTTTGATTACATGTAGTTACACATGTATTTTAATAATAAATTAACAAATACAATTTAATCTCCAGTTTGTGGAAACACTTACAAGGAACCTGAAAGAAGCGTTGAAGACATACAACTTTGGGGGAGCTCTCTTGATTGTACGCTTCCTGGCAGACCTGGTGAATTGTCATGTGATTGTTGCGTCGTCACTTCTACAGATGTTTGACCACTTTGTAGAGGTCTCACTGGAAGACAACATACCACAGGTGAGTCGAGATGAATTACAAAAATGTAAGTTTATACTATGTTGTAGTACGAAGAATAATCTGGGTTGTAGAGATTCCAAATTAACCTAATGAATATGCGTTTCCCCGAGCAACCAACAAATTATTCTTAAAAACAAATAAATTTCATTTTCATGGGGAAAATATTACATTATGCATAAGCAAGTGTCTGAATTACTGTCACACATAAATAATGCTAAAAAATATAATTCTGTTTTGGTGGAAAATTAATTGTAATTGAGTCTGTATATTATTTCATCTCACTGCTTATGTTTATTACGTTTTAGGTGAGGTCTGACTGGTATGTGTGTGCGGTACTATCATCCTTACCATGTGTAGGACGTGAACTCTATGAGAAAAAGGAATTTGAATTCAATAAACTTTTACAAACAATAGAAAACTACATAAGGTAAGTCATGCTCAAGAGCCTTCAAGTTTGATATTTTCCTTATTAATGATTAGCAAGAAAAATGTGTTATATTCAAAGAATTTTGGATTCATTCATGAAAAATATTTTAAACATTATTTCATGGCTAAATGAAGTATTTTGATCATTTTCCAGCAAAAGACAGAAGACACATGTTGCAGCTTTAAGAGTCTGGTCAGTAGATGATCCACATCCACAAGAGGAGGTATGTCTATCCCATGATGCAGCGATGTTCTGTAGTATTGTGGGATTGCATTCAAGTTACACAAGTGATATACTTATTCATGTATACCCCATCTATGTTACAATTACCCTCATCTTGAAACTTCTATTGAGAAAGGGAATCCATTTTGTATATAGGCACATCTTTTAAAAGAACAAGTAAAATGCATGTAATTTGATGGCTTGTTTAGAAATTGTTATCAAAATTCTGTTTCAGTACCTAGACTGTTTATGGTCACAGATGAAGTCATTACGAAATGCAAAGTGGATGGAGAAGGTTATTAACAGACCTTATTTGGCATTTGATGGCCTGTTATGCGAAGCTCTACAACACACCCTCCCACAGATCATCCCACCCTCTCACCATGAGGATGCCACCTATCCTCTGCCAAGTGTCGTATTCAGAATGTTTGATTATACAGATATACCTGAGGTGAGTGGCATATATGCTTTCTATCAATAACATGACAATTACACAATATGCATAAAGTCAGCTTGATTTCTATTTGATTTAGATTTTTTTTAGTGTTTTATATGGTTTAACAAAGTAGGACTGGGTCTGAGCCTTTGTTAAAACTGTTTTGAAAAAGAATTGACTCCCTCAATTGCTTGATAATCCTTTTTCTTTCATTATTGCTTTAGGGCCCAGCAATGCCTGGCAGCCACTCTATAGAGAGATACCTGATAGAGGAACACTTACACTGGATCATATGGACACACCAGATGGAGAAAAAAGACTGGTCAGTACTGTCCCTCTTTACAATAAATTTGGATAATAATCAGTCATATGTAGTGATATCTGCGAGGGGCTTATATCATACCACATATAGCCTCAGTGCTAACCTGCTCATATAGTATAAACAAGCAATATAGGGTGTATTTAAATCCACATTGTCATTTCTTTCAGTGCTGCTACATTGTTGAGCTACCCAGATAAGAACAAGGTCCCTCTGAATTACTGTATAGTTGAGGTAAGTAAAAACATTAAATAAAACAATTGATCTGATTGGCCAAATGATTCAAAATTGCTTTGAAATATTTTAATTATCACACTTGTGAATCCATTGCTATCATCTCATTGTTAGTACTTTTGAAGATGTTTTTAGTTATTGTAACATTTGATATTTAAAGTTGTTCCTTTTTGAATAATGGTACACTTTGTAACTGAAGTATTTCATAATAGAAAAATGTCCTTATGTTTTCACTGATAGAAAAATGTCCTTATCTTTTCACTGAAAATATGGTACTGTTACATGTACATGTACCATATGATTGCAGGTAATATTTGCTGAGTTATTCAGACTGCCTAAACCTCCAGTGCTAGATGTTATGTATGGGGCTCTACTGATTGAACTGTGTAAGCTGCAGCCAAGCTCTATGCCACAAGTTGTATCCTTAAATGCAATACATGTATTAATAAGTCACAGGAGGTGTATAAGTAATGGGAGAGAGGATGTAAGTTATTGGGGAGGGTATAGGTAATGGGGGATGACCATAAGTCATGGGGGATATGATATAAGTAATAGGGGAGGGGATGTAAGTTATAAGGGGGGTATAAGTCATGGGTTAGGGGTTGTAAGTTACAGGAGGTGGGGTATGCAAATATGGTTCAAAAATACAAGGTGTAATCAAGATAATTCACAATTGACCCTCTTTCTTAGTTATTTCAATAAACTTAGCAGAAGTATAGAATGAACACTCCTGTATATACCTAAAGCATTTCATGAACTTTAAGTAATATTTGAATTTTCCCTATGACTGTTATTAAACAATAGTGTTGCCCTCCTTGACAACATACCAGTTAGCCCAAGCCACAGAGATGATATTTGAAAGACTGGACAGCATGAACACAACTTGTATTGAGAGGTGAGACTCATTTAGAACTAATGGAGCTAAAAATACCACAATTCATTCATCTTTGTATAAATTCCTGTTATGTTTTATTATGCAGCTCATGTTATACAGGCTACACTGGGCATTCAAAAATTTTCAAAGTACAGTAGAAATATTTTGCTTACCAGTTACAGAATATTGAAGGGAGGTGTACTGGTTTATATATAGCACATGGTCTCATTGCTAGATTACGAAAAGGAATTTGCTTCCAGTTCATATGAGGGACTAAGAAATGAACTTTAAAATAATTTAGCTGTATACAACTTGTAACCTAAAGGTGTTCATTTGATTCTAGGTTTACTTCATGGTTTGCGTACCATCTGAGTAACTTCCAGTTTAAGTGGAGCTGGTCTGACTGGGGCGAGGTGTGTAATATGGACCCGGAGCTACCAAAGCCTAAGTTTGTCAGGGAGGTTCTCTTCAAGTGTCTTAGATTGTCGTATCATCAGCGTCTTTTAGACACAGTCCCTGATTCCTTCAGTGCTCTCATTCCACTGAAGCCAACACCATACTACAAATTTAACAAAGAAGGAGCAGGTGAGAGAGCTTTACAATAAAATAGATTATATGGTAAAACCTAATCTGATCACTAGACAGCCAATATAATGTTTTTCTAGTACATGTATTGTTCTCATATTCTACTTGTATATTTTGCCATCTAGGATCTCACCCTGGTACAATGACTTCCCATCAGTTGATAGCGTCTATAAAGTCCAAGTGCACACCAGAGGAGGTCATACTCATCATGAAAGATTTGCCAAATCCCCTGGCTGATGAAGAAAGTGAGTATCTCAATAATCTGTGTATTTAACTGGTCTCTTAAAAATTCTAATTGCCATATTGCAAATTCTGCAACCTTTCATGCCATTTTATATAACTGGAAACATTGCTCCATCATAACAAAAATTTATGAAAAAAATTAAACTTTGCTGAGGTCAGTATGATTCTGTAATGATTCAAATGAAAGTCCTTAACTTACTAAGTGAAAGAGTGCGACCTGAATTCAAAAGACCAGATTAGGACTTGGATCTCAGGACTTGCTAATGCAGCTTTCCCAAGTTAATGGAACTTTTTGTCAACAAAACCAAACATTGAGCAATTAATAAGATTGTGCTAAAGCTGATATTGCATTCATCCATTTCACTGTTATTCAAAGAAGTCATATTCTCCATTTACCTTCAAATGAAAAAACTCAAGAATGATTCACGCTATATTACATTATATATATATGTTCATTTATTTGTGATTTGTCAAGGTGACCCTGCATACAACCCTTTAAAAATTGAAGTGTTCACCCAGACTTTACTGCACCTTGGGGCCAAGTCATTCAGTCACTCCTTCGCTGCACTATCCAAGTAAGTCTCCTTATCAACATATTTTTTTTTTAACCAATGGTCAACATTGCCATTGAGTGTTACTAAAAAATAAATAGATGAAAGGTCCTTCTTTTAGTGAGTCTGTCTATACTGCAAACATGTGTTTATAACTGCATGTGGTCTTAGATTCATTCAGGATTACTTGAATATTAACTATGATCTAGATTCATAGGCCACATTAATTTATACATTTGTTTTAAGAAATATTTTAAAATTGAACATACCAGTACCTCTCTTACCAGTCATATCTTAAATTGTTTCCAATTTTTAATTCACATAGAACTCATCTTATCTTTGTTGTTTTAGGTTTCACTATGTGTTCAAAGTTCTAGCAGAGAATGAAGAAGCACAAATGTGTATTTTGAAGAATATGTACCAGCTGTGGAACACACATACTCAGGTAACCTACAGATTAGTACACTGGCTATTTCTATTTCATTTCAGAATTCTAGGTTTATACACATTTATAGAAAATATGTAACATCCTGGGATGTATTCTTGTAACATGCTTATTTACAACAAATATTCATAATAAATTCATTGTTAAATCAGTTGACATTATTAGTTGACATCATAGTTAAAGACTATGAAAGACTTATGAAATCATAAATTTATGAATGCTTATTTTCATTTCATGTTTAACTTCAGTTTCCTTTACAATTAATTGCTCCTCTTTAAATGATCAAACACTTTCAATTTTCAACCCCACGCGATGATATATATCCAGTATGTGTTTATTCATGCTGTCATCCGAGGGTTTCTGTGTTTTTTGTAGATGATGGTGGTGCTAGTTGATAAGATGTTAAAGACACAGATTGTGGAGTGCTCAGCTGTGGCAAATTGGTTATTCTCAACAGAGATGCAACATGATTTCACCAAGTAAGTACACTTAATCTCGTACAACCAGGTTTGAAAAATTCTTTGTGTACATGTACTGTTTTTATTATGAATTCTAGAAATTTCTAAAAAGGTACACTTCCTCAAAAATGGAAACTTTATTCTAAAATGAGGCCCCTGTTACGCTTATGACTGATAAACAATGGGCTGCAATGACCACATTATAAGTTACTTCCACCCCATTAGGGAAACTCTGCCCTATTCTATATCTTAGAATATCACTAAATAATAACATGTACAGTTTTGGGTAAAATATTATTTTGTTTTCAGTTTCTATGTGTGGGAGATTATGCATGGCACAATACACAAAATGAACAAACATGTCCAGAAACTTCAGAAAGAGGTTGATGATGCACGAGATCAGCTGGAGGCGGCTGAAAGGCGGGTAAGTTGCTTTAAATCAATGGTCTGTTAATATACTGATTCATGATTGATATTTTTAGGATTGTATACAAGAAATATGCCAATATAAGCCACATCGGTATAAACGATTTTACAGTCAATGACAGTCAATGGCAGAAAGGGAACATTTTCAAATGCTTTACAGGTCCATAGGTTTGACCCCTCCCTTTGCCAAAAATTCTTTCAATGTGACGCAGTTTTTCATGATTTTGAGCAAACATTGTCAACTGTGAACCCCTCTGGAATCTTTTGAAGTGAACTCTGGAACCCCCTTGGGAAAAACTGGCTACCAGCCTGCTTTATAAGCTTATTCAACCATGTCACTGAGTGCCATTTATATTTCTTGTTTATTAGATGAGGGATGGTCTTGGGATGGATGATGATCAAGACACGCCCTCTGAGGAAATGATTGACAGAATGGAGGAAAAATTAGAAGCAGCTCAAAGTGAACAGAAAAATCTCTTCCTCATTATATTCCAGGTAGGAAGCTTATATATCTGCTCATTTGTACCACTATTCACTGTCTCTATGGCTTGTGATTGTTTCACTGTGTTGTTCTAATGTTGTAATGTCTTGTAATGTGTTGTAGTGTCTTTCCTTTAGTGTTTGGTTTTTAGTCTATTTGTTTACTAAAAAGGAATCAATATTTTACAATTTTCGGTAAATGATGAGTCAGGATATATGCCCTTTTGGTCCCTCACTTTAATGTATGTAAAATAGGTTTTGTCATCACCACCAGATTATTAAAGTCTCCAACAGTGTTCAGTGTTTGGCGGTTGGTGTTTGGCATCTTTAACAAATATTAGGTGGTGACCTTTTGGATGTTATGCCTTGTTATTACTGTCCTAGTTATATTTGACAAGTATGTGCACTTTTTCATGAGTTTTGATGCATAATTTACCCCCATTGAGAGTCAAAAAACAAATAATTGTTATAATAGAAAAAACACAATTGGCAACATGTCTGGAATTCGGAATTCGAAGTAAAATAACTCTATTTATTTATTTATTTAGATATACACTTTTTTAACAGTGGCACTCTTACATTAAGGTGCATCTAATTGAAAATATCCACAATGTCATGTTGGTTAAAAACAGCACATTTTATCAAACTAAAATGAGTCTTAAAAAGAATTAAAACATAGGTATGTTAATATTTACTCAAAATCTTATTTAAAAAGCTTTTTACTAAAGAGTCGAATAAAACACCATATTCGTGCCCCCCAAAGATGTATGCCTCATCTCCCAGTAACCATTTCAATTTTGTGTCAGTTGGGGCGCTAAAGAATATCCCTGTTAAATGTATGGGAATTTTATCCTCAAGTGTTTTATAAAATTTGGATCTTTCCCCTTCAAAATTAGAACAAAATAGTAATCTATGTTCTGTATTCTCTTCTCTATCAGAGCAAAAATCACAGAATGGGCTATTAACTTGTACATTTGCCCATTTATATGTTTCACCTTTAAGACCTAGTTTCTCGGTCTGAGCAAGAAATTTTAATCATGCACTTGCAAAATCAAAATCATTTCTTAAATAGTACTGTAAATCTTTATGTTTAAGATCAATATGCTGTCTATACAGTGTCAAGGAAGATTTTGCATTCATTTCAGTTTGTATCTCAGAGTCTCTATAAAGACCGATGAAGAATTAAAGACAGTATCATAGTTTTGGAATAAATTTTACTTTTTAAATTTTTTCACATGTTTGAAAATCCTGCCAGTTTAATTTGAAGGGGGAAAGGTAGATGGCTGCCATTTGATGTAAGAAATATCAGAAAAAATTTGTTTCACCTTTACTATTCATCATCTGGGTCATGTAAAGATATGGAAAATAGAAACCATCATGTTGTGCTCAGTATGAACAAGACTGAAATATATAGTATAGTACAACTCCACTAAAACAACCGAAGTGCCAAAATTGGAAGCTCAGTAACTTTGAGTGACTATAATCCCTTGAATACCTCAATCAACACCAATTCACTCAAGAAATACCATTCAATGTCTATACAAAGAAAGTAAATAATGTTTTGGAGGAAGTGTTTAAAACCTTTTGCCTAAATTATTTGTTTATCATTTGCATAAATAATTTATTTATATAGTTCCTAGTTACTGGGAAAACCAAAATTAATGGTATTGTAAAGTTGCACCAAAAATTTCTAATAGTCATGGAATTTTGGAATGTTGTTAAAATACCAATGTCAGGGTATTGGTTTGGTTTAGCATGGTTTTCGTTGTATAGAACAGAAAATGGATTGTAAATATTTCTTTCACCACTGAGATCAAAAATTGAAAAAATAAGATTGATCAGGAAAAAACTCAAAATGTCAGGGAATTTGATGCAAAAATCTTGAGGAATCCTGAGTTAATGAAACGTCACAACATATGTCCAGAATTTCATTGGAAACCAATAAATGTAATTCTAACCTTGTTCCTTTACATTGATGTATAGTATAAATATGAATGTGACTCTGGTTGTTGACAAAAGCCCTTTAGAACAAACTCAGTGAACTCCATGAAGTTTAGGTGATATTAACAATGTCTACAAGTTCAATTGATGCCATGGACGGGAAACTGTTTTCCCTGATTTGGGAAAGTCAATGAATTTCAGAATATCTCCCAAAAATTAAGGAATTTTAGAACTCTGAGAAGTCATCTATTTGAACTGAGTGATATTTGATAAAAAGTTGAAAATTGGATTACCAAATGAAATAAAATTCTTGAAATGAGAATAAAACTTAAGTTAAAACTACTTCTTGAAATAAAAACATATAAACAGAATATAAATGAATTGAACAAATACATAGACAATTGTAGAATGAATGGTATAGATTACAAATAGTAAAAATTGATTTGATATATCTGTACAACTCAATTATCAACATTTCTCACACTGTTCTACTTTGTACAGTATGCAACATAATATCACATTTATGTAGTAATTATAAAATATTTTATTGCATTATTAAATATTTAATACAAGTTAGTCAGTTAATAATATCAGTATTCTAAAAAATTTTATTGCCTCATACAACGTGCTTCACAATATCATTTTTGTGTAAATTACATGTATACTTGTATAAATCCAAAAATTGTATATGCATTCTGAACATCTTATTGCTCTGGTTTAATATATGAGTGTTTCAGTTATAAAACACTTCATAAATTTGAAAAAAATATTTTACAGAAATATTAAATGCTAGATATATATAAAAAAAGAATTTCTGTAAAATATTTATTTATGTACTAATCGGGCCAATCTATGATGAAATAATGTGATAGTCATAGGTAACCGATGAAAGTATCGGGTGTGACGCACCATGGGCCCTGGCACCTGTAGCAGAGTAGGCACTTGTGGCACCATCCAATGTCACGCTTAATAGGCATCTTCCTCTCACAGCTCACACATTGCACATGTTTATTGCACAGTTCGTCAACGTACACTTCCTCGTAACCTGGCCTCTCAGGATCACGTACATATTTCATGACGTCACATACATGATCGTCACTGTCCTTGAAAAGTTCCTCAGGGTAACATGTGATGTCATCAATAGGGCGTCGCCTACGTTTTCCTAATCGCATCTCAGGTCCGACTGATATATCGATTTTGTTGTGATGTACCATACGTTGCATATGGCAGTCTACCTCCTCCAAGTCACACATTGAGAGACACTGCTTCTCAAATGACTTGTAGCGCTTCATGACCTGAAGAATACAATTAACAAAACATTGTTTAGATATCTCAGATGTACCACTCTTTGCCGTAAATATTGATTACAACATATTCTCAGTTTCTTTGAATTTCCTCATTAAAAATCATGGTCCATACTGGTAGTCTGTTGTGAATCATTGGATTACTGAAATATGAAATATTACATCTATTGTATGTATGTATGTATATATTTATTGCCCTTTATATAAAGGAGATACATGTATACAAATTATGTAAATGTTAAATTGAAAATAATCACTATTTACAAACAAACAATATTGCTGTTTTTGACTGACGACGACGCCTAGCTACCGCGTAGACGCACGTCGCCGACCAAAATTGGCCTAGCACCTAATTGTAACGCAATTATAAAAAAATGACTATATTTTACAAACATTCATTGTTTTGTTGTTGTTTTTTATACTGACGACGACGCCTAGCTACCGCGTAGACGCACGCCGTAGGCCTAGATAGACCTGTTACCTAACACTCTTGAGATTAATAAAATATGACATTATGGATCTGCATTTTCTATAAAATTAAAAGGAAGACATACATGCATCTGAACGGCTGCAATTTGTTGTTGCTTTTTTTGTACTGACGACGACGCCTAGCTACCGCGTAGACGCACGCCGTAGGCCTAGATAGACCTGTTACCTAACACTCTTGAGATTAATAAATAATGACATTATGGATCTGCATTTTCTATAAAGATAAAAAGGAAGACATAGCATATCATCATACCTTCCCCAAGGTCGGTACTGCAGTACTGTATGAAAGTATGAGATGCTTTCAATATCTTGTAAGCTAGTAAAAGAAATATACAATTTTTTGTAAATTGAAGAAAGGTGGCGTTGCCCTATGGTGCAATTCTAAATTAGTGTGTATAGTAAGTGTACATAAATATAAATACAAATATGCGAGTAAAACTAAAATGTATTTATAGCTGCTTAAGAGATATAATCGTTTGTTGCAAATACGTCAGGCTGCCGCGTTGACGTTGCAACTACCAATCAAGAAAAAACAAACATAAAGCATTGCTTATTATTGTACCTTCCCCAAGGTCGGTACTCTCAGAATAAATACTTTTTGCATATTACCCCCTGGTCAGCCCATGTTCCTCCCTTGAGGGCCACCCTTTCACGCTGATAAAGTTACATTAAGTTTGTAAACTTGTCAAGTACCGTTGACGACACAAATATTGTTGCATAACTATATGTGCCATATCTTTTAAACATACAAGTAGTTGTTCGTTTGTACAGTGCAACTCTTCAATTCCTATGCCAAGAATGTTTTTAGTGTTCATTTGGATACCCCATTCGCAGCAATGATTGCTAAGTTGTTCTCTATAAATAATATATATATTTGCTGGGCATTTAAGTAAGAAATGATCTACGTCTTCTTTTTCATAAGTGCTGCACATTGAGCATATAACTGATTTATCTTCAGAACCTCTATATTTTGATCTAAGCGCATGTTCATCTGCTAGCAGTTTCACCATTATTTTACAACTACTTAAAGCAAAAGGGAACAGTCTTGCAACTCTCCACCATATAATTGGCCTCAGAATTTCAAAGTTACCCATTCTAAAATAGTTTAGGCCCTTGTACATTAGCGATTGGAAAAATGTCCTTTGCATCTGAACGGCTGCGATTTGTCTATACACAATATTCTTCCACGTATTTTTGGGGATGAACATTTTACAGTCTACCATATTTAGAACATGGTTATATAAATCGTACCTTTTTGATGTCAGTAACATGCATTTTATTGGAGAGAAGGTATTACATTCATTGTTAACATGCAGCATTTTTACAAATCTCATTGTGAAAAGACATTTATATATATTTGCGCTCGGGAGTTGCAATAAACTCCAGAGAAACATCATTCTTAAAAAGTCAATATAAAATTCAACGTCCATTAGGCCCAGGGGCAAAGTTGAAATGGGAATACTAGCTGAGGGAGGCAGAGATTGAATTCTCCGTCCTATTTCTCGTTGTGTCTTTTCTAGAACAACTATATCATTCTGTTGATAGTTGATAATATGGGCACCGTATGTCATTGTAGGTATGGAGTACGTTTTGTATATTTGACATGCAGATGTTGGGATTAGGCCTCCGCAGCCACTACCTATACCGAGCAGAGCATTGTACTGCGATTTGCCCTTCTTACATTTATCCTGTACATAATCAGAAATATCATTATTTGTTGAAATTGGGATTCCGACATGCTTCACATAGTCAGATTTTGCAATTGATTTACCTCCGATATTAAGTTTCTGAGTTGCACCTAGCTCTATTTTACTATTAAAAACGAGAAACGAACACTTATCGGGATGAACTTCATATCTCCACTGATTACTATGAGCATGGAGTAGATCAAGTAGCACTTGCATGTTTTCAAAGGAATTCGACAAGATGCACATGTCATCGGCATATGAAGGACTAACGCAACTTAACGAACCTATGGTTGATCCCTTGTTTAGCTTAATCATGGAGTCAATTATATCTGCCATATAAAGTTGGTAAAATAGCATAGACAGGACACCGCCTTGATGGACACCCTGTAATATTGGAAATAAGTCAGAGCATTTTCCGCCTACTAAAACCGAGCAACTATACCGCTTATATAGCATATACAAAATTTTCCATATCTTACCGCCAATACCACAGTTGTGAAGTTTAAAAAGTAGGCCATCTATCCATACAGAATCGAAAGCTTTTCGGATATCTGTTACTGTTAAAACTACCATTTTACCTTGTTCTACATTTTCAGAAATAGTTTCTTGTACAAGTAATGATGTATGGATTGATGAACATTTCTCGACAGCTGCCCCTTGTAATTTAGGGATAGCATTTAGAACTGGTGCTTTTACATGAGTTAAAATAATGTTGTCAAATAATTTACGAAGCATTGTCATGAGCGTAATACCTCTTGAGTTGTCTTTTACAAGTGGATCTTTGCCGTTTTTAACAAGAGGGATCATTGTGCCGATACAGAAGTTACATGGAATGTAGACTGACTGAAGTATAATATTGTAGATGATTGAAATTGTTTGGACCATGGAATCCCCGCCATATCAACTTTACATATAGATGAAGTTTGAATTTAAAAGTTTGACTTCTTAAAGTAGCCTCTTACCTTCATTTGTTTTTCAATCTTTCGGTTGACGTAAACTTGCTCTATGTACTCATTTATCACATTGCAGACGTCCTGATTCAATTGGTAGAACCTGGTAGCATCCAATAGGAGCTCAGGCGATATTCTGCCCTCAACACCAGTCAGTTTGCCACTTCTAAAACAGCGATTGGTCAATATTAGATTTTTGTGAACTTGAATTTGTGTGTTTAATAATTTCAAAATGTCATAATTTCAAATAGAGAGTCAGAATAGAAAGATAAAGTGCTGTAAAAGAGTTCTAGCTTTTGTTGACTGTAAGTTACCTGGGTACTATGTTATGTTATGTCCATGTGTAGTTAAATACAGTCGAGGATATATATTAATACAGTGTATAAGCTACATCTCAAAAGAATTATGGAGAACCTTTTACAGCAAAGATGAAAGAATACACACCACACATTGGTTCAAGGAAAAGTCCCAGTTAAAATATTGTTTTTGCGAGTCTAATTCCAACAATAGTTTAACTGTTTTCTGTGAAATTGGACTTTGAACCAAAATTGTTAAAAATAGTCACCCAGCGTCTGCTGCTGACCACACTATGAAGCAGTGCATTATGGGAAAGCACCACAACTGTTAAGCAATCTGCAGAAGCCATCTTGCTATACATTTGTGTCTCTGTGTCTCTGGTTTACCATCCTGGCAGCACAAGTGATATGGCAGGGAAAGAACCCTTGGTATTAGTCAGTTTTTCAATGCTCATTCATGAACATTATGGAATTGCCCCAATGTTTATATCTGATTTTCACCTGGAAATGGAATCTCAATTTTGAATCTTCAAATAAATCCAAACACATTCACTGAACATGAAAAAAATGCCCGTTCATAAAATCTGACATTATATTAGCCTGGTTTTTGATTTTTAGATCTGGATTTGACCATGATAAGAACTCTCAATATCCTATGTCCATCAAAACACTTACTTAGCAAAAAAATCCATAATCCATAAGATTGTTTTTTATTTTTTTAAATTTTTTTATTTGCAGCAATATCATTAATTGGCTTGGTTTCAGCTTAGTAAATCTTGCTAAAGCTCAGCATAACGTAAAACAGCTGATGTATGAATCACCTTGTATTGCGAAAGAATTCCTTCTACTGATATTGCACAAATTTAACTCATACCTTAGCTTGATTATGTCAATTTAACTTTATATTTCATGTCTATTAAGAATGCTCAAGAGTATTGATGTTTTGTTTTAAATTTCTATTTGGATTAAAAGTTAAATAAAGGGCATGTTAAGAGGTGAGGTGTAATAGAATCCACTTTTAAAAGCTGGAAAGTAAGACCATAAGTAAACACAAAACAGTGCTACTAACTGCAGACAATAAATTCAATAGCTATGAGTAGTGCAAGACACCAATAAAGAATGCTTTTATTTAACGATTGTGTTAGTTTTTAAACTGAGTCAGTTAATGTAGCACATCAAGAAGAATTCAAACTAAAACTGTAAGCATAATAGCATAAATTAAACATACCTTGCAAAGTTGAGTAGCATTCTAAAACATTCAGGGTCTCTGTCTATTCTATAGACCCCATCAGCTGGTACTTCATACAGGTAGATCATGTCGTTGAGATATTCACTTCTTAGAGATTTCACCGTTCCAAGGCTCGTTTCAAATGTCACGCCTCCAACATTAATTGTCACCCATCTTTCATCATTGTGCATCTTTTTATCACCTTTGTGCATTTTCTTATCATCATTTATCAACTTTGTGTCATCATTCATTTTCGCTGCCATGTTAGCCAATGGTTTCATGCTATAGCAACTTGTTAAGTTTGTAGTGTTCTTGCTTCTTGAGTTTTAAATTATGTCTGTTAGCCTCTTGTTGGGAATCCCTTTATAGATTTAGGTTCAAATGGGTCTGTCTATCTTTGCAAGGGGTGAAGGGTTTGGCAGTTCACCAGGTGATGTGTAAACAAACTTGCCGCTGGCTATATTTGAATAGAATACAAACAGCTTTCTCATATTTTCTCATCCCTTTCACTTATAAATGGATGTTAAACATAGCATTCAATGTTTTTGAGTGATAGAAGGGATGTTTTATGAATGAAAATCATTATGATTCTTAGCCTTTTAACTTTGCACCCCTTATTCATAAATGGACTTATCCTCCATGTTGGAGCCTGTAAAATGAGAGCTGGTAAACCCAAAACATTATTTACAATATCATTGCTAATTTTAGACCACTTGGCCTTGTATATTGGTGATATTGACGTCATTGGGTCAGCTGATTTGGGGATTCCCTATGAATGTACACAAAAGTCTAGGAGATGTTTACGTATGATTGAATACTTAATCTATTTTTATCTTAACCTTATCAATCATAGTTTATTGTGTAGTGTTTGATATAGAAAGATATGATATCTGTGACGGTATTTGAATCATATTTATACGTATTAGATTCACATTTACAAGCATTCTGAACATGAAAATAGAATGTTATAGCCTTGTAGGTGTTGACTTTGTGTGTATTGAGACATACCTAAGGCAAATTAGAGCTATTTTTATCAGTTTGCTATTAATAGATCATTTAAAGATCATCTCTTTTTTAATCATTTTCTAAAAAATAATTTCAAATAAGATTTGATATATTTATGCAAGGTGTTTTTTGTTTTTGGTTACTAGTCAGCAGTTATAGCTGTCTTGTTCAAGTTTTTTTGAAAGTAGAAAATGTTTGAAAAGGTTTTGAACATGACATTGACATTTTATTGTGAACATTTTGTATGCCATTCAATGTTAACCTATTCATGAACTGACAGATTGTGTTCAAATACACTGCTATTGTTGTTCCTCAAAAGGCTTTTACAAACTCAAATTCTGTCTGAAAAGCTTAAGATGCTTTAATCCAATCAATTGGAAATTTCCTGTAAGACAACTACAACATGGGAATTTGATGTGGCACATTGCCATTTTATTACAATATTTTCCATGATCAAATTTGGCTAAATATATTTTGAGCTGAGGAAGAGGCTAAAAGAATTGAACATGTACAGTATTTTATTTTATTTGAAGAAAATGAATCATTGTTACTAGCCAATCAGCTTGATTGATATTATTATTATTTCTACATGTAATTATACCCCAGCCATAAATTAGGAATTTTCCTACACCTGGACATGTTTCTGCATGATTTTGTAGCGTCAATAATTTGAAAATTATACGCTTATAAAAATGAATGCTTTCATGAGTCAAAGTGAGATCACTAGGAAATTTCTTCTCAGAGATTGGGGCTTAAGAATAGATATATCAAAAATTCACTATTTAGAAATCCTTTTGCTCTGTTCGGTGACATGTTTCTGACTTATGTTTTAACAACAACTGAATAGTCAAATTGGTATTATGACCATTCTGGTAGACTCAGCTGTAGAATTATTTTTTGATTTTTGTTTTCATTGCCCTTCATAAATTTTATGATTTTATAAGTGTTTTTTTAAAAATTTAAATTCCTTATTGGCATTTAAGATGGATTGTTATTATTGATATTGTTGAAGTGTTTTGTTATTTTCTTTATTCTGTGTTTATATAATGCATACAGAATCTTTTTCATATTTTCAGTAAATGAGAAATAAAGATAACTGTTAATAAATAAGCTAGAAATACAAAGAATGACAAAAATGCAAGCATTAAATAGCAACAAATTTTTCCTTTACAATATCATATCTCAAAAACAAAATTTCCATGAAATCTTGTAAAATAATGTTATTGAAGATTTTACACATTTCTAAGAACATTCTTAAGAGTAAGAACAACATTGCTTCTCTATTGGTTTCAGTCCACCATAATCACCGTATTTAGCACCTACAGTTTAATGTAGATGGCATGATAAATCTACACCCAAATTAGCCATCTGGTGGTGAAACTAGTTACAACCTACTAGACTGTGTTAATAACTCTCTCTATATTTAGACAAAATTCTAATGTAAAAATGTGTCTGTTGTGTGTTTGCAGAGGTTCATTATGATCCTGACCAATCACCATGCCAGCTGTGAAGCAATTGGGAAAGACTTCAACACCCCCTGGTACAAATGGGTCATAGAAAGGTTGAGGCAGGTCTTCTTGACGGTAACTATTTTATTCATATCTCTCAGTGGGACGCTGCTATACCTGTATTGGTGTACTTATAACTCTTCAAAAATGATTTAACGCCAGTCATTTAGACCATCAATAAAAACCTTATTTTTGTAAATATTGGTGAGTTTTAGTATTGTGATGAAGGTTGACCCTAAGGGCTGCCATGAGATGATTAATAAAGATATTTCATTGTCAATTTATACAACAACTACTTCTGAGAACAATTTAAGGTAAAAATGGGACTGTCATAAAATATGGTATTGGGACTTATGAACCATAAATGTATTTTATTTATATTCAATAACAAGTGCAATATAAAGGCAGTTACAGTTGAATGTAGATGGCATGATAGATCCCTGGGGATAGATCTACACTCAGTCTAAAATATTTTCATATTGTAATGTGTTTTATTTCAGCACCACGACCAGGTATACAAGTATATCAACACCTTAGAGACACTTATGTTCACCAGTGACATAGATAGTCACATACTAGAAGTTTTCCAACAGTTTGCAGCATTGCGCACATGAGACACCACAAGGAACTCATGAGACACCACATGGCACTCATGAGACACCACACGATAATCATGAGACACCACATGGGAGATAATGTGGCTCAAAGCAATGTGATTATTAGATTGCTACCATAGTACATCTTACAATTAAGATCCTCATAATCTTCTCAAACCATCTAAGAAACCTGTTATAGTGCCTGGCAGTCTCATGATTCTCTACACACAGGTGTTATGAGACACCACATGTCTGTCTAACATGGATTTGATTCAACAGACATTAAATTTAACTTTAGTTTACTTCCTTGTTCCTATCCAAATATATTCAATACTTCAGTAGCATCAGGCCTGTACCCAGCTTTTGCCAAAGGGGGGGGGGGGGTAACTTTTCAAAAAAATCTTGGAGGCTTCACATTTGACAACTTTGGCTCAAAGTCACTTGAAACTTAAAAAGTGTTCAGAATAGTGAACAACTGCATGATTTTGAAAGAATTTTCTAACCCCCTGGCTCGGGTCTGAGTGTGCAATTGGTCAAGGATTTAGGTACCCGTGATGTTCTGCAATAAAGCCTGTTTTAAATCACAAATGAAGGGATACTATTAAATTTATTTTGATGTACATGTGCATGTAATTGTCTTTCCATTATTGTCTAGTATCATGTACAGTAAATTGTATGATTTTTGACTGTTATACATGCAGAAAGAAATATAATTTTATATGTAGAGCATTCAAATAACAAATTATGTTCATTATCATATACCAGATTACAAAAGTACCAAGGCACACAATGAACTTTCTTTGTGATCTCTAAGGAGTGAAATTCAAATAAAGATGTCTTCATACTAGGTTTAGGATGGTATTCAAGGTATTCAAAATCATTTGTTATTTTATGTAAACTGCTTCATGATATCCATAATAGCTCCAAATATTTGTGAAATGAAAGATTTGTGTAGAGTTTGATTGCCATTGGTAGGTGGTAATTTAAAGTTAGTTCTATTTATAGATGCCACCATCATTCCATAGTAACTAGGGTGATAGTTTGCATGGAGATGGAAATCCCAAGAATTAACACCAACGCCATCTATCATGCCCTGTAACATGACAAATCCAGTGTATCCACATGACAGGGCCTTCGTCACATACGAAGCAGCTACTTTTGTAATCTCTTTCCTGTTTTTGGCTGTGATCCACCTCCCACAAGCCTACAAAATCAATAAGTGAAAAGTTACATAGACAATTGAAAAAGGACCTGACTCCTTCACCTTTTTCTTGTGTGTATCTGGTATCTTTGGTTTAATATGCCAGTGTTTGGAATGTTTTCAGCAGAACTGAACATGATGGATCACATAGACACAAAATTAGATAAAAATATGAAGAACATCCATGGTTCACTTATACAGTTATACACTTCACTTAATATTATGTGTACAAGCGCTCCAGTGGTCCAGTATTATCAGAAACATTGTACCTGACCACCAGTATCTCCCACTAACAAAGATATAAGAAACACCCATTTTACACAATTCACAAAGAAGGAATGGTGGGCCAACATTTCAATTGCAATTATCACAGCTATCTTTAGATAATATTACAGTGTCTTTATGCAAAAGTATGCTTGTTCCAAAAATGTTTGAAGTTATATGTTTGAACTCCAGAGATCACTCAAGCTACTCGGAAAATATGATATTGACACTAGGTCGCTGCACTCCCTCGGTCAATATCATATTACCCTTTGGTCAATTTAATATTGTCAGTCAGAATATAAATCCATATTCAATCCCTCCTAGTAAATTACCTATATTTATCCCATGGTTACAAGGATATAGATCGAATATCAGGTGAAGATATATTTGAAATGTGGATCAAGATATCATATTTTAGCAAAAAATTTCTAAACCATTGAATATCACTTCTCAAACCATCGAATATTACTTCTCAAAAAGTGATATCCAATGGTTTCAAAAGTGATATTTGATGGTTGCAAATTAAATGTGATATTCGATGGTTTAGATTTTTTCAATAATTTAAAAAAAAAAAATTTTCAATAATTTTTTTAAAGATTTCTTTAAATTTTTTTTAGATTTTTTTATTCAAAAATTTTTGGTCAAGATTTCCCATGGGATAAACCATGGGCTTTCAATTAGAAGGGTATGCAACTCTGTGTAATAAGCATGAGATCTTCAAAATGAGCAATGCCATGCTTCCCTTTTATGGTAATATTTCATAAAGTATTAGATATTAATGTATATGTTTTAGTATTATTTTGAAAAGAAATCAATTTTCAATATGATTAAAGTATAAAATATATTCAATCTCATGTAAAAGTAAACAAAAAAGAATAAGAGGTATTGAGATGTTTTCTTCGAGTATTGCATTGTGGGTAATTATTCAAGAACACATTCCAATAAAAACATAATTTGTGGGAGAATGTTCACTTTGAATCATGTTTTTATTTTTGGGTTATTTCTTTAAATCGTCCATAAAAAGTACAAAATAAGATTTTCTTAGAATGTGCAGATTCCCCAATTTTGAAAACCCAAAGGCAATGTTTATGTATGAAATATGGGAAGTTGCCTACCCTTATAAGCCCATGGATAAACGCACAATTCTATGGTTTTTCAAAAATATCAATTGTAGCTTGGATATCAATATTTCCACTCATTCGCTGCGCCCACTCGTGAAGATATCAATATCCACTTGTGGATATAAATGATATTTTTTCAAAACCATAGGATATTCCTACAATAAACCAAAAAGAGGGTTGGATTTTTTGGGTCACTGTGTATAATGTTGCACTAAATAGTCTACTGACTTGATCAAATGGTTCCGCTGCATCAGAGTATCCATATGGTCCATCTCTATCATGAGTGTGTGCCAGATCTCCACTTATTACAACTACTACTCTTTCAGGAAGACCCTCCAATTCTTTAAACAGTTCTCCACCTCAAAAAGATAATTATTTGAACTATAGGTTCTAGGGCGATATAAAGATGGCAGCAGGAGTATAATTTTATTTTAAAAGTGCTCAGAATGGTGAAAAACTGCATGGTTTTGAAAGATTTTTTGGCCGGGGTGGGGGGGGGGGCGTTCGCTCGAACCCATCTAACCCCCCTGGCTACGGGCTTGCTAGTATGGAGGATGATTTATTATATTGGGGATATTAGGGATGTTACCTAATGCCAATAGTTCGGGAATCATCTCCACAGATTGGCTGTAGCGTCTACTGGGCATAGAGAATATCACCACCTCAGCATTTTTGAGATCACCCATGAAATGCAAAGGTATCACCTCTCCCCACCTATAAACAAATGAGAAAACATAAATAGACTGATAGAACACTAGTATCTACTGGATGACAATATACTCTTTTATACCAAGACCGATTTTAGCTTTACCCCCTTTTGAGGACTTACCTCAGAGGGAACGGAGACGTTGCAGTGCCCGGAGACCCGTTTGCAGTGAGACCCGATACTCGCATGTGCCTTCCCAGTGACTCCGCAAGCCCCATAGACAAATTGGTATTAATTTTGACGGATACATTATAACAACATGGTGGGCAGTCACAGTTGTCAGTGTCCGCTCTACCCTCAGCATTGGTGTTTAAATAAAACACAAAGTTATTCAGATCCGAGACTCCATGCGGTGTGCTAATGAAAATTAAATCTGGATTAAGCCTTGAGATCTCCATCCCGACTTCTACTGATGCATTATGTAACTTCCATGCTTGTTCAATTGATGTTGTGTTCGTGCTGTTGAAGAATTTAGGGTCCAGGGCGATGCCACCATGTGGTAGTATATATGCCCCGAGTATCTTGGACTCACTTGGCAAACCAAACATTTGTATTGCAAGAAGAATTATCCAAGTGGTCAGCATGTTAAGGAAATCATAAAAGGCAACTTTTATTTGATGCTATTTTAAAGAAGTATATGTCGTCTCTTTAACCTCAGATATAAACTAAACGTACTTATTGGTGCTTTTATGTGAATGATTAACTAAGATGAAAGATTATTAAAATAATAGCAAATTATTATTTAATAATAAACTACACACGAATGAAAAGATCTCTGAATACAACTTGATTTTGTCACTTCCTTGTTGTCATTGAGTCAAACATATTAAATTAATAAATGATTATGAAATAGATAAATATAGATTATTTAATAGGAGGTTTTTGATACAGGGTATATCTGAGGGAAATACAATATATCTACCCGAGGGACCGTAGTGACCGAGGGTTGATATATTGTATTTACCGAGGGATATACCCTGTATCAAAAATCGAGCATTTAATAACTGATTTATCCCTAACTTAGCAGATTATGAAGATTATTAAGTAAGCATTTAGTATTATGGAATCCTCATGTAATAATTTCAAATTACAAACTACAATCAAAACATGAATATCTTATCTTGAGCGGGTGATTATATATCTCGCGCTCACCTCAGCATATTCCTGTGTGTTATTTACCTATAACACTACTAAGTATGGGATAAATGTGTTTATATCCTAGTATAGCAGTATAGTACTGCTCAAGTAATCCAATTTCAACCATATTTGTCTACCAATGTAAACTCTTTATGACTGCTGTAACTACTGTAAACTACTATATTTTAATACTACTCGATTACTATATCTTCTCATAATTCCTAACTTCATAAGTTCGGCAACCAAAAGTTCCCATTGGATAACATGTTAAATATGAATCTTAATTTCAAATCTTAATTGCAACTATTACTGCTTTTTTAAAATCGCCAAACACGACAGTCCAAAAAGGAGACATCCAGATGACACACTTTTGGAGTGGGTATATAGAATCTGAATCTTTAATTATTTCCACTATATATTCTAAATACAAATACAAAATACATGTGATAAAGATACTAGTAATATATAAAACGTCCATAATAAACATAGCTCAAATAATAATCATAACACTATGATATGATATATTATGTGATATGAAAGTATGGTATAATATGATATGGAATAAAATGAGGTATGATCCTGAATGTATTTATGCCACGTACTGTCTCTTTAGATAGGACCAAGTTCACAGAGGTCTACGCTACGCTCTGAGATGTCATGGAAGGTCTCCATGTTAGTTCCGAAACGTATAGCGGATTATCTTGCAGTTCTTGAAATGCAGACGCTCTCCTAACATTCAGCTGTCTTGGAGAGGGCTTTGATGGCTCAGTTAAATATGAAGGCGTATACATTGGATTGTAACCATTGTTACCATCTGAGACACCATCGATTGCATGATGGCGCCTCAGCACTCTCATCAACTCTAACAAGTCTTTCATTTCGTCCTTATTTAGTGTTTTTAGTTGTTGGATATCGTGCTTTATTTCACGAAGCCTCATTTCGTTTTTACTGCTGTCGTTCTCAACGTATTTACGGAATTCTCGGAATTCCTTTTCTGATTTTGTTTCATTAACGGGATCCTTGTTAGCTTTATCTTCGAGAACATGTTTTGGATTTCCAGTTTCATGCAATTTCTCCCAGGCTGCTAGATGGGCGGTGTGACCCTGGGACCATTCATGCTTGAGAATCATATCTACTCGAGACATTAACCCTTTGGCTCCTACGTTCCTGAAAATTCCACGCTGTAATTTATTACTGAGGTAGGCAATATAGAATGGCATTCCGATCATAAGACAGAACAGCAAGAATGACGCAATTAGCAGAGAAGGAATGACATCATCTATTTGATACATGGTGTCATAGTCATGGACACCACCAAGAGCCATTCTGAAGACTATGAACAACATGCTGTAATAACTCTGGAATCCAGAAACCTGAATTATGTCACAATTGGCAGAATCACAGACGCCATTATCATTGCAATTACGCGCAGCATCCCCGCATTGACTCTCATTTGCGAACATATCAGGCTGTGAAGATTTGTTCTGGCCAAATATAGCCCAAAATGCAAAAGAATATGGAAAGAAAAGCATGGTGAACAGGCAGAGAAAGCACAGAATATCCACTGCGATGAGTTTGACGAGCTGAATGATATGGAAAAGGCGTTTGCATATCCGAAGGGCCGCGATGAGACGAAGCCAAAGAAAGATTACCATGATGATGCCCAGTCTGGCGTGGATCCGGGCGGTTGGTTCAGTATGGTTGGCAACGTCAACCAAATGAGATATCAAGGCTATCAAGACCCAGCAATAGCAGAACCAATCAAAGAAATTCCTAATCGAAATGACCTTGATATTTATTGGTGCAAGGTCAGTGGCGTCGGTTCTATGTTTGTCTTGTAGACGGACCTTGTCGCCGTTTCCCGCCATAACATTTTCATAGCGTTCCTGCTTAGCCTTGCGCCATTGAAGCCACCCAGATATTCTTTTCCGAGAAAAGAATAACCCCAATGCGTCCTCAACGATTTCCCAAGCTAGCAATGCAATACCCAGAATCAGCAAGACGATTCTCCAAGCATGCGCGGGAAAATCATAACGATGGCGAATATCGTAATCAATAGCTAATCCAATAGCTGTCCAAATAGATGTCAGGGCAAGTGTTTTTATGAAACTGACAAGAGCCCACCAGCGTACACCAGTCTTCCACTTTGATTCTATCAGTTCTGCCATTAGGGGATGAGTCACGATATCTTCCCGTTCAAACAGGTATACCGTCTCAAGTGCTGTCAAAGGGGCATCATACTTCTTTATCAGTTTCTCTTTCTTCGTCTTTTTCTTAGTCTGATCTTCCTCCAGGGTTGGTTGTTCCTTAGCCTGCTCTATATCTTCATCTCTATCTGCGCTGTTCACTTCCTTGCGTTTTGGTATCTTGATTTTTTTCTTTTTGGGCTTTTTCTGTGGCTTTGGTTGCCCATCTGGAGGATAAGGCTCGAGGTGGTTGACGTAGTAGAAACTTCCGTTAACGGGTGTATCGTAAACAAGCGTGTCCAATACGTTTGGGGCTGCGTCGGGCATTTTCTGTATCATGCCCGGAACAAAGTTGACGTCGTACATGCACTCCTGACACCTATCTACTTCTGGGACTCCTTCAACTTGTGGAAGGAATGCCAGATTTAGATCAGCTAGGTGCTTGACCATCTTCTCGTCATCCAGCGCGATTGCCCATTCGATTGGAGCCCTGTCGGTTATATCTCTAGCTTTCAGAGCCTGAATCATATGCTCCCCTACCTCATCACGAGCTGCTAGCCACTCTGAATCTTCTAAATCAGGTTTCCACTTCGACATGATCTCGATTGGTTCGTAGTGATGGCGTCTAACGTAAACGTGGATGGGGTTGTTTCCATAGCAATCTGTTGACGTCAGCAACGCGGGTTTCTTCACTATAGCCTTGTAAAGTATATCTCCATACATCATTGGATCCGATTGAAAGAGCAGATGCATGAATGTTGACCCGTTACTATCTGTGACACCAGCATCAGCTCCGCTATTAAGAAGTAGCATGGCTAGGTCCTTCTGGCCGTTATCTAGGTAGTGTTGTAACAGGGACGTTCCATTATTGGATTTTTGGTCCGTGTATGCGCCTTTCTGTATAAGATAGGTTGCAATAGCTGGATTAGTGCAGTAGAATAAGGCTGTCTTGGATTCGTCATCAACGGCGTTAACGTCGGCCCCGCGGTCACACAATACAGGAACTAGGTCAACTATGTTTCTTTCGACTGTTCTATGTAAGAGTGGCGTACCTTCACGGTCTCGCGTATTAGGATCAATCGTGTGGTCTTCAACCAACATGCGGGCAAAGCGATACATTCCTGAATTCAGACACAGGTGAACCAGTGGATTTTTGTAGTGGTCCTTGACATTCACATATGCAAGATTCTCAACCAGAAATTCAGCCATATCCTCGTGTCCTCTCTGGCAGCAGTACACAAGTGGTGTTTCTCCTCTGGTCGTTACCGAATTTACAATTGCACCATTTGAAATAAGGATCCTGGCAAAGTTAACATCACCTTCATCAGCGGACGTATGAAGCGCGGTCTCACCCAGTCGATTTCTTGCATTGACAAAATCACGTTTGTTGTGTATCAGTTGTTTTTCATCCTCGTCTTCGTCCTTATCAGCAAGAAGCCACTCAGCGAACTCATCATAGCCTTTATCAGCACAACGATGTAGAATAGTGTCCCCCGTAGATTTATTAGTGATCGTTGGGTTAGCCCCTTTACGAAGGAGTACTTCAGCTACTTTTGTTCGTCCTGCATCTATGGCTATAGTCAATGGAGTCAATCCTTTAGCCTCTTTGGCATCAACAAGGGCGTTCTTTTCGATGATCATCTCGGCAATATCGGGGTATCCTTTCGCAGCTGTTATATGTAGTGGCGTTGTTTGATTTTTGTCACCATTGACGACATTACAGTTTTCCTTTATCAGCAATTTTGCGACATCTGAATTATCTCTGGACAGAGCATACATCAGGGGGGTTTTACCACTTGAATCTCTTACGTCCATGTTCACATCATTTTCCAAAAGCAAACGAGTAAGTTTTGCATATCCGTAGAAAGCACAGTGATGAAGGGCAGTCCTCCCAACATTGTCTACAGCATTAATATCAACACCTCTTGACAGAACCACAGACACAAGGTCCCGGTTACCTCGTTTTGCAAAGACGTGAAGTGGTTTCTCTCTGTTAGGGGTATCATCTCTGGCTTCGATATCCGCACCTTGGTCAAGCAAAACTCCCAGAGTATCAATAAGTTCACTGGTGTCGTCTGCGTGCATAGCTCTTCGTTCTCCCAAAAGATGGAGACACGTTCTCCCACTTGAGTCACGTGCTTTCACATTACCCCCATTATGACGGATAATTTGCTTGGTTCCCTCATCGCTAATTCGGGAGGAATCCCTGAGAAAGGTCAAAAGACGATTCTCTTCCTTTCCTATGGGAGTGTTTGGGTCAGCATAACGAACCTTCTTCTCATTATCATTTTCTGTAATACAAAAAATTATACTATCGATGGAAATGCATATGATTTTGATTACATTTGCATTTTAATATTACTTAAGGATTTAAGCCCCGGACACAATGCAATGTGGAATGACCATTCCTTGAAGGTGTTGCTTTAAAATTTGCACGAGATGCAGAGCATAGGAAACTACTGAAAGGTCTTTAATATCTTATCGTATCAAATATTTTGCAATGTTTGGAAAGAATTTAAGCCCAAGATCCTATGCAATTGTGTAATGATCATTCCTTAACCCTTTCACGACGATAGGCTCCATATGGAGCCCTATTATGTAATACCTTTCAGGACGATAGGCTCCTTTTGGCACCATTATTTTTATTTCTATGCATCAATGAAATGACAATATCTCCAGTTCTATTCAGTATTTTTATACCAAATTTTGACAAGTTGTTAAAATGTGATAGCCCTTTTTAAAAAATGTATTTAGGTGATACAATTTAAAGCATACGTCCTGGGATATAGGTAATTTACAGTTTTTCCCTAAAAACTGCTCTTACTTATCCGTCACCAGTCCCATATTTTCCTCTTATATTCACGTCAGGAAAGGGTTAAAAGCCTCGGAATCAGACACGGCATTTTTGTTATGTATGGTTTTCAGTTTGGATTTTTAAATCATTTTTTGAAAATGTCGCTCCACTATAAATGCACTGTATCAATAGGAAGGGCAGGTCCCATGAGCTCAATGAAAAAGTGTTAACTGCGATGAATTAGAAATATTGCATTTTTTGTTTGAAGGACGACATTATATAAACAGTGAAACAAAATACATAAAACACTATCATAAAAACGTTATATATAGTCTTTTTATAGACTTATTAATAAGCGTGCCTATAATGATGTAAAAGGTCTTTTAATTTACCTTTGGTCGAGGGTTCAGGATCTGACTGCTGTATTATCTCATCAAGTTCCATTCCCGTGTTGTCATACGCCATGCCTCAGTGATTTGTGATTGCTCAAAGAAGCAATATTCCTTATAGCGATATATAGTCGGCCAATTACATGCGATGAACGTACAACGTAATAATCGTACAGCAGCACGCTTATTTTAGGATTTATCCGCCACGCCCTGTCAGTGACTACTATGTCTTAAAAAATACTCCTATCTACACTAGTAAAAAAGAATGTCAAGTATTTCATTAAGTTCGTTGATTATGTTTATTTCAAAATATTTCAAGTTTTTAAACTTTAATTTACACTCCTGAAATACCTTAGGTTAGTTTTATCCATTGTAGGTTAGATATAAGTGGTATGTACAAGGTGTGCAAGGTGCACGGCAATTGTTGCATATTACTTTCAGAAAAAAATTATTAAACTTCGATAACTCTCTATGTAGTCTTGTCATTTGTTTGATTATGCTTCTTTAAAGATTAACTAGATTCTGCTCTAAGGGTAATCTTTTAGCGGATACATTAATTTTGATTGACCTTTTTATCTAAAGGTCCCCCGCTAGAGTAGTTTGATGTTATGTCACCATACCAACCTGGTGACATATTGTTATAGTCTCAAACTTTTTTGGATGATGATGTTCGGCACCGTCTGGCGGTCAGTGTTCGATGTCTGTAACAAATGGCATGTGGTGACATTTTACATGTAAATGCCATGTGTAAAATTGTTTTGGTCTCAAAATGTTAGAAAATGTACCAAACTGGTGTTAATTTTCTGTTACAAAGAAGTTGGTCACCTTGTAGACCACACTGCTTCATCCTTGACGGCGATAATCTTTCGATAGTAAAAACCAGCGGATACTTCATGTAAAATACGAGCAATAAACAAGAGCCGAGGAGGTGGTCAACCGCTTTTAAGTAAACAACGCCGAACCTTTATAGTTTGTGCTATCAACGTTTTATTTTAACTTGGTTAATTTTTAATTTATATTACAGCAATGAAAACAGTGTAAATATGATTTCATAAGCTCACAACGTATTTTTGTTGGCAATGGACAAAAAAATGGTTGCTTCTACGGCAATGGACTGCTTACCATGCTGGTAACTTTGGCAACCAACCATGTTTTCGACCTAAGTGTAGAACTTTTCACAAAACGTTCCCAAAATTAAGCTGTTTAATTCATCATCATATACGATACTCTTAATGTAAACACTGAAATCTTTATATACTTTACGTTGACACGTTTCATTACATTTTTATGACATATTTAAAAGATGAACCTTAGTTTATGAACGTATGATTGCCAGCATTGCTTGCAATAAAAAATATATAATAAGTGTATTTGGTGAAAAAGTAGAAATGAATTAATGTAAAGCTAATAAGACAGGGAGCAAAAATTAAAGTGCCTCTATTTTAGTAGGACAACGTTTTATCTTTGTTTATGTAAGTTAAGAAGAGGTATTGTAATTACATGCATTATATAACCGATGACCGCAACCAAGGTCATTCGTTGAATGGTTGTCAAGGTGACAAATTGACTCTATGTAGTATTGAACTTGATGCTTTTGCCAACTTGACCCTTCATTGAAAATATGTTCTTTTAGTGATTTCGTATCTTTTAGATGATTTCGTAGAAAATATTTTGCAAGGTGTGGAAAGAGTTTAATTAAGCCAATGCGTTGTCTCCTAAACTACGCATTCCCACTGCGGGGTCATTCAAACATTTGAAAGCAACACCTTCAGAGGAATGGATCAGTTCATAATGCACCGAGTCCAGGACTTAAATCCTTTATCAATGATTTTGATAAATTCATTGAAATCGTCAACAAAAAGACTTGATAAGTGGTCCGAAAGAGGATTTGCATTTGCCAAAGGTAGTAGTAAAGGGTGCGTAAAAGAAAACATACAGTCCTCACGTTAGGACTACTTTTCGGCTAGGGTTAGGGTTAGGGTTTGGGTTAGGGTTAGGGTTAGGAGGGTTAGGGTTAGGGTTAGGCTTTTCGGCTAGGGTTAGGGTTAGGGTTAGGAGGGTTAGGGTTAGGGTAAGGGTTAGATTCTCGTAAAATTCCGGAATAAGCCGATTGGTAATGAGTGCCTATATGTAGGTTTGACTGTACCGAAGGTGTACTCACGTTACGAGATGACTGAGAGTGCGCTATCTATGGAATCTGCAGTGCCCCCCTCCCCATGTCACGTGAAAAGGATGCATCTAGGAGTTTAGCTGTATTACGTTTTCAAAAAGGAACGAAGGCTGATCGGCTCATCGTTTTCATGTCATCTCGATGGTCCAGTTTCGTTTTATACCCTAAAGGTGTTTAGACTAATAGTCAATTTACGAAATGTAAAGGAAACACTTCCAAATCTTTTAAAATTTGTTTTATGTCTATAATTATCATCTCACTCGATGTCATTTTATACCTGAACCCTTAGGTGCCATGACAATTGACTGCGTCATTGGATTTATTCCTCCTTATCATCACAAGCTGTTGGAATGATGGGTGGATTCATGGCATTATTGTCGAGTGACTTTGAGAGGGATTCCCCTAAAACTGGTTTAAACCGGATGGCATTTACTTATAAGTACATCAAGAAAGAATTTAAAAATTCATTTTCTACAAAAGGCCAGATACAAACAGACATATTTACTCTCTCAGTTTAGATAATCGTTTCAGTGGTATTATTCAACCAATATGGGTGACAATAGAATGTCTTGCGACTTGACAAAAACAATGATCCTTATTGAGATGCTTTTCTCTAAGACATTTTCGAATCCAGATATTCAATGGTCAGGAACAACCTTTAACCGCGATCATTTCAGTTCAGATCACGAGGCAGAGCAGCAAACCGTGGATGGTAAATTAAAAATTACAGCCAAGTTTAACAAGTCACTGATATTCTTAGACTTTATGAAAACAATGCTGAAAATACTTGATGTCATATCGGAAACCATAGTAAAGAACTGTATTCGCTGTATTCTAGGGAAATCGCATATCAAACGATGGGAAGTACCATATATTCATGAAAGCGAAGATGACACCACCACTGATGCTAAAGTAAATGACCCTAAAAAGAGCCGATTTTGGGAGATTACCAAGTACGTCGATGACGCAGGAATAACTACAAAAATGACATTTTCGCTTAAATATTGTGGACTTTTTAAACCGATCTTTGACGAATCAGAACTGAAACAAATGTACATGAAGCAGATCGAACTCATTAAATCGATTATCCCCGAAGCTGACTTTGAAGTACTAGGAGATGATCCATTTCCATCTGAGAGGTGGACTTTCGATACTTATGACGAGGGACTAGATTTGACACTCTCTGCAGAACTAATCAAAGCGTGTTTTTAATTCAATATTTTTCTGATTAGTCTTTAATATTGAGGAACCATTACCACTTGAACGCTTTGCCTCATATTTTGGGGATTTACACGCGGCGTAGACGATACGACGGGGAGCATCTCACACTCTTTGCCGATTGGCTAGTTAATGACTTATCACCGATTGGTCGAGATTACAGATATAATATAATATATAATGTCGTAATCTGCAGTGCCCCACTTGTAGTATTCTCACCAACCCAATTGTGTTCAAAGTGTCAATGAAAAATGAAATACTACATAATCTTAATAGCCTGACGTCATGAGATTGGTTTAACGTGTTTAGACTATAATAGACATCTCGAAGTAGCAATTGATTACGAAATGTCAATGAAACACTATATTACCTAAATATTCAGCTGATACACATCTATTTTTATCCCTAAACTCTCGGTTACCATGACGACTATCTACGTCATTGGATTTAATCCTATTCGTTATGACGAAATCATGACATGAAGTGCTGTTGAAGTGATGGGTGGGCTGCATAACTTTAACTTAGTTATTTTAAAAATAGCACCACACCGATTGGTTGTTCCTTTATCATGTCACAATCCTGGTCTTGCCATTGGCCAGTTATTTACAAGTCCTTTATCAATCGGGCCAAGTTACAATTCAAAGCATCCATTCTTCAAAAATGTCTGACCAACTTGAATCGTTTCAGCTCGTAGAGGGAGTTAAGTTCTCCATATTTAAAAATGACTATGGAATATATGGAGATCTGATTCGAGAACGATGGAGTCAAAAGAATCTGCAAATGTTTGATGCTCATTTCTGGATTAACAAATCATTGTGGCGTTCTTTGAAAGATGTGGAGAATGAGATCGCCACAGCCATTTCTACAGATTCGTTGGATTTTCACAAAACATTGGTGAAACAAACTCTTTTGAAAGTATATAAGCGAGGCGACGATGTTATCGTACAACTGATCAAGTTTATGGAAAAGGAAAAATGTTACGACTACATCAAATCGTTGAAACTGACATTGGAGGCTTGGAACAAAATGATGTCATTAAAAGATCAAATTGACGTTCATCTGGGCTTGAAAAGGAAAGCTGGAGAGGTTCCTACCGTAACCTTGTATCGTATAAAATGCGTCCATGAAAACGGCATTACCGACTATGGGAGTTGGAATACCTGCCTGGAGTATGTACAGTCTGAGATGAAAGAAAAGACTTCTACAACTGACCGTGTGGATCTGGAGAAGGAATGCATCCCCAGTCCGTAATCTTAACCAATGGGATTCTCTACTCTTGCATCTATCAATCTGAACAATGTATAATTAATATTAGTTTGTCGGGATTATCCTTTATCATCACGATGACAGTAAGGATTGTATGCCTAACATTTGTTGAGTTATGAAGGTGACCAGGAGGATAATGCTCGATCAGCTAGGACTATTTGGTGATAAATTGTTTCAAATGACTGCAAACCAATGCTATAATTGAACTAGTATAACTGTGTAAACTTTGTATACGTTTTCTTTTATTGAATTTAAATAAAAACAGACATATTAATCGATATAGATTTGTTATTTTATTTTCTCCTGTATGTATATGACAGTCAATAAATATTATAACTTCCTCCCATTTCAGTCATTCAAACGGAATCGGTATTCTCTCCCGTCCTTAGCCTCTTCCTGATAGCCTTGACAAAATAGGCCCATAGTGTCGCTAAAAGGGTAACTGTAAATATCATGTTCGCCATCACGTAGTTGAGGTATGTTGCTTCGGGATTAGGTGCTTCTGAAATGACGAAAATAGAAATAGTAGTACATAATATCCCATAGAAAGCTAGTTTTGATTAATCAAAATGAAACATAGTACTTAATATCCTAGAAAGTAAGTTTTAATTATTCGAAATAACCCAAACAATGTTAATTCTTAGATACGTTCGTACGTACGTTCTGGTGGTTGAATGTGTTCATCTATAGTGACGTTGCCATTCGGCAAACCTCTGGTATTCAAAACAAGTGCTGCTAGAGTAAATAAAATGACTAAAGATAACATCTCTGTCCTTCTAAGATCTATGTGTGATTAACCCGAAACGAATTAAACTTCTATTATATACACTCCGATTTATAAGTCACGTGATAACTGAAACTATAATTTTATGCCATGTTCACTAAGTCACGTGATTTAATTTTGGGCGTCGTCGATATTAAAATGTGGCTGTCCCTTTGAAAAAAGACATTGTTACCAACGACAGACAAGCGCCATGACGACTGAAATGCTCCTGTTTTTGAGTAGTGAGGATTCGGCCAAGCTGTATCCCTGGAATTCTCCCGGCGATTTTGTGGTTCAACTCCCGAGCTATTTGAAGTTGACGGGGCAATGTAAAATAGGTCTGATGGAAATCATGTTACCCTCCCATTCAAACGATCCCAACCTGAACTACCTTAATATATTTTGTGACATTGCTTGTGAAAGCATCTGCGAGGGCAATATGTTGCCTATTCTGAAACGGATCCCTACGAATCATACATTTACATCGGGGCTTCCCACCTTATATGTAGGTTTGAATACGTTAGAATTCGATCGGATTAGAATCTTTATAAAAGGTCGAGACAGTAGAACTGTTTCATTCGAGGACCAGACTTTATACTGCACGTTACATTTGAAAAAAGTGGAACATGAAGGTCGTACCATACGTTGATAATGCTGATAAATGGCACAAAATCATCAGAGCAGCTAGAATGAATAATATCACGACACAGGTTGGGTTTGGAAAACATAGAACTGGTTATATTCCAGTTAACGCGATAAAGCAACCTGTTCACATGATATCACCTTTACAAGCTGTTGTCGATCGTGCAAAGTCCCAGATGAAACAACAAAAAGAAGAATCACGTGACCAGGATCTCGGATCTTATAAATTGAAGCGCATCACCTCGCCGATGTCAGTCAAGAGGTCGAAACCTAAAAAGAAAGTACCGAAAACTAGTTCCAAGAGAAACAACAAGAAGCCGAAACGTAGATTAGGGCAGTCGACGTCACCAAAGTCAGCATGGAATTCAAATTAGAGCAGAGTCAAGACGTTCTCAATACGAAATTACATCTATTCGAAACACCACCCACCGAATCGAGTGTTACAAATTGCAACTATGTACAGCACCGACCTATCAACCCTCTGGCCCACAATGTTCCCGTGGAATTCGCTATTGTGAATAATAGTTCGCAATTTATAGACTTGAAGAATATTACACTCTGTATAAGGGCTAAGATCCTGAAACATGACAATACGGCGCCTAAGTTCGTTTCGATGAGTGACTACGACGCCATCTTCCCTGTAAACAATTGGATTAACAGCATGTGAAGTCAGATAGAGGTTCAGTTAAATCAACGTTCCATAGTTTCAACTACATTGAATTATCCATACAAAGCCATGTTGAAAATGCTGTCCCTTCCTCCGTCAGTTTTGAGAAGCAAAGCAACTAGTGGCTTTTTCTTTGAAGATAATGGAAGAGATAAAAACCATATGGAGTCGACAATTCCATTAGGAGAAGGAATGAATCTAGGAGCATTCTCCAGGTGGAATTATTCTCACGGTGGCATGACGGTTGACATGGAATCCAACTTACTGGAAGACATATTTGATATTGATAGATACATGCTAAATGGAGTTGAAATTAAAATTAAATTAGTTCCAGCTCGACCAGAGTTCCAGCTAATGGCTGGGACGGATGATGAATATAAAGTGGAATTGCTGGACGTGTCTTTAAAGGTTCCCATGATGTCCGTCGCCCCTGGTATTCTTCAAGCCTATAATACAGAATTGAAGGAGCGTAATGCCATCTATCCATTTGAAAGAAACGAAATCAAAGTGTATACAATACCAGCCGGCCAGTTTACTTATACAATGGATGATATTTTTCACGGGGATGTACCCAATAGAATAACGTGTTGTCTGGTAAAATCTGAGGCCTACAGTGGTTCGTATAAACTAAACCCCTTCAACTTTCAGCATTTTAACGTCAATCACTTGGAAGTCAGTGTAGATGGCGTGAGTGTTCCAGAACCTGCTTTAAAACCTATTTTTGGAAAAGGGGAAACGGATGAAAGTCGCTACATGAGAGAGTATATGAGATTGTTCTCGGATCTCAGTTCAGACGAAGGCCTCATTATAAGTCGTGACATGTTTCGATATGGATATACTCTATTCAAATTCAATTGTCAATTTCAAGATAAAAACTCGAGACACACAGCTTTTCCTCTTATTAAACGAGGGAACCTGAAACTGGAACTTCGCTTCGCTGAAGCTCTCAAGGAACCAGTCAATGTGATTCTCATGGCTACTTTCCCCGATAAAATCGAATTGGACGCTTCCAGAAACGTTATGTAAGATAACAACTATGCGTGGTGATCGAATTGAATGCGTGCTAGACAGGCACCCTGACACACGTCGACGTTTTATAGGAGTCTTTCCACGTGATAAACTCCCGTCTGAATTACAACCCGGACAGTGCTTCGTAGCTAACTCTGATCTAAAGGGTGATCCAGGGAAACATTGGACCGTTTTCATAGCTGCAGAGAACAATTTGGAGTTCTTCGACCCACTAGGTGAACGACCATCTTTCTACGACTTTCCGGAATACCAGGCGTCCATGGTTTTCAATGACAGAATTATTCAGAGAAAGGGAAGCAAATTTTGCGGACATTTTTGTATACTCTATATCCTATTACGTTGTATGGACTATAGCATGGATCAAATTGTAGATGAAGTATTTAACCAGGACTTAAGGAACAATGATGTACTAGCATTCGAGACACTCAAACAATTAACAGTATTGTTAAATTGTTGAAACGATGTAGACTTATTGATTATAACTGTATTTGACTTGAAAGAAGTGTATAGAAACAAGTAATGCTAGTATCTGTACTGTAGAGTAGATGGAATTATCATAAAAACAACTAAATATTGTTAAATTGTTGAAACTATATAGTCTTATAAACGATAACTGTATTTATCTTGAAAGAAGTGTATAGAAATCTGTTATGGCAGTATATGTACTATAGAGTAGATGAAATTAAAATACAAATAAAAAACAACTAAATATTATCTCCAACATATTATAAGAGTGATCAAATAAACTGACCTCGTTGAAACTCGTGGGAACATAGAAAAGTCTATAATTTCAGAACCATCAACCACAATTAAGTTAGCAACATAGACTTAGTACAGTGGACACATAAGAACACATAAGTATGACCACGAGACAACAATCATGCATACTGACCAATAGAAGGTAAACACCATGGACCTCATTTACATACTTGGAATGTCTAACAGAACCAAGGAAATGCATCTCATTGACAAACACATAGTAAACAATAAAAGCTGAGCATAATGGTTCACTGGACGCGTATACATCCCATTCAAAGCTGTGAATAATTCTTATATTTTCTATATTTAAATAACCTGATCAAGCTTTGATTCTCAGTTTTCAACATGACACTCACCAAACTACAGTCAAACCAGTTGGCTAGACTATATTTTGATCCAAAGCATCCAGGATCATTTTCTGGTTTCAAACAACTATGGAAGGAGGTCAAGGGAACTGGTATAAAACAAAGTGAACTCAGAAAATGGTTAAGTCAACACGAAACGTATAGCTTATATCGGGGGGTCAAGAGGAAGTTTAAACGACGTCCATTGATAGTAAGACATAGACTAGAACAAGTTGACGCCGATTTAGCTATGATGGATAAATACGCGGATGAGAATGATGGTTTCAAGTATCTTTTGGTGGTCATTGATACACTGAGTAAATTTCTGTGGGTGCAACCTTTAAAGACGAAAAAAGGCGAAGAGACAGCAAAGGCGTTTGGGAAAATATTCGAATATGAAAAGCCTGGTCGTCTCAGAAGTGACAATGGTCGTGAGTTCCGGAACCATTTTGTTAACACCTACTTAAAGAAAATCGGTGTCTGGCACTTCACTACGAGAGGAGAAATGAAAGCCCATTTTGCGGAGCGCGTGATTCTATCGTTAAAACGACGTCTTTTCCGATACATGTATCATAAAGCTACGCGCAGATATATAGATGTGCTTCAGGACGTGGTCCATTCCTACAATCACTCTTTCCATAGAAGTATCAAGATGGCGCCTGCTGATGTGAATGACGCGAATGAGTTGGAAGTGTTTGAAACGTTGTACGTGAGACCCAAGAAAGATGACAATATCCGGTTTAATTTTGAAATTGGAGATCTGGTGCGATTGGCTTTCACCAGAGGAGTTTTTGACAGAGGTTACCATCAAAAATGGTCCATAGAATATTTTGAGATTAAAGAACGCAAACCAACTTCCCCACCGACCTACGTCATACAAGACCTTCACGGTGAAATCATAGAGGGCCTCCTGTATGAAGATGAAATGCAGAAAATCTCAAGAGCACCGGATGTTCATAGAATAGAGCGTGTGATGAAAACGAGAAAGCGGGGCAAGGAATCACTGATAAGATGGGAGGGCTGGCCCCCGAAGTTTGATACGTGGATGAACACGAAGGATGTTAAAAAGCTATAAAGTAAATACATTCTACTTTTCTCTGGCATTCGTAGTGATGGCTTGGTACGAGCGGGAGAGCTTGACCCCATTCAAAATATGCAGCAGTTTTATCATCTCTGGTGCCACTGGCAGTGGAAAAACTACATTTGTATATGAGCTTTTGAAACATATTACTGGTATGTTTGAGCAGCCAACGCCAGAGAAAGTGTTGTATTGCTACGGAATTCACCAGCCTTTATATGAGGAAATTGAAAGAGAATTAAAGAATGTCACTTTTCACGAAGGCTTACCCAGTAAATCTGACATAGACGCATTATCTGCAGATAGGAAGCATAATCTTATAATTTTGGATGACCTTATGCACTCCGTGGTCAAGGAACCGGAAATGGAGCTACTGTTTACTCAGGGTACCCATCATCGATGCCTGTCTGCCATCTTTATTACTCAACAGTTGTTTTTCAAAGGGATTCGAACCATGACGTTGAATACCCAGTATCTGGTGTTGTTTCGTTCACTCAGAGATAAATCTCAAATTATGCACTTGGCTAAGCAAATTTCACCTGGGAAAACGGATGTGCTCATGAAGGCTTACGCGGATGCTGTCTCTTTACCCTATGGCTACTTAATCATTGACCTGTCGCCACACAGTCGAGATGATACGAGATTGAGAACGCGAATTCTTCCAGGACAAGACCCAATCATCTATGGTGGTTTATAAAAGAGAAGAAATTATAAATAAACTTCATTTGAACATGAGTCGACGAACTGTGATGATCCCATATGAGAAATATACCAGACTTTTGGAGGCAGCTAAACAGACTCAAGTTCCTGCTTCTGATAGTGTCACAGGGGAAAAGCAGGAGCCTGATATCTCCAGTGAACCTAAAATAGAAAACTCTAAGCAATTGTTGACACAGCCTGAAAGCCCCAAAGAACGACTTTTGTCCAGTCAATCATTCAAGCAACCAGACGGATCCAAAGAACTGCCTACTATAACCACCTCCCCTTCATCTAGCCTACGATTCGAGCGTTTTCTACCACCTGGCATTCCAGCTTATACATCTCAAAGAAGGAAGAAAAAATTAAAGCGTACGGGAGATAAAAGTGCAGCCAAAAGATGGGTCACCTTACAGTGAGTCCTGATTTGGAAAAACATAGAGCCTACCTGACTCTGCTGACCCAAGAGCAAACCACTAAAGAACAGAGAAAGGCCTTGTTAAAAACTATATCAATGGGACAATTGAAAATGGTGTGCGAAATAATTCTGAACATTGGTTTGAAAAATATACCTATGTCAGAAGATGAATGGCGACGTCTCTCGTCTTATAAAGTGACCTTCGATTTTTTATCAAATGATGGGCAAAGTTGGATTAAGAAAAGGGCCAGACTCTTGAGAAAGTCTACAGGAGTTATACTACTCCTCAAACTCTTCTTGCCCAAACTCAAGAAAAAACACTGAACATACATACATTGTTATTAATAAAAATATATACTATTTATTTATGTAATGTAGTTATT